AGCAATAATTTTATTATCTTTCATAGTTTCATTTATTGGGTCTTCTTGTTTTACTATACTTGATATTTCGGCTGTAACATTTTCTAATACTTTAGTCAAATTAGGATCTTCAGTACATTCCGCAGGTTTTATTATGTCTACTGTTTGATCTAGATTTGGCTTAATATCAAATGTTTTAGTTAAATTAGGATCTTGAACATCTTCTGTTTGGTTCAATAATGCCATAGTATCATTTATATTAGGAATTTCTTCTTCAAATGTTGATATATTGTGCAAGGTGTCTTCTAATATTTTCGTGTCATTCATTTCAATGGATTCTTCAAGCTTTGATTCATTTGGAATATCGGATGTAGTATTTGTAGACTGTGATACTCGTTCTGGTAATTGTTGACTTTTAACTAAACATACTGGTAGTAAGTCTTCCGGGGTTATTGACAGGGTGGCATCTAAAATATCTTGGGTAGTATTCAAAACTACTTGTTTGAGCCTTGAACTTGTATTTTCACTTATATTCTCAATATCTTCAGTTAAATCTTGTGTTTTATTTACAGGAGTCTTATCATTATCTTCTAGTAATGAGTCATTCTTTGTAAATGTTGTTTCACAGTCCACAAACTCTCCGTCAGACTCAACACCTATAGTTCCATCAGTCTTATTAGCCAATTCTTGTATGTCTGTCATAGTTCTATCTCTAATTGAATCATTGTATGATATATCCATATATTCAACTGTAGAATTCAAATCCTGTGTCTTTTGAGGTGTTGGTACCTCTTGGCTAGAAGTAGGCTTCTGCGTCTCAGGTTGACCAAGCGGAAAGAATAACTTGTGTATAGGGATACGCTCCTGGCTGAATATTATGGTCGTCTCATCTTTCCACTGCAGCTCTTTCTCGAGGTCCTCATTAAACACAATCGGTTCTTTAGTGGGACTATTCCTTTTTGTAGGACTCGCTTCTTTCTTCCGATGTGCTGATATTGGTGTGGATACTAACATAGGCTTTGCTTTTGCTTCTTCAGATGCCACTGAAGCTTCTACCGGGCTCAGTATGTCCGGTTTCACAACATCATCACTATCTGCAGGCGGTATAGGACTTTGTGATGATCTAAACATATTGAGAACACTTTTGAGGCCACGCATTATAGGAGACCCACCATCATTCTTAGGAATTTCCTTTGTTGGTGTTGTTGCTTCAGGAGTTTGTACTGCAGAGGACGATGAACTCAACAGGTGATCATCAATGTCACTGGGACCGCTTACTGTGACAGTCACATTATCATTATCTTGAGTAATAGTTGTGTCTAGAGGCCGGAGCACTGATGTGTTCCTATTACTGTCTACAAATTGCTCTGTACATATTGTTTGAAGTGGTAAAGTTTTGCTACATTTTACAACACTGTCATTCTTAGTCAAATTAGAATTAAGTGATCTTGTTAAATTACTATTCTCATTGATTGTTACATTTAAAGTGTCATCCCCTGATTCGATGCTTCTATTGTCAAGGCAGTTGGCGGTGTAGCTCTTAGACATAGGCGAGGAAGCTGGAGTGACAGAGTACCTGAGTTTCATGTTTAGCTCCGAAACGTCCAGCTCTTCGTAGCCCTTCTCCGTGAATGGCAGCACATTGTTGTGATGTAAACTGTTCTCTTTGTTATCAAAGTCACTGTCTATGTCCATCGGCTCCACTTGGTGGGCCATCTTCACAAGTCCACTAGGTACCAAACACTTGATCAACACTCACACACACTGAGTTTCAGTCACTATAGATGCCGCCCGCACTTGTAATTTTTATCCTCCAAGCGTCAATCTGGAGAGAGACACAAAGAAAAAATTAGTCCAATGTTTACAGTTAACCGATTTCAGATAGTTTCACTAAGATTTCTAATACGGCGTAGTACAAGTGGCGACGCGCGTATGTATGTCATTTAAAAACAAAAATGTCGGTGATGTGAACACGCAACTCACTCTCAAATTCTATTTTTATCCTTTTTGTGTGGCACGAAACGCGACGTTCATTTTATGTAACGCGCGCACCCGAGGGAATCTTGCCAAAATGCGATGCAGAGCTGTTGAACCTAAACACAAATACACCGCCCGCTCCGAGACCGTTTGAAATCCGGTAACTTTTTTATAATTTGAAATGTCAGTTGACATAAAGTTCTGTGTACACTGCCGAGTAGTGATGTTGGTAGAGTATACGACATACGTTAATCGTTACTGTCATTCATAAAACGTTATTTCAGTTATTTGTGATTGAAAAGGTATCACTTCACATAAAATAAATAGTAACGTTAAAAATAATTGCATCTTAGGTAACTAACGTCCAGTTTCTACAACCTATCTATCTGTAGATTTGCTTACTAGAGATAGAATTTTGACACATTTTGTATGGAGCTCATATCAAAATTCTATCTCTAGTAAGCAAATCTACAGATAGATAGGTTATAGAAACTGGACGTACCTAAGTAACTTACTTCACGTCTAAGTAACCTTAGACGTGAGAGAAAATACTAATTCATGTGACAGTAAATATTGTCATTCATGTAAATCTTTGAATTCAGCTTACTGGTAATTAACTTTCCTAGATTTGTGAAATATTTAAAAAAATATAAAGAAGGATAAAACTATACTCCTGCTATATTTATATCATAACTTTTGTGAGACATAGGTACTAAATTATTGTTATGGTTTTGACGTGACAACGTCTTATAAATTGGTTTGCCGGGTGACACTTCAAGAAACTGCGTTACGCTCCGCTCACGTTATGCGCTCACAATGAGAGCGAGTGAGAGGCACGCGTCCCTTCCACTCGGGCATGGTTAGCCCGCCTAAGAGCGAGAGAGACAGACATAAAAAGTGAAAGGCACGCGTCCCTTCCACTCGAGCACAGTTCTTCCTACTATACGAATGAATTATACATTAAAATTATTTTACCACTCAAAGTCGTTGTCACGTAAAACTTTCGCCCGTATACCGACTTTATTTCAGCTCAATTAGTTTCAAGCAATGCCAGTAAAGCTATGCGCGACAGTCTCCGCGTCGTGAGTAACGGAATGCTGCTTATGAATACGAGCCTCTAGCATGCCTTGGAACTAGTCGACTCCTTCGTCAAATAATTACGTGAATAAGCTGAGAAACATAATAATTAATATGCTACTGCTCTTTAAAGTCGTTTCTCTTTTAGTAGATAGTTTTAATTTTAAGAAGTCTTGTTACTACAAACAGGTACCAAGTAAATATTGAATAAAAATGTTTATTTGCGCAGTTGGCAAAAGTACGCGATTGCAAAGTAGTTACTTCTTTGTTGCATTCATAATTTTGGCAAAGAATAGTAACTATATCGCTCTCTATCAAAAGTCATTCCAAACCAAAAAGCAAATAACCATAACGTTTACTAACGTTTTCTAAAATAACTGCTATTTTATGCTCATCACCTACTACACAGTGAAAACTTCTGATTATGTGTAAACGCCTTTAGTGCGCGGAAGCTTAGCATTAATAAAGCAAGTTACATATAATTTTTTTTTTTTTCACTAATGAAATTTACTTAAATATACATATATTAAAAAAGTAATGTTAGTTATTAAAATGAAAATAATATTGTAATTATATCTGAAAACTATCCAAGATGGTTTTGTTACTAGTTACTACCTCCGAAAACTATTCTGCGTTCTGTCAAATGTCAGGTGATTTCAGTTTTTGTTTTTTTTTTATATAAAAGAAAACAAAAAACGATTTTTCATATTTTATAACGAATATTAAAATTGAGTGTTAATTTAAATATAAATAAGTTATAATGATTTTTGTGAGTATACTTTATACATTAAACTCGTCATTTTTAATACAAAAAAATAACATTCAAAGTCAAGGTTAATTCCTAACCTCAGCGTATATTCATGTTGATTAACTTTAATAACAAATTTCATTTCGGTTACATCATTCACGTGAAGTACATCAAATATCAAGTGTTAGTACAATGACTTGAAGTTTAATGCATAGTTTTTATCAGTATAATCAAAAATACTTCGTCAAGGTTCACTGAAGTTGCAGGCGAGAAAACCAGTTGCGATATAGCCGCGGTATCGCCGTCTACAATTTATATTAAAAGTGCTCGGTCGTAGTACATGTGCGAGTGTGTTCAGCGACACACGTATGTAACGTGATAAATTAGTATAATAAAATTATAAATAGCGGAATATGTACTTTGGTTGACCAGTTCTTATTATGCAGTTCTAAATTTAAAAATAAAGGAGACGAGCTGTTGGCCTTCGCGCTAATAGATACGAGTATGTGATTTTTTTTAATTGGTTGTAGAAGTTTTGTTTTTTTTTTTATAATAACCGGTTTATGAGTGACAAGGGTCAGCGAAAGGAGTAGGTACCTAATGAAAGTTTATGGTCATGCTCTGAATTCTTGCTATTTGTATTAACTATACTTTCTTTTAGTTTAAGTTTTTAATATAACTTCATCATTGTTAATTTTAATTCATAAATAAACTTACTGATAACTATTTCAAAATAATGAATATGCAAAAAACAGTACATTTTTTATTATTTGTTCCTATTATAAAACAGATAATTCAATCGAATAAAAATAGAACTAGCAAAAGAACTGCAACTGAACACTTTCGTCTAATAAATAAATTACTGACTAATAGCTTTACTAAAACAACATTGTTTAACCAATAAATAATATGAAGCAATAACTTGATTGCTTGAAAAACACTATTAATTTGTTATTGTTTAAGTTAATTACTCATTTCCATTGTTTCTGTATTTAATCATTGCGATAATTTAATAATACCCTACATATCAAAATTTTTTTTTCTTTTAGCATTTATGTAACTAAGTTAGCAACTTGGCACTAATTCATACAATATTTTAGCTGAATGCCCGATATTCTAAAATCAGTAGCACTTGCTAATTTCACACATTTCAGAAAAATATATTGTTTTATTTTTAAAAGTGTGTGTAATTTTCTTCTTTTTATTTTCAGATTAAAATATGGAAATAGCCCATGATGTCAATGTGAAGTTACTGTTTTTCGCACAATCTAAAGAGTTAGCTGGTACCAAGGAGTCTACAATACGTCTTCCCAACAAGATTAGCTACAGCAAACTACTGAATATAATAGTAGAGAGTTACAATTTACAAGCTATTAAAAACAATATATTGTTGGCGAAGAACGAAGAAGTTTGTGACGAAGATATTGATATAGAAATCAGGGAACGTGACAGTATTGCGGTTATCCCACCAATCAGTGGTGGCTAATAAAAGAAGTTTCTAGAAAGAAACTTCAATATACTTCCATACAATACTTACATACATACTGATACAAATCAGCACATTAGTGCAATTTTTTTATACCAAGTAAGAACTTCTAGTGTGTAAAAAATGGATCATTTAAAATTAACACCGGACAAACTGTCCGTGGATGAAATCACAGAGCTGGTAACGGATGACAGATGCGGGGCAGTATCTGTATTTATTGGAACCACTAGGGATAATTTTGAAGGGAAAAAGGTAAGCAATTTTATTTTGTTTTTTTTTATTCTCGTTCTTACCGCCCTTATCCCAAATTATGTAGCAGCCGTAAAATTTATTATATGTATGAGTGAACTCTGCCAACACCAGCCAAATAAATACCAACAGATAATTACCCATATTTTTAAAATTATATGGGTGGGTTCGAATCTCTGTTTAGATGTGAAGTATAATATACACACTCTGTGATTTACAAAGTTGAAAAAAACAAACATTTACAAGCTCAAAGGTCTTATTGTTGCTAAGTATTGATATCTTGATATTTTTGATAATTTACCACATTAAACATCAAAATGATAAACTAACAGATTAAATCAGAATCCCGAAATAGAATAAATAAACGGACCGTGTGACCAAACTTATCTATTAGGAAATTTTTGTGATTACTATAAATAAGAAATACTATCTAACTGATAAGAAGTGACTTGTCATTGTTTGTAATATACCATGACGTCAGAACTCCATAGTTCATACTTGATTCTTCTAGATCAGACGAGTCTGAAAAAATGGTACCAGAGGGATGGACCATAAAATCGCGTTTTTGCCGTTTGGGATAATTAAATTATAATAGTACTAGTAGGTACATTTTTATAATGCCCATGGACTCCCGGAACTCCAGAGGTTACAAGTGCGTTACCGGCTTTTTGGAGATTAGGAATTTGAGGATTGTTGGATATTCAGGGAAGGGGGGGGGGGGGGGGGGTAAGGGGTCATGCTTCGGTACGGTAGGGACATATATATGTATAGATATATATATATATATATTATGCCATAAAACTAAATAACCGCGTAAGTCGGTTATGTCTTTATTAAACTCTTATAGAAAAACTGAAAGTGTAATTAATTAGTAATGTATGAAACAGATCAAGATCATTAAATTACGAAACAAAAAGTGAAAAACAAACAGTTTTTATTACCTAAACATGAGGAACCAGTTTGGTAGTTTTGGAACTAAATTAACATGGTGACGCAGTATTTGTACAACTGATAAAGACTTTATAGGTGACAATAATATTAATAAGTTAGTAACAAAACACATAACATCACGCTAGTTAAACTCTGAATAGATGGGTTTCTAGGCCCATCCTTACTATCTTTATCTTTACTAATGTTATAAATCGGAAAGTGAGTTTGTTTGTTTATTTGTTCCGCTTTCACGCTATAACTAATAAACCGATTGCTTTGAAATTTTGCAGACGTAAAGTTAGAAGTCCGGATTAAATAATAGGGTACTTTATATCCCGGAATAATTTAATATTCCCGAGGGAAAACAAAAATATTGGTATAGATGGCGCTGTGTGTATTGGTATAGATGGCGCTGTATGTCATTTAAAACAAGTCAACGAATTACCTACTAATTAGAAATCTCACGCTTTAATCTATAGCGCTACCTACACTTATTCGGTGCACATTTTAAAAGTGTGATAACGTTGAGCTTTCCTACCATTTTACATTAAATTGTGTATTTTATAGATTTTAGGTTGTACACGAAATCATAGCGTTTGTAATACTCGACAATTAGCAAAAAAATTGTACGCCGTTGTTCCAACGGTCTATAGATGGCGTTAGGATCGAGTTAGATGGCGCTATGGTTTCGTTAGGTTATATATACATAGGTTAATAGGTTATAGTATAGGTTCCGAGCATCCGAAACAATTGTATTTTGGTGTAAGCTTCTAGCACTGTGATTGATTTTTTACGCTCGCTCAATAATAGTCTTGATTAGTCAAATGTTTTTTTTTCTAGGTAGATATTATTATCTAAAATAGTTATTGTTTTTTCGTCCATTTAAGTCGCTTTGTTCATTGTTTAGGTTGACAGTAGCTGTATATTAGTTAGGTGAAGTCTTTTAAATTGAAATGGGAGGATGATATTTGTGGTAATACGAAAATAACTCCTTCTGTATGTTGTTTATTTATTTATTTATTTATTAACTAGCTTCTGCCAGCGGCTTCGCCCGCGATCTCAGGGGTAAAATGCCTATATATCACTTCAGACCATAATCTACCTCTGTTCCGAATTTCATTCCGGTCCCTTCAGTCGTTTTAATATGACTGAGTAACAAACATACACTTAAACTCACATGTTTTCATTTATAATATCGAATCAAGCTAATTTCAACTATTGGCCTTTCAGTTACAGCGTAATGTCTATGAATGAGTATTGTAAACGTTAGAGTAGACAAATACAATCAGAAATCACCGAATTGCTAAGCTATCGGGAGTTTCACGTGTTATTGTGAGTCAACCATAAAAGATAGACATATGCTATCGACGAATATTTTTTATATAATTTTAAGGAGAATATTTCCGTCATATATGATTTCTATGCAGCTTTAACCTATAAGCCTGCACACGCGGAAGCTTAAAAAATGGAGTAACTTCTCCCGTTTTCCCAATATTTCCCTTCACTGCTCTGCTCCTTTTGATCGTAGCGTAATGAAAAGTATACTATAACCTGCCCAAGAGTATGAAGAATAATTGTGCCAAATTTTGTTAAAATCCATCGAGTAGTTTTTGTTTCCATAACGAACATACAGACAGACAGACAGACAGACAAAAATTTTACTGATTGCATTTTTGGCATCAGTAGCGATCCCTAACCACCCCTTGATAGTTATTTTTTAAATATATTGTATGTACAGAATTGACCTCTCTACAGATTTATTATAAGTATAGATTTATGTACACACATTCAACACAGAGGATATTTATTTATTAATTTATGTACACACATTCAACACAGAGGATAATACATAATAAAAAACAGAGTACATAGGCCCCACATATTCCAACTGGAATTTCTTCCTGTGGGCCTGTGTTGTTCTTTCACGCCTAAACGGCTGAACGGATTTGGTATGAAGTTAGTTTGAGTCCTGGAAAAGCAAGGCTTTACCGCGGCAGAATTTCTCATTCCCACGGAAAAATCTAAAAAGCGCGATATAACCGAATTCCACGCGAGCAACATGGCGTACGGGCCTACCTGATCATTATATGCCCTCATCATCAAGGGATTGAACATATCCAGACCCGAAACTCGATAATATGTTTACTAATTTAGTACCAAGTAGTCCAAGGTTCCATCAGCCACCTCAATTCCATCATCAGATCAGTCCGATTGCACCATAATATTGTATTGTCATCTAATCTACGTGTATTTGCCAAGTTTCATGATGATACAAGGAAAAGAAGTGTGCCTAATTCAGATCCTTAGATTTTGTTACCTAATTTTTTTAAGGGGGGAAAATCATCGAATGACTGCACCCGCCGGGGTGAGGCGGGAGGGACTGTCAGACTCTTACTGACTAAAAACCACCCCGTTCCTTCTCCTGCACGTCGAGCCGGAGCCCCGGTTACCCTTTAGGACCTTGCCGTTTCGGAGTCGCGGAGAACCTAAAGTTTAGGTTCTCCGCGACTCCGAAACGGCATCGGCATCGGCCCTCTTGGGCCCCATCTGTGGTGGTCTGATGGCTCTTTGAGGTCTTCTTGTTACCTACATAGTATGTTGCGGGTCGACCTAATAAAAATGTATTGAAAAATTATTTCTAGGTATTATTTGCTGGCTTATTTTAATGCCGTTTGCCGTACTATTACAATATCCTTCTATAACGTGGCTCACGACATAAATAATGGTTAGCTAGAACGACTGCTTCTATGATAATAGCCTTGTACAAGTTGTATATTGTACTCCTTACACTATAATTTTCTTAGCTAGCTCCCATGTTATTTTTAGTCACTATTTTATTTTAGTTAGGAATGAGACTATTTATTTATTGTACAGTTAGTTGACGTAATTAACATTATATTTTAGTTCATTTTGACGAATCATACCTATGCCTAATCGTTTATTTACCATGATCCTTAGTTAACGGTTATGGGATGAGGAAATACATGAAAGTCCATTAGGAGCCCCACTAAATAAAATGTCTAGATCCTGGTGCACACACCTTTTTTGAGTGGGCAATATCACCCAATGACTTCTCCCGTCTTGGGTTAGGCGAAAGGGAGTGCCAGACTCTTACTGACTAAAACCACCCCGTTCCTACGCCCGTTAGGCCTTCCGCGACTCCATATCGGGCATCAGCTCTACTGGGCCCCATCAGTGGAGGTATGATGGCTCTTTGAGGCCCGCGCGGAACGCGACGCGCCGTACGCACGGGTTTGGTTCTGGTCGGGCGGTGAATTTTGCATAACATACATTTTTTTGTTTGCTGCAGGTACTAAGGTTGGAGTACGAAGCGTACGAACCCATGGCGCTGAAGGCTATGAAGTCCATCTGCGATGAAGCGAGGGACAAGTGGCCTGCCATCCATAGCATAGCCATATACCACAGGTTTGTTCACTTTTATTACAATTTTAATTATAGCCTAATTTAATACCGGTTTTGCACTAGGTACCTACATGTAAAATTTCTACATACTCTATATACTTCGACCTGTCAGGCATCCTCCTTTACACAGCATTTTTAAACTAACAAGAGATATTTTTTTCGCTAAATCGGTTGCACATCGATCAATTGATTTTGAACCTTATGTCGTTTTGTTAAAGTTGAAAATCAATTAATGGAATCTCTGACTTAGTAACAATTTTATGGTCATCATTGTCGAGACTACCAACCCTGATTAAATATTTATTTACTGAATTAATTCTGAAATTCTTTTATGAACCAGTTTGCACTTGTGTGGGGACTTTCCAATACAATTCTATACTATTTACTTCAAAAAAGTATAAAACAGATCCCAAGGTCATGAAAACACCTGTGTAATTGTCTTGAAAAATTAATTGAGTGTCAATAATTAAATATTTGTTTCAATGATAATTTTATTGACATTATATTCTTATTTAAACGGTAGTATCGTGTTTCAAGTCCCCTTATTAACATCACAATTGCTTAAAAAATACACACATATGTGTATGGTGATAGAGTTCAAATTCGCGTAAAAAACTTGTTTGTTTAGTAACGCACGTGCATATTGAAAATTGTAATAAACAAGACGCAAAATATCATCCGAGTAGAAAGAGACAATGCTAGTCTGCTATTGTGTGTCTCTTTCTATTGTCTCTATAGAAGACATAATATAAAATAATATTTCATGTTAGTTTTTGACTGCCTCGTTGGCCGAGTGGTCGCAAGTGCGACTGCCGGGCGAGGGGTCTCGGGTTCGATTCCCGGGTCGGGCAAAGTACTGGGTTTTTAAAAAAAATCTCAGTGGTAGCACGGAGTCTGGAAATGTGCCCGGTATATGGCAATAGGCTCACCCCCTATGACATGGGACTCATAACATAAGTAGTGAAAAGTGGGTGTTACCTCTGTGTGCACCTCTGCCTACCCCTTCGGGGATAAAAGGCGTGATGTTATGTTATGTTTTTGACTTTGAACAAGATAAAAGATTTCATTTTTGCGTTCAGTAGGTGGCGCTAGTGACGTTTACAGTCGACTTTGTTTAGTTTCTTAAGCTGTAAAAAGGTGGTGAAGTTCATTTCAGCTAAATAGCTTTCAAACATAAATATGTTTGAAAGCTTAACAAACAAACAAACAGACACAATAAATATTTAAATAGATACTTCTACATAAAATTATTAACGTTAACATTTTTTTCTATGTTATCTTCCTTAACTCGTCGAGTACCGGTTTTATAGACACAATTAAAGAACAATAGGTCGCGGTCACCGGTCACCGCTTGGTGTTTGACAGTTTAACAATGACGTAGCACATTACTATATTATGTATGTTACATGTTTCATAAAACATATATAAACATAACATCACGCCTTTTATACCCGAAGGGGTAAGCAGAGGTGCACATTACAGCACTTAATGCCACTGTACAATGTAACACCCACATTTCACTATTTATGTTATGAGTCCCATATCCCATATGGTCCCATAGGGTATGAGCCTATTGTCGTGTTTCATAAAAACATAAGCTTGTTAGTATCTGATGGAATTGCGATAATAATGAAAATTTATTATTAAAATAATATAAATAATGTAAAACTCATCCATTACTAGCTGTCTCACAGATAACAGATAATGCATAACCAAAACTACTGGACTACTAATTTTAGGAAGATTTTATTTGGTGTCAGAGTGTAATTGGCACTTTTGAAACACCAAAACTTGATTTATCTGTCCGTTTGTCCATCAGTGAAGCTGGACAGTGATGTGGTTACTTGCCTTAAGAAAGATTAATTTGAATTTAAAATGGCATTTATCTAGTGTAGGTATCTTAGAGGACTGTAGGGAAGCAATGAGAGAGGACTTTATAACATTTTTACAGGAACTGAAAGAAAGATAGTAAACTGTAAAACTAGTTACTTAAAGTTCAAAATAATTTATAACTTTTACAGGAACTGAAAGATAACTAGCAAGCTCTAAGAGTAGTTACTTAAAGTTCAAAATAAATTAAAAACAAGACTAGGCTACGCAGCAACTACAAAAGATAAGACAGCAAAGAATATGCTATTTCGTTTTTTTTTGTATAGTTTGAAATAAAAAACACATCAAGGCTTCATACAAGTATTTTTTATTATATTTTAGATTTACTTTACATTTTGACTGCCATCTTAGAAAGTAACATGAGCACTAAACAAAGATAATCACTACATACTATAACACTAGTTTAAAACAAAGTCACTATCCGCCGTCTGTCTGTCCCTATGTATGCTTAGATCTTTAAAACTACACAACGGATTTTGATGCGGTTTTTTTTAATAGATAGAGTGATTCTTAAGGAAGGTTTATATGTATAATGCATGCATATTGCACCCGTGCGAAGCCGGAGCGGGTCGCTAGTGATAAATAAAAGAATGTTCTACTGTTTGCCATGCTTTATATGTAGGTACACCGCTGATAAAAAGATATAATAATGACACAACTAATAAATGCATATTTGTTCTACATTTCGTGTCATCTGAAGGTCGTCATAAATAAATATTTCATTTAAAAGTGTAAGTTGAGTCGGTTGGAGTCGAGAAAAAAATTAAGTAAAGAAAGATAGTAATAGTTCTATTTATTATCTAGAATTGTAGATAATAATTAACGGGTATTTGAGGGATATACACAGGCGCAGTCAAGTCACAAGAAATTATTGAATAAGTTTTGAAAATCTGTCTATATAATATCTCGATCGCTTATTTCAATGTATTCGTATTTACAAAAGTACTTCCTTTGGCCTGGTTAAAATTCAGATTGGAAGTAGATTAGTAGATACAGATCTTATAACTAGTTGCCAAAGCACATAGATAATATAGATAACTAGCATCTTCCAGCGGTTTCACCCGCGTTCCCCTAGGAGACAAAGTAGCCTATGTGTCATACCTGACCATAGTCTACCTCTGTTCCAAATTTCATCTAAATCCGATCAGTAGTTTTTGCGTGAAAGAGTAACACACACAAACACACACACACACACATACACACACACAAACACACTTTCGCATCAATAATATTATATAGAAGACTGCCTCGTTGGCCGAGTGGTCGCAAGTGCGACTGCCGGGCAAGGGGTCTCGGGTTCGATTCCCGTTTCGGGCAAAGATTTATTGGGTTTAAAAAAATCTCAATAGTAGCACGTAGTCTGGAATTGTGCCCGGTATATGGCAATAGGCTCACCCCCTATTACATGGGACTCATAAAATAAATAGTGAAAAGTGGGTGTTACATTGTACAGTGGTATAATTTGTAGGTACAATACATACAATTACATATTTTTACAGTTCAATTCAATAGCCAGGGTCAGAGAAACGGCATTGTTGCTTCTATACAAAATACTGACTTCCGTTCCAACATTATACAGTAGATACTACACTGTAATTCATTAATTTTGAACTCTATAGCTTTGTAATACAGTTTATATTTGTACGCGTGATAAGTTGATTGATAAATTAGTTATATGCAAGTATCAAAGTGAGGTGTGACCTCGATTATGTTTTTGTGGCCATTTGAAGTTATATTTTTTGCATTTATTTGTCGGTATTAGATTTATGATGCTTATTACTTGGAATTAGACATCTTTGATGTTTTTAAGCCTAACTAATGAGAGAATGGTTCAAGGTTTATTAGGTTCTTGAGCTTTGGGATTTTCCATAAAGAAATTCTCATTAAAACTAAGAAGTCGAGTGTACACCCAGAAATTTTGCTCTCTCTTTTCAGAAGACGAATGAAATCTATTAAAGTTTCTTCTCATAACATCCACCTTTTAAATATGTCCTCTCAAAAACAGTGTAGTTTCCAAGTTACTCGTTTGCCTCCTAATTCATAAAAAAAAGTTTTCTAACAAATATATCTCCTTTTATTTCTTAAAGGGCGCAATACATCATTCCCAAGTTCTCCAACTTGATGGCGAGTTCCTGGCCAAACGCTATCCTATCAAGAATAAAAAAAAAACTAATCATTACATTTTCTTCCACAGACTAGGCATGGTGCCTTGCAGAGAAGCATCAGCAGTAATAGCAGTGAGCAGTCCGCACCGGAGAGACTCCTTGGACGCAGTCTCTCACTGCATCGAGACTCTGAAGGCCAGTGTACCCATCTGGAAGAAGGAGGTCTATGATGGCGACGAACCAGTCTGGAAGGAGAATGTCGAATGTGCGTGGTCCACTAAACGTAGAGCCTGCAACGGTCAAACCGTCGGCTAAAAGCTTGTTTCACAGTTTTATCTGATAGATAGTAGTTCAATGAGGCTTCTGATAAAGTTAGCTGGTCATCCTATGATGGTGATGTCGTCTGATTTGTTTTGTTGTACAGTTTTCGATAGATATTTATGTTTAAAGGATGCATTGTGGTTCGTTTCGGTGATTGCAAAAGTAAGTCGAATGTAAAATTATACCTAGGTCTATGAATGTCTTACTTCTTCGTTTATTTTATTACAAAGGCCGATGCATCAATCATCATTTAATTCTTAACTGTAGAATAAAATTGACATTTGACAGTTTTTAGTATGGAAGAATTGTCAAATGTTCAAAGTTAGTCCTCTGATAAAATTTACCGGGCGTTGGAAAAATCGGCTCTTAAACTGTCAAACACCAAGCGGTCACCGGTGACCGCAACCTATTGTTCTATAATTGTGTCTATAATGACGGTACTCGACGAGTTAACCTCTTATCTGTCGGAATATGAGACACAATAGAAAACACATTGTGTCTCGCATATATCTATGTTCCACCAAGGGTGTTATTAATATGTTTTTCGACTTACTTGCGTAACTGTTGTGTAAAACTAATCGAGTCCTTTTTCTAGGAAAAGCCCTTTCTAACACAGGAATAAGTTTTAATTTCCACATTTCTAGGTTTTCCTAGAATGGTTGTAGATTTCATTCTTATATATTCTATTCTAAGACTAACTTTAAAGCTCACTTCTTGGTTAGAAAGTTGATATTCTCTACTAAAACAACGAAATACAGCAGACAGACACACACAAACACATTAGAATTTATTAAAATTCCATAAATCATGTGTATTTTGAAACTGTGAAGCTTGCTGTAAAGCTTTGTATACTGCTTATTGTTAGTAGTTAGCGCTTCGCCCTCAACATCGCCCGTTGTTGATCTGTTATTAATTAATTACGAACTGTTTTTTATAATAACTATTGTGAGACATACTAAATTAACTGAGAAAAGCTCTACTGATTTCAAGCCACAAAGGGGCTCTTCCTCATGAGCAGCGTGTGCGGTCGCGGCGATGTTGCGCAGCTTACTCCTAGAATAGGATGCACATAAGGAAGAGCCCCTCTGTGGCTCGAAACTAGTTGAACTTTTCTCAGTATACTCAGTTCACGTGAGTAACCTGCAATTTTTAGTTAATTCCATCTGAAAGTCTAGACCTCTCTAAAATTAGGCATGAGCAGTGCCCTTGGTCTATTTTAGAGAGGTCTTGACAGATTGTTGTTTAATTTAAGCGTTAGTTAAGACGTTTACAGCTTTTAAATATAGATATCGAAGATATCAGTTGATAGAAAAATGTATAACGACTTCAAGAGATAACATTTTTTGGAGTTATTTCATTCCTTAAAAGCAGCCCCATAGGGGGTTAAATCCATTTTGAACTTTCTTCTTCATATGGGAGGTTAGTGTTTTGATTAGCAAGCATAGCTGAGTAAACCCCTGAGTAAAATAGGCGTGACGTCATTTTATAGTCTTTTATAGTTTATGTTATTAGTGTAGTAGTTCATTAGTACCAGATTAAACCTCGATCTAGCTTCTAAGCAAAGACGAGGTGTTGTTAGACTATTGTGCACATTTTAGTGATTTGTTTTTACAATTAAGTATTTTATAGCCATTTTAATAGATTATGTTTAGCACAACAATGTAGTTTAAGCATTGGAATGCATAAATAGGTTCCTCAAAGGTTTATACTGAAAACCGGTTTGTTTTATTTTTGCTTGTCATTGATGGCGCTAGTGAGACGTGTACAGTCAAAGGCGAAAAGTCCACTGCCACCGTGAGTGATGTTCACACGGCAATGCGTAAGTAATTTCATATTAATGTGCATAAAAACGCGTGCGTACGCATAAACACACGCACGCGTACGCACACGGATACAAATATGCGTGTGCATGTATATATAAGCGCTGCAGCGCAACCGATAGTAGACTTACGGTGGACTTTTGACCTTTTACCGTACCTGGAAGGCATAAACGTTTTCTTTTGTGACAAAGCAGAGATGTTTTTAACCTATATAGATTCTGAAACGAAATGATATATTAAAATAATAGCGGTCGAAAGTGCATTCACACTCCAAATTCTGTTTGATATTACAAATATCTACTTAGTACACACCGCCACTCATCAGTCTAAACAAAACCAGGTTATCCTGAGGGCCAAGCACGAATAACTATCGCATTCGTAACGTAATAGTATCGAGCGCGTTCGGCGCTCTGATTGGCCGGCTCGAGTGAACCAACCAATCAGAACGCTTAACTCGCTCGATACTGTTACGATACGAATGCGATAGTTATTCGTGCTTGGCCCTCTGGTGTCGCGTCGCATCATCTTTCCGCACATTTAACGTTCAGTTTATACTGGTTATGTAAAGCTCGATGTGTAGCCGTGTGTACATCAAACATAGTCTTTAGATACTGCATTACACAAACAACTCTACTAATACCACATTCTTATCAGTTATCTGTTTTTATCAGTTGCTCAATTTAGGTGATTGACGGTAGGTCAAGTTATAACATTATGTAAGTATATTACATAATTGTTACTTAGTTATTAATTGAAATAGGTGCAAACCCCTATTAGTAAATAGGAGTACACATTTTTCTTTAAATAATTTTATCGCTAATACCTATTAGTTTTAAGTAACTAACGATTAGAGAGTATACCTAGAGAGTCTCTAGCTTCTCATTTCCTAGAATAAAGGATGTTGATATGCTATGCATCATCACAATGTCAGGTACATGACTTCATCTGCTAAACGATTACAATAGCTTTGAAATCGGTTAGTTAGAAGCAATCTGTTTCCACCAGTTCCCTACGGTCTTTATCAGGTCTGTTCCAAGCCTTTACGTGATTTTTTTTTAAAAAACCTTGCCCCACATTAGGATTATCTCCTGTGTCGTGGGTGCGTTTACAAACATACAAGTTCACATGATACCCAGACCCGAAACGGCAGGCAGGCAGCCAAATCTTGCAAATATACACTTAACTATGTAAGGAGTGCATTATGTATCCAAGTTAGGTCATATTAGTTGATTTTGTGTTATATGTCAAGTAAAACTGACTTTCGCAGTGTTTTTTTCTTTATATCTCGTTTATGACTTATATTGTTGGTATAATTTGTTATTGTTAGCGACTTCAAAAAAGAAGGAGGTACTATGTTCGGATAATTGTTTTTTTTATTTAACGTTATCAATGAATTGAAATTGGAAGAGTTTGCGAAGATAAAACGGAAAGTGGAGAAAATATAAATTGTGCTTTAGTTGAATATATAGGATGAGTAAATATTTATTTAGATATTATATTTTTTATATTCTTATACAAATTGCTTCTTTTCAATTCTTCTTTTGTACTTCATTAACTGCCATCGTCAATTTTGAGTTCTATTATACTGGCAATAAGATCTATGACATGTACATACTAGCATGTGCTGGAAATGTCTCAATGCATTTAATTATTGTCTTTATGTCAGTGAAATAGCACTTAAAATGAAATAAAGTTGAGGTATGTAGGTAATACAATATTTATGTATTATTTTAATATAGTATTTGTATTTTTATAGCATGAAATGCATGAACTGAAATGAAATGTTATATTATATATTTTTTTGTTTTATATACTTTTGTTTAAATTCTAGGTCCTGGTTCAAGTTCTTAGATTGAATATTGTTTATTTGATGGATATTTAATGGATTTGAAAGATTGTGAGAATATAATGCATAAGTCTATTACAAGATTTATTAAGTTTCCCTTATGAATATAAATTTCGAATGGTGATTGTATGATAATAAGAAGTTTAGACTTTTCATAAACAAATTGTTTTACATAAAATAAAATGTTTTCAAATAGTTTTTATTTGTTTTTAAGGCTCTTTGTTGTTTGCAATACTATAGTTTTTAAGAACAATGCAATAATCAAATAATAAAGTTTAAGATTTGTTCTACACTGTTTTATTTGATAACCGCCTCTGATAAATAAGGTCATGGGTTCGATTCCAATAGTGCGTAGTTATCTATCGATAGTTCTATATGAAGTTATAAATCGATCAACATACAATGTTGTGAACTTATCTATAGGTACGATTGTAATAAAAAATATGCATGACCAGAGTGCTTACTCTTGAAACCAATCTCAATGACATTGCAATTACAATCCAATAAAATCTTAATAATTATCCAATGTCAAAACTATACAACTTCTATCGTAGCTGTTAAAATAGCATTCAGAGTACGGAATTTATATAGCCAAACTCAATACCATTTAGTTCATGAAAAATCCATGCAATACGAATGAAATTGGCGCTAGTGTTGCAACTCAAGAGTACAAAATTTCACAATGTCAATGTCGATCGATCGGAATTGGATTCAAGAGTAAGCCTCCAGATGTATGAATAAGAAAGTAAAGAAGTAAAGGTTTTAGTTAAAATGAAATATAGCTAATATACGGTAACTAAAAATCGCGGGTTACTCACGTGAATGTACTGAGAACAGCTCTACTAGTTTATAACCACACAGGGGTAGGCTGCGCGACATCGCCGCGACCGCTCTCGCTGCTCATGAGGAAGAATCTCTGTGTTTCGAAACTAGTAGAGCTTTTCTCAGTATATTCACGTGAGTAACCCGCTATGTTTAGTTAATTTAGTATGTCTCACGATAGTTATTATAAAAACATAGCTAATGTATGTTATTGGTTGTATGTGACTTTTTTTAAGGGGGGAAATTTATCGAATGACTGCTCCCGCCTGGGTGAGGCGGGAGGGAGTGTCAGAGTCTTACTGACTAAAAACCACACCGTTCCTCCTCCTGCACGTCGAGCCGGAGCCCCGGTAACCCGTTAGGTTCTCCGCGACTGGTTGTATGTGACTTGCCTAAACGATTCGTCCGGGAAAATTCAACATAACCGCTTGAATGCATCGATATGAGATACAATAGAAAATATATTGTGTCACGCGTGGATTCGCGTTTTAGGCACACGAAAGGATAACGCTAAATACAGGAAATAGGGCCAGTACTATAATATATTTTTTTAACATGTCAGTGTTACTTATACATAAATTAACGGTCATCATCGGATACAGTAACATAAAATGATAAAAATAAGGTCTATTTTACAATACTTTTACTAGACAATAGCACCGACCTAAATATTCACAATTAACATTTAGCCTTATCTTTACTAGAGTATTTAATTGAATAGAAAAAGAAAGTATTTTACGAGACAATTTAGCTGTAGGTAAACAACGAAGAATGTGAATTAATGATATCACTCTTGTTTTTATAATGTACTAGCTTCTGCCCGCGACTTTGTACGCGCAATCCCCTTCGTACGTGCAAACCCCTTAAATATCGTGGTATCTCTGTCATTTTGCAAAGAACTTGTAGAGACAGAACTATACTTAAGCGTGGTCGCGGAGATCCTAACGGTTACCGGGGCTTCGGCTCGACGTGCAGGAGAAGGAACGGGGTGGTTTTTAGTCAGTAAGAGTCTCACTCCCTCCTGCCTCACCCAGGCGGGAGCAGTCATTCGATGATTTTCCCCCCTTAAAAAAATACTTAAGCGTGACTTATTGAGTAGCGTTTGAGTATTTCGCCAAAAGGGACATAAAAGAATAACATCTTTAAAAAGTATCTGAGTACTTATAAAATGTGCTGTATGTGTAAATGTCCTATTCTTTATTTAGCCTATATATTAAAATAATTATCCTTGTTAACAGGCACGATAGATTCAACGCCGATCCCAACGCCAGCGCCAAACCCGGCGCCACCAGTGGACAAAAGTTTAGTCCAAATCAACGTGTCCTGCGAAGAGTTACAGCAACGTATACAGAACTTCATAGAAAGAAAGAGAGAACAAGTGAATATTAGTAACATTCATGATTTTATACCAAATAATGAAGCTGATAATGAAGAAACTGAGACCTGCGCTAGAGTGCGGACGCAGTTTGTCAGGCGAGGAGATTCTAAGGGGCATTTGAAAGGTTAGCGCTTTGAATTTAGTTAAGAAGTTGTTAGTATGCTTCATCTTCTACGTCCTGCCGCTGGGTGAAAGACAAGAGAGGAAATGAGCATTGATCACTATTTGCGCTTCCTCGAAGAGGGTTGGCAATTTAAAACTTCTAATTGAAGTGAAACATTAATTGTTCGTTAACAGTATTTAGTTCGTTACCTATGGAGTATAGAGCATAATGTCCAGGGGCGTAGCTAGCACCGTATCTGCCGTATCAATTATACGGGGCCCCCAAGTCAGAGGGGCCCCCAACGTACGTAAGCAAAAATTAATAAAAAATTCACAATTTTTTATTTTAGAAATCACAAAAATCAAAGTATGAATTATTTTTAAGAAAATAATGTTTGGGGCCCCGCAAACATTTTTTATACGAGGTCCCGCCAAGGCTCGCTACGCCACTGATAATGTCCTAAGATTAATTCTTGGATTTTAAAAACGTTTCTAACACGCTCTTTGGTAGTAAGCACAAGCAGTTACTTTATCATAATAAACACAAAAATGGAATTTAAATTTAAACAATCAGGTTGGTTAACAAAAATCTATAATCAAAACAAACTATCATTCTAACTTATCTTTTAATCTCCAGTACACAAAGTCCACAACGAATGGGGTCCTCAAACCGTGGCTCCCGCAGACTTCTTCCCTGAACAGCACAACCAGACCGGCCTGCCGTCATCCATTGCTGAGCGAGTGGTATCCATTGAGAACTACCTGAACATAGGACCAGTCTCCAAAGATATCTACAGGCGGTTGAAGGACATGGAAGATAAGATCGCTTATTTACAGTCTGTGTCGCCGGAGTACGCTCAGTTTTGGGTAAGTTTATTTATTTAATAACTAGCTTTTACCCGCGCCTTCGCTCGCGTCACAAAATGATAAAGAGTAGCCTATGTGACATATACCAATACACACAGCACCATCTATACCAATACTTTTGTTTTCCCTCGAGAATATCAATTTTGCCGGGATAAAAAGTACCGTATTATTTAATCCAGACTTCTAACTTTACGTCTGCAAAAATTCAAAGCAATCGGTTCAGTAGTTACGGCGTGAAACCGGAACAAACAAACAAACTCACTTTCCCATTTATAATAGTAAGGATTTATGTACACACAAACAGCACAGAAGATGACATATTTATAAAATAAGAGAACAAAGGTGCTACTTATTCCTGTTGGAATATCTTCCAGTAGACCTGAGACAGGAAATGTAATTAAAAGATAAGCCACAGTGTGTAACAGTAGAGAAAAAATAAGTACGATAAGAAATATTACAATTTGTGGATTTTAGTTAAATTGTATTTTCATTTTAGGTATATTAGTCCTGTAATTGCATTTTATAGAGATATTTTAATAGTATAAAAACACTAAAACTAAAACAGAATAATAACTGTATTATAAATAAATATAATAATTAAGTTATGCTTAATTATTTACTTAACGTTTCGTATTCGTGAAGTCCTGTCCCATTAAATGCAGTAATGAATTAATCGTCAAAAGTCGACTTTAATAACAAAAAAACCTTTTTACTAACAGATACCTTGGCTTTCTTGTTGCTGCATGTAGCCATGTTGTCAGTTTGGACATGCTTCAAAATATAACGAGTAAAATAGATATTTTGCAAAAGACATCGAGACCTTTAAGTTATGGATTCAATCCCAGGGCCGAACATGCATTAATGGACGTTTTTCGAATATAACTTGTATGTTCTTTTCCCTTCTTACAGAAGGCTGCAAGAGATAGGGACGTGAAGCAGGAAGGCGCGATGGACTACGCATTCTCTGCTGACGACATCGCCAGGAAGATTGAACAACTCGAGAAAGGCATGATGTAAACCTCTCTAAACACAGTTAATTTTAATATTAATAGACACAATTAAAGAACAATAGGTTGCGGTCACCGGTGTCCTCGCGGTGTTTGACAGTTTAACTAAAATCGCGGGTTACTCACGTGAATATACTGAGAAAAGCTCTACTAGTTTCGAACCACAGAGGGGTTCTTCCTCATGAGCAGCGTGTGCGGTCGCGGCAACGTCGCGCGGCTCACTATACTACACTGTACACAAATAGTAGAATTTTTCTCAGTATATTCAAGCGAGTAACCCGTGATTTTAGTTAATTCAGTATGTTTCACGATAGTAATTATAAAAACACAGTTAATTTACTTTGAAGCCATTATCATGTCCTCTTTTTATACTAATTACTTTTATGTTGAGTTAGCACAATAATGTATTCTGCCATTCTCCACTATTATCTTATCAAATACATTTTCCTCTTTTCAATTCGTAAAAATAATCGTTTGAGGTCTTAGTTAGCGATGGACAATATTGTGAAGCTGTAAGAATAATAAATTACATAACATCACACCTTTTATCCCCGAAGGGGTAGGCAGAGGTGCACACTGTACAATGTAACACCCACTTTTCACTATTTATGTTCTTAGTCCCATGTAATAGGGGGTGAGCCTATTGCCATATACCGGGCACAATTCCAGACTTCGTGCTACTACTGAGATTTTTTTTTAAAAATCCAAATAATAAATTGTTTATTCAAAACAAAGAAATACTCGTTACAATATCACGAGACTTATCTAGAATTTATGAAGACATTTAGTATATAATTTTGTACAATGACCCCCGTGCTAGAACCTGTGTAATAGTATGTAAATGTATTTAACTTTATCCGATCCCCTGTCCTTATGTAAGTTTTGAACTATAGTAGGCATAGTAGCAACCTAATTTTGTATTTATAAGAAATGTAATTTTAAGAAAAAAATACCACTTTTATATGATTTTAGAAATTAAGAAATAAAAAATGTATTACTATAAGTTGTTTTTTTTTTACTACATGAGATCCTGAGCATGAGGCGCCAACATCAAAGAATGAATAATTAGCCTTCTGCCAGAAAATTAGAACACCATTTTTTTCAAGTTAAAACTAAAAAAATCACTGTTTTTAAAAAAAATCGCATCTTTCAAAAATTAGAGGTCCTAGCCCAAAAATAACGTTATTTTAGAACACACCGGCCACAACCCTGTGATGATATATTTTCTGTTTAACGGATGGGGTGAGAATGACCTTGGGTTGATTTTGAGACCCACTTCCAAAAATTTCAATGGTCGAGGCGTATCCGTTACCCAGGCCAGATGTTGTCGAAAATGGTAATTTTAATCTTATAGATATTTACGTTTTGCGGCTTCTGTAATTATTGCGCACATTTTTAAATTTGTTGCGCTTATAGTTTTTTAATTATTTCACAAAAAAATTTCCTGCTGGGGTAACGTTACCCCAGCCTGAGCTTTTTAAACTAGCTATAAAATTAGTTGTCTAGATGAAGTAAATAATAAAGTACTTAAGTCTTTAGAGCTCTTATTGACAGTGCCGGGACCAATTGAAGTGTTCTATTTAATGAAATAACCTTTAAGCTATGTATTATTTTGTTTTTAATTTCACAAAAAATTCAAACTAATTCCTAAGAAGCCATGTACAAAGTATGATAAGAATCCGCTTAACCATTTCCAAGATCTAGCAAAACCAAAAACGTTACCCAAGCAAAATTTCGAATGACTTCGCAACCGATGAAAGAACAAATACAAAATAAGGCTCAACATTAACTTCATCTAGACAATTAATTTTATAGCTACTAATTATTTAAATATTCCCATTACAAAGAAAAAGGTCTGGCTGGGGTAACGTTACCCCAACAGGAAAGGTTTTTGTGTAGTAATTAAAAAACTGTAAGCGCAACAAAATTAAAAATGTGCGCAACAATTACAGAAACCCCAAGACTAATTATCTATTAGATTCAAATGACCATTTTCGACAACATCTGGCCTGGGTAACGGACACGGTCGAGGCTAGGTATAAATGCTTTTATCGGTGCGTTGAAGTTAAACACAACGAATTCAGATATTAGGCTAACACAAAACTTGTTGTTTAAATGGAGACTCAACTTGCTATACTTTGAGACCTATGCTAGACTACTTTCAAATTATCATATTATCGTTACGTCTCATACGTTTGGTAAGAAAAGGGTATCATCCTCATACATATACTCTTTGCCACATCCGGTTTAAAGGCATAGGCAAGCACCTAGTCGACGCCTCTATATTGTTTTGGCGCCGCCGCCACTCTGGGTAGTTGGGCATGCGCGTCTCGCAGCGTCCCTTTACCAACCTGGTGTCCTAGATAATTGCCAAGTTTGTCCTAGGGATGGTACGGCTCTGCTGTTTGGACAAGGATACAAAATACATAACTGAGTCAAAGGTGGCTAGTAAAACGGCCTACTTTTTTGTCCTTTTCTACTTTAGATACCAAGATATTTGTATTTACGCGCCCATGCATACGATAATATACGACCAAGTTGGGCGTTTGAGCATTTTTACTTTAGGTTATTTTTATTGTTTGGCATTTTAATCTAATTAGAATGCATATCTTAGATTAATTGAAAAACTTCGATTGTATAGGGCATAGGGAATTAGGGATACCTTAGCAAAAAATTAAACAACGGTATAATAGTAATTAAATCATTTTCACATTTTATTTACATAATACAAATTCACTATGTACACCTTTCTTTGTCATCACATGTCATCACTGCACTTCACAATATGTGTCACCATTCGATTTACACGAAACAATTTAATTGTCTATCAAAACAATAATTATGGACGCACTATTTTTTGTACACATTCATATAGAAAAAATATTTAGTAATACTAGAAAAGCTGGTATCTTGTGTGCATTTTTGCGCTTCATAGGTGGCGCTGGTGATGTTTTTAAGGTTACAAAGCTGTGATAAAAATTGAATATTGGATTGGTTTAAGCTATAATCTGAGAGATCTTACACCAAAAAGCTGTATAAAATGTTTCTTTGGTTCTAACAGCTTTATTGCAATAAACAGAACAAACTCTTACATAGTACTTTACAATATAAAATCCAATAGACTATATTAAATACATTTGAATATTACTTTTCAAACTGAATTGCACGGAATTATTGCATTTACTAGGACTGACCTCACAATCACCGAAGATTAGGTAATAATACAAGATTAATTTTCATCGGATATTGTTAGGAAAGGCCTACAATTAAATTGCTCCATGTAAATTTTCTAAATTCATTTATACAGGAGTCTTGTTCCTCTATATCCTGGACTAGTTGGCAGGTTGCTGGGTAGGTCTTCGTAGGTATACCACTACGCCCAGAGCCCCGAGGAGTGCTGTGATGAGGTACAGGTCCCAGTTGGACAGTAGTGCTGAATCCGTCAGGAATATGACTGCCAACGGACTCTGAAAGAATGACTGATGATTATCGACTTTAGTGAGGTATGTTGGATCGAAATAAAATAATTGATTTATTTTTTTAAATACATTAAAGTTATAACATCTTTACTAATAGCGTTTTTATCGACATGAACATGATAAGTCGATAAAAACTTGTATTTTTATTATATGCAATAAGTTCTTGAGTGACTTTTCCAAAGTATATAGTTGTAACTCATTAAGAGGTCGAAAACTCCTATCGACCTAATAAAACAACATTTAAAAATCCAGTGAGATAGATAATTCTAAAATACAACTGTTGGACAGTATCCCCCCAGCATGATCACCTCGTCTGATCGGAGAATCCTCCTTTTTTCCTAACTTAACTAAAAGCCTAAAACACTCACATCAAGTATCTGCGAGAGTGCAGTAGCAGCGTTAAGACGGGCGAGCGCGAGCGCGGCGGGCAGCCTGGCGTCGGGCGAGGACTCGGCCGCGAGGTCGTAGCAGCGCTTGGCCAGGTGCGCGTCCTGCGCCAGCCCCAGCCCGCGCTCGTGCATGTAGCCGAGGTTGAACGTCGCCTGCGCGTTGTGCAGCTGCTCTGATGCTATCCTGTGGGTGGAGTGTTATGGGTTATTGGTTGATAATGTTGGAAAAATTATATAAATTACAGTGTCGAATCTGACTTGGCCACCTCTGACATAAACTAAAACTTAAGAGCAACTGTGGCAAATGAAATAGCCTAGTCATTATCTGTAGGTATATGACAAGAACTTATAACTGGTGCAAAATTACCGTCTCCGACTAGCGATCCGTTATTGATTGAAGTTATTATAAACGCACATAGATACTTTTGTTTTATATCACGACGATGGAAAAAAATCACACGGCCCACCTGATGGTAAGTGGTTACCGTGGCCTATATACGCCTGCAACACTTGGGGCATTACATGCGCCTTGCCGACCCTTAAGAAACCTATTCACTCCCCTCTTTAAGAACCCTCTGTTGTAGTCCACTGGGAAAACCACGGCAGGGAGTTCATTCCACAATCAGAGGGTCCGTGGGAGGAAATTCCTCTGAAACAGAACTTTACGGGACCATTTGAGCTCGAAGGTGTGAGTGTGAACTTTCCTGTCGATGGCGAGCGATGCGATGATATTAAATGGACGCGGGCATCATATCAAACAATTCCGTGGAACACAACTCATTATACAAGCGGTGGAACACGTAAATACTAATCCAGTTAAAGCTTGTTGTGTATCAAAGTTATTTTTGTCGGTAGAAAAGACATCAAATTTAGTCTCTAAAGTAAAACATACCATATAATTTTTCCAAAGGCACAACGTAAAACGCTTCCCAAAAATTTGACAACACTTACCTGTAATGGTAGGCCGCAGCCTCCAGATCGTGCGGCGTCCCGAGTCCGTAGTAGTGGTAGTCGCCGAGCTTGACGCGCGCGGCGCCGGAGCCCTGCGCCGCCGCGCGCGCCCACAGCTGCAGCGCGCGCGCCCAGCGCTCCGACTCACTGAACAGACGGACCTCGCCTGGGGGAGTATAGTGAGTAGTATGGAGATGAAATAAAATTAATATACCACTAATCAGCATTGGCTGATCGTGCCATCTGTCATTTTACAATGAATTTGTAGGGACAAAACTATAGTTAAGCGCGGCTTAGAATTGAGTAGCGTTTCAGTATTCGGGCATAAGATTAACTTACATAACAGCAAGTAGAACCACTTACCATTGTCTAGCAAGAAGGCGGCGTTGGTCTGTGCGATCTCGAGCCCACGCTCGGCGAGCGCGAGGTACTGCAGCAGCGCGGAGTCGGAGTCCCGCGCGCGCCAGCCCGCGTGCGCTCGCATCAGGCGCGCGCCCCACCCGCCGCGCTCGCACACGTTCTTGAAAAGCTACGGGCCACGATTCAATTTACAATGTTTTGTTATTTACAGAACTTATTAGTCACTGTTTAATCAATTACCCCCTTCCTCAATCCCTGAATCCACAAACCCCTACTTCCCACAAAGCCGGTAACGCACTTGCAACGCCTCTGGTGTTCTGAGGATCCATAGGCGACATCAATTGCTTACCATCAGGTGATGCGTCTTATCCTATAAAAAAAACCAATTCATTTTTTATATTTGGAGTTGTATTTTTTTTGGGGACAAGCACGCTACAATCTCCCAAATCCGCTGCAACTCCTGTAAACCAGGATCTGCAGTAGATACAACCATGAAAATACCGGGACACTGAAGTCCGGCGCGTCCCAGGGACATGAGTAACTGTCTTGGTTCCCGTAACGAAGTGAATCAGAAGATTATAAGAGAAGAAGAAAAAAAACGATAGTTTCCGCTTCCCTCGGTGAATTACTGCAGGAGACAGAATGAATTAAGCGTAAAGGCACAAAAAAGAGACTGGGTGAAGCCGTGTGCGTTAGCCAGGCCAGATGTTGTCGAAAATGGTCATTTGAATCTTATAGATAATTCGTTTTGATGCTTCTGTAATTGTTGCGCACATTTTTAAATTTGTTGCGCTTATAGTTTTTTAATTATTTCACAAAAATATTTCCTGCTGGGGTAACGTTACCCCAGCCAGACCTTTTTCTTTCTAATGGGAATATTTAAATAATTACTAGTCATAAAATTAGTTGTCTAGATGAAGTAAATGTTGTGCCTTATTTTGTATTTGTTCTTTCACCGGTTGCGAAGTTATTCTAGATTTTGCTGGGGTAACGTTTTTGGATGTTCTAGATCTTTGAAATGGTTAAGCGGATTCTTATCACATTTTGTACATGGCTTATTAGGAATTCGTTTACATTTGTTCTGCAATAAAACACCAAAATAATACATAGCTTAAAGGTTATTTCATTAAATAGAAAAACACTTCAATTGGTCCCAGCACTCTCGATAAGAGCTCTAGAGACTTACTTTAAACGTTATTTTAAAGCTTATAACTGCCTTCAAATGTATGTGAAGTTTCATTAGTATCCTGTAAGTATTTAATAAGTAATGATGATATTGTGTTCTTCACGAGCAACTAGTAATTATTTAAATATTCCCATTAGAAAGAAAAAGCTCTGGCTAGGGAAACTTTAACCCAGCAGGAAATGTTTTCTTTTTTGAAAAATAATTAAAAAATTATAAGCGCTACTAATTATCTTATAGATTCAAATGACCATTTTCGACAACATCTGGCCTGGGTAACGGACACGGTGAGCCCAATCGCCAAGCACCACGGAAATTTTACTAAAAAAACTAAGTGGGTCCTATGTGTGAGCTGTTATACTTGCTTCCAATAATAGGTATGGTAAAAGCTCCTAAACGCACGGAAATTTGTTCTAGATTTCACAAGGTAATAAGCTACACCTGACAAAACAATTAAACTATTCAACATAGTGTTACGTTCATATTGCCAGAGATCACACTCCCAGAGTATGATGATGATGACCATGATGGATGGAGATGTTTGGAGTTGTATTACAAAAAAATATTAGAAAGAAATGGAAGTAAGAGGAATACGGTAGACGTGATAGAAGTGATATTCATCAATCAGAATAGTTAAATCCAAATATATATAAATAAAGAGTCAAATGGTCAGGACGTCCGATCAGTGGGGTTATTATGACGTTCTAAAGTCAGAATGGTTGAATTGAGGGAAAGAAACAGAGCTATACAAATCTTCTAGCGAGATCTCGTTCCCTCAGCGGAACCACACTGGCTTTAAGACATCATAATACGCCGACTCCTAAAAGTTGTATCCAATACAGGTAAGAGTTTAGAAAAATTAAATTTAGAAGAACTTGAATTTAGTCGACTGGAACGCAGAAGAATTTAGATTCATTCATGTAGAATACAGATGCAATAAAAGTCAGACAGTAGAATTCTGATTCAGTAGAAGTTGAAAGTTGAATACCGTACATATCACACATGAAATCTTCTATAGTAGACCTAAAACTCGATTTAAAGTTGTTAATAGCAGTTTTCTTACCTCTACAGCAGTAGTACAAGAGCGCATGACCCCGAGTCCCTGCGCATGCATCTGTCCGAGGTGGTACAGCGCCAGTACGTGGCCTGTCTGCGAGGCCAGGGAGAAGTACTTGTTGGCCTGCTTGAAGTCACGACGGACGCCGATACCACCTAAAAACAATATATTAATATGGTGTTATTTGATGCCAACTGATGCCCGTTTTAGTTGGAAGAACACGCGGAACTCTCGGCGCCGTACGCTGGGGTCTGGTTGTGGTTGGACACGAGCTCGCCGGCCGCAGGTCTACGCTTGCCAGAGATCGTATAATATAAGACACCAGCGTGAATTAAACACAATCGAGTTACCTTGTCAAACAGAGACATGAGTAAATCCTACAAAATAATTAAAAATAAAGGATATCTAGTGAATTGGGACGATGACAGGGTATGAAAATTAAAAATCTAATTAGCCCGTAATGGAAAAATATTAGACACGTATTTTTTATTTTGTCGTATAACACAACAATACTTAGATAAAACGAATCAAAGTTTAGGATTAGGGGCTAAAACGTCATTTCTACGTATAAAATGTATATAGAAGTGACGTCACGCGACATTTCAAATCAATATATCGTCGAAAGTGTGTGATGTTGTGTGATGTGTGATGATTTAAAATAATCTACCAGGCGGACATTAAAACAAAAATTAGGCATCTACCCTATTGATATGCTAATGATGATTACTCACCGAAGTACATGAATCCAAGATGAAGTTGTCCCTCAACCCAGCCCTGGTTGGCGGCCATCGTGAAGTACTTAAACGCCGCATTCGTGTCTTTAGGGACACCACGACCCTGTAAATTTTATTGTCACTGTAAATTGTATTTTAGATGTGATTTATGATATAGAAAGGTATTTAATTTTAAATTAAAAGGACTAAGAACAGATTTATAGAAAACAGATTAAACGAAGATGCTGCCTATGATGAGTTTATCAGAGGATGAAGTCAAATATGGGAAGTCAGATACAAAATTAAAAGAAGATGTAGGTAATGTGCCAAGCACATATTAATCAGGAAAGGAAGAAATCTGTGTTATGTAAAGATATTTACCTGTAGATACATGATACCTAATCCACTCTGTCCAACTGGGTTATTAAGTTCAGCGGCTTTTCTGAAGTACCGCAGTGCAGTGTCATTATCTGCCTTGATGCCGTCACCACCTTCCAAGTATATCTGAAATAAAATGTGAAATTAGACGAATAAGTAATTACGTATTTAGCGCAACGGTTAAAAAGTTTGCGCAACGGTTAATAAGTTTGCGCTTCGTTCAAAATATCTTATAAAATGGTTCAGTTCATTGGGAAATGATTAAGGAGTTTGCGCATTGTCAAGAATTTAGCGCAACTACAAAAAATTTGTAACATTGTAACTCACTTTGCCTAAGAATGCATTAGCGACAGCGTTCCCAGTCTTGGCAGCTTGTTGGAAGTAGTGGAGCGCCTTGTTGATGTCTAGAGTCACGCCGCGTCCGCCTTGGAAGTGCAACTGGCCCAAACCGACCTGGAGAAAGATAATAATCACTGCTATATTAAAAAAATCGTTTGACTTGTCCTCAGGCAATATACAATGATACAAAAAATATTGAAGAATTTAATTTGCAAATTCCTGATTCAATCTATATTAAAGCCAACGAAAATGAAACGCACTAAATGAATATGCGACCAAAAGTACGAACAGTTTACATTGCAAAATGCTACCGTATCCTACCTGTGCTTGCACGTCTCCCTTTTCAGCCAAGAGTTGGTAGTACTCAATGAGGTCTGTGTCCAGGGTCCCCGGGCCGCCGCCCTCCGCCTCGTCGATCAGTCGCGTGCGTTGTATGGCAGGACCTCCGCTGAATGTTACTTGACTTGCCACTGCCAACAAACGAGAATCTATTTTAATCCTTGAAGGATTAACACATTCAAACCCTTTAGCTAGTTAAGTCCCAAGTAACAAAGGCTAGTCCATTGCTATTCGTTGTTTAAAATTCCACAATCCAAAATGCCGAACCAAGTCACCCAAAAAAAACCTATTTTTGTGTCTTCATAAGAATGTATACGCAACACAAACACTATGTCCTATGAAACCTACATGCCAAAACCTTTATAAACCTAGGCTTTAGCGATCAGTCAGCTACTCAGTAACAAAAAATTTTTACGTGATTTTCATGTTCTTACCTTTAGAAGCCACCTTCATATACAAGTCCATGGCCTTGGGACAGGAACTGGGCACAGTGTTACCGCTCCAGTATCGGTACGCTAGCGCCATCTGCGCGAAGTCGCTGTCCCCGAGCGCTCCCATCATATAGTGTACTAGCGCTTTGGCCTGAGACACCGGGACTGCTATACCGGTCGCGTATAGGAAGCCCATGCCCTGTAAAAAGGGTAACAGTCTTAGAAACTATGTCCATTTCTTATCCGAAGTGATTAGTTGTAGTTTGAAGTATGATTAAATGGGAAGTTTGCTCTTTAGTGACCTAATTACAGCCTCCAATAGTGGAGGGTTGTAGCAAATCTGCCTCCTTCAAATAGAGCTGTTCGTTAAGCAGAGGATGCCTTTCGGCTGACGATAATTATGAAGATGATGACTTGACTACGATAGTGGTAACTCTAGAAAATTTTCACAAACTTACAGCATGAGCATCAGCGTTTCCGTCTACAGCCAGCTCCTCGAAGATTTTCTTGGCCTTCTCCAAGTCCAGTTCTACGCCTTCTCCGAACAGGTAGGACCAGGCCAGCTTGATCTTAGCAGGTATGTAGCCCATGTCAGCTGCCTGCTTCACTTGGAGGATGGCTCCGCGAAGGTCGGGCGACCGTCTGTTTAGTTTCACCATCGCCGCGTCATATAGTTCTTTGGCTAAGAATAAAGATCTCAGTATTATTTACTATGTTAATGCTTGTAGGCTAAATATGGAGAGATATGCTAAATTATAATAAATAAAAACTAAGGATGTAAGAGTCATAGTCATAGTCATAGACCTGTTCCATAGTCTCTGCATATCCCCATGGGAGACAGATGGGGTTATGTAATAACTAAGTAACTATAATGATAGAAATATACGCGAATGTCAACTCTCATTATTCACAACAAATCTTATAAATAATTAGTTTTGCGGCTTCTGTAATTGTTGCGCACATTTTTAGATCTGTTGTGCTTATAGTTTTTCAATTATTTTACAAAAACATTTCCTGCTGGGGTAACGTTACCCCAGCCTGATTCTTTTCTTTTTAATGGAAATAGAAAAAGACTTCAATTGATCCTAGCACTCTCAATAAGAGTGTCTAATGTTCTGCGTTTTCGATTTTTCGTAACCACCTAAACTTGTTTGGGTTACCACGGTCATTCACTTTCTAATGATTTTAATCGTGTTGTCTCATTAATCTACTACTAGACAACTAATTTTATAGTTAGTAATTATTTAAATATTCCCATTAGAAAGAAAAGGGTCTGGCTGGGGTAACGTTACCCCAGCAGGAAATGTTTTTGTGAAATAATTAAAAAACTATAAGCGCAACAAATTTAGAAATGTGCGCAACAATTATAGAAGCCACACAACTAATTATCTATAATATTCAGATGACCATTTTCGACAACATCTGGCCTGGGTAACTCACACCAACAAATCCAATAAGCTTAACCTAGATTCTCGATAAAAGTATTACAATACATAGATAACATAATTACTACCTGAAGCGATAAAATGATAGTGATAAGTAAATCCTTATCCTTACTAATATTATAAATTGGAAAGTGAGTTTGTTTGTTCCGCTTTCACGCCGTAACTAAGCGGGTAAAAAAGTAAGTGTTCAATAAATCACTCAAACACAATGACATTAATAGGACGACCCACACACACTTATTTTATAAATAATAGGCATAAAAAATGTTCAAACACAATAATGATGAGGCCTACCTTCTTTTAACTCCGGTGACAGTTCAGGTTCTGGTTCTTCAGGCAATGGAGGCAGAGTGTCCAGAATGTCTTGAGGATTGTCCTCCAATTTCTGAAGAAGAAGTGCAATACTTTTTGGTTAACACTTATGCCATGTCAGTTACCTGCATCTAATGCTAGTGAAGGTTTGACTTTCACCAATTTTAAACTTGGCAGTTCAAGTGTTAAATAAAACTGATTATATCGATAGCCCTAACTCAACTTTTCTTTAAACACAATTATCATATAAATTATGCAAAATATACTGTCTAAAGTTTTAGCTTCTGTTGATACTGCAAATGTCAAGCATTTTGTTCGTACTCACAGGCCCATGTCATGATTTCAAGTCAATAGACTAACATCATCAAACAAATACTTAAGTCATTCTATAACTAGTCTATTTTTCCCTAATTATTCACTCTAACCAGCTTCATTTTCTACTTATGTTCCAAAAAATCCGCACAATGTTACTGCATTCATTATTCAATTCATATCTTTGATTTGTTTTGTATTTTAACGTGTATAAGTCAAATCAGTGATAAATGACAATGGTTACGATAATTTAGGAAAGAATGGGAGAGTGATCAACTTCATTAAGCCATATTATGAAATCAATTTAAGAAGATATATTTTAAGAAATTAAAAAAAAGTCTTATTCATTTTATTTCAAAGAATAAATGAGTGAGTAATGATAATTACCTCAATATCTCCTTCTAAACTCTCCGTAGACTTAGGATCATGTATCCAGGCAGACTCTGTGTGCCTCAGAAGGCTCTTCTTCAACAATTTCAGAGTATACTCCATTTGATCTAAATGAGTTTCTGTAATAAATTTTTATCAAAATTTATAACAACAACAGAATAAATAGATGTGTATTTAATGTCTATAAAGAAAATAACTTCTTCTCAAATTATTATAAAGTTTGTTATTAAAGATTTTAATGAACTTCTGAAGAATTCTATTAGTTTCAATTTCATTCTGATTGGTTGTAATAAGAACTAGGTATATGTGGGGTCTGGTTTAATTATGGAAATAGTTCCTCATAAAGTACACACTGGCAAACTTGTCTATATTTAATTACACATTAATCAGTAGGTATATTTTGCAATATTATAGCTAAGAGAATACACTAACAATGTACTCAGCTGGGTCATAATTTACTATTGCATTATGCTAACTAACCTTTATGGTCTTCATCTTTAGGAATATCTCTGGCATTTCTTATAGCATCAGCATACTCCTGTAGCACTATCTCTTCCTTCTTCATAGCATCCTTCAGCTCTTTGAAGTAGTCGGCGTCGACCGGATTGTATTTTGAATCAGAACCCTCACTGCCCTCCTCGTCCTCATCATTTTTCTCACTTTTTTTACGCGCCTCAGGTCCTAACAATTCACTAGCCGATAACACAACACACAAACACAAAATATACAGTTCCAAACGCGTCATTTTCACAATTTAATATAGCGCATCGGACCAAAAGACTTACGTGTCCCTAAAGCAAAAATATTTTTGTAAAACCAAATATTGTTTTGTGATGACAGACAACGAACATTAACACCACTAGCAATCGTACACGTGTACTTTAAACTTAATAGTATTATAAGTTAAATAAGTAATTTGCTAATTAAATAATTTATTACACTATTTTTTTCTCGAATGCATTTTCTCGACCATTGTCTGTCAGATGTCAAAATACACTCCTGTCATGGCTGTCATAGCCAAAATTTCAGACAAATTGACATTTATTAACTTTTTAATTTTTTGAATACTCACGTAATAATCCACGTGATTTATCACGGCAACCAAGTTGCATTTCATTTTAGATGATTTTTAACGTGGAGCTAAACGATTTTATAATGAGTGTGGTTAATGTGTCTAATTGCTACTAAAATTAGATTCAGAATAATGAATAAATGCTTCGGCATGAGTGGACCGGACCGAAATGATAACACTTCCCACAGAAAACCGGCGCGAAACGACAGTTGCGTAGTTGTGTATGCGTTTACTATACAATTTCACATACACATGATACCCAGACTTGGAACACACAAAGTGTTGTCCGGGCGTGAATCGAACCCGCGTTGCGCGGCAGTCGGTTGCCCACCCACCACGCCAGCAATGCACTCTTTAGACATCGATTAGAAGCTGTAGTTTTTGTTTAAGGTGGGCAAATCATTAAATTACTGCTCCCGCCTGGATGAGGCGGGAGGGAATGTCAGACTCTTACTGACTAAAAACCACCCCGTTCCTTCTCCTGCCCCGGTGAGTGAGAACGAGGGAACGAAGATTTATTTTTGTACACGCTTTTGGACAAAGTAATCACCATCAAAACCAAAAAGAAAAATGTTTCATAATATTTATTATTTTTTATTTTATTATACTTAGTGCATGACAGAATTATCATCTGTAATAAAACAAATTGTACAATACTGTTTCAGTGTTTGAGAATCAAAAAAGTAGACACAAACAAAAGGACAACGCGACGCGACTAGATGTAGAGTTTTTAAGTACCCTGTCGACACGGATATAATTCATCATCACTCGATAATCTGAAACCAAAATTAAATTAAAATTACAGACCTCAAAAGAATATTGTTTTTGTTTTTTTTTTATATTTGATGGGCCGACGTTTGGCCACTATCTTGCCTGGCGATGATGACGATGATGAAGCGAGCAAATTAAAAAAAATATAGTGTCAGAGAATAACACATTAGTGTTTTTCCATTAGTGTATGGGGAACAAAAACATTAAAATTTACGTATTCATCGCTTTTTGAAAATCAACAAATAAATAATTTTAATATATTTAGTATCTGCAATGGATTTACTAGTTGGATTAATTTACTTGCTGCACAATAAACAATAGTAAAGAGTAGCAGTACACTGGAGATAGTCAGTGCCTACTAATCAAAATCGAAAAAACTTATTTTAAGAACAACATATTTTTTTAAGTGGTACCTAAATATTTATGGCATTACTTGTATTTGATGATTGAGTTGATGGACTGGTCCTGGCGTGGAACCTTACTCCGCGTCACCAGCTGCCGGTAGCGCGCTTGTATCTCTGGTTCATTGAACAAATGGTGGTTACCTAAGGAAAACCAAATCCTGATTAACCAGTTAGCAAGACTACCATTTCAATATGACTGTGAAATATGGAAAAATGGGAAAGCAACGTAAACTCACAAATAAACGTTGGTAGTTCAAGTTCAAATTTAATGTGTAACATAACAGATGGCGCTTCGTCCGATTAAAAGCAAAGTCCGATTCGGGCCGCGGACAGCGTTTACTCAGTCAACAATAAATCCCTGATCCCTAAAGGCCGGTAATGCAAACTTGTACCTCTTCATGTGTTGTGTATTTGTACCTCCCACTGTGGGCGCGGTGCCGATTGCTTACCATCAGGTGATCCATCTACTCGTTTACCAAATTATCTAAAACTGTCACAGAGAGAAAGAAATATCATCTCTTATATCTTTGTACGTACTTGTCTCGAGCATGACGGCCGCTGTCCACTGCTGGGAGCTGTATCCTAGTTCAGCCAGCCACAGGCGCTGCAGTATCTCGGAGTCCACGCCCCGCGGGTACCCACTGCTGTGAGCGTCCAATATACGAGTGGCCCACGGACCTCGCTTCGACACGTTCATGAAGTGCTGTTGCAGTGTTAAAATAAATTGTAGTATAGATACATTATTCACTGCCCCTGCACATTTGACTGCACGGTTGGTGCGGTGGCTGGGCAACCGGCTGCCGTGCAACGTGTCGGGGGTTCGATTCCCGCACGGGACAACACTTTGTGTGATCCACAAATTGTTGTTTCGGGTCTGGGTGTCTTTGTGTATGTGAACTTGTATGTTTGTAAACGCACTCACGACACAGGAGAAAATCCTAGTGTGGGGCAACGTTTGTAAAAAAAAAAAAATAAAAAAAAAAGCGTAAGCCGGTATACTAGCAAACGGATCACCTGTTAGTAAGCAATCGGCGTCGCGACGACTGGAACACCAGAGGCGTTACAAATGCGTTACCGGCTTTTTTTTTGGGGATTAGGAGTTTGAGGATCGTTGGGGATTCAGGAATTGGGGAGATTGGGGAAGGGGAGGGTAAATGGTGGAAAAGTCATGTTTTTCTTCATTTTTTTAAATACTTCGACGGTCGACGTTTGGCCACCATCTCGCCTGGTGGTGCGCAATGATGTGGCCGACGATGGAGCACGCCTACCTATGAGCAACCTGTTCACTCGGGACTTGAAGACACCCAAGTTATATTTGTCGGGAAACACAAATTCCGGCAAGGAGTTCCATTCCTTAGCTGTTCGCACAAGGAAGCTTGACGCGAAACGCTTCGTGCGAATGGGTGGAATGTCCACCATATAAGGGTCTCTTTTCAGTCAGCACTCAACACCAATGAATGATACCATGGCCTCACAGAAAATTGGTGTAAGACAATGCGTTGTACCATGTGAGTAGTGTTACTGGAGGCCTAATCCCTCCTTTATCTTCAATCCCGAATCCCGAAAATGACGACAACGCACTTGTAATTCCTCTGTAGTTGGTCCATGAGTACCTAATAGGCGGCAAAGACTACTTTCCATCGGGTGATGCGTCTGATCATTTGCCGACCTAGGTATTCCAAAAAAAGTGGGCCTTCAGTAACCTAACTCATACGATAAAACATGATGCAAGCATTGTTTCACGTCTGTTTTTTGCGAGCCCGTAGTATCACTTCAGTCGAGCCGTAATACAAGAGCAGGGCTCTTACACGTTGTTAGGTGAAGGCACTGACCATAACGGCATTGAAACAGGAGTGTTTCACCCCGAGTCCCTGCGCAAGCATCTGTCCGAGGTGGTATAGCGCCAGTACGTGGCCTGTCTGCGACGCCAGGGAGAAGTATTTGTTGGCCTGCTTGAAGTCACGACGGACACCGATACCATCTATAATACGAACATATTGTCATATATAGCTAAAGAAGGGGACTTACAGCTGAAATTAATAACTAGTTTCAATAATGTGATTTCTGACTTTCTATCAAAGACCTAGATCGATCCAGAGTTTTCATTAGGATCAATTTATTATTATCTTATATTTGAGCTGTTAAGTGTGGTGTGGCGTACTCACTCAAGTACATAATACCAAGTTGCAGCTGTCCCTCTGCCCATCCTTGGTTGGCTGCCATCGTGAAATATTTAAACGCTATTCTTGGATCCTTCGGAACGCCTCGACCCTAGTAAAGTGAATTATTTCATTTATTGTATTCCCGTTGTTAAGTTTAAATATGTAATAGGCATTTGACAAGTTCGTTCGTTTATTTTTTTTAAAAAAAGAAGAAGTTTTTCAAATAATATGTTATTTTTTTGTTTTATTACCTTTAGATACATAAAACCCAACTCCACTTGTGCAACTGGATTGTCGCGTTTTGCAGCTTCCTCGAAATACCGCAGATCACGTTTGTAATCTGGCTAAAACGTTTGCAGCATAGATTAATGATTAGTAGATTGCGCAATGGCCTATAGGTTTTGCGCAATGACAATAATATTTGCGCAACTACTAAAACTTAAAGATTAATTTCAAAATTTCAAATATAAAGTCATTTACTTTATTAAAATACTAGGGACCTGCCCAGGCTTCGCACGGGTGGAATATACATATATTATACATATAAACCTTCCTTAAAAATTCCTTAAAACAGCGGATAGCGACTTTGTTTTATACTATGTAGTGATTTGGTATAATTGTTACATGAATGTGACAAGAGATCTCATTACCTGTGCCTGTTTCTCTCTCATTTTTTTCTCAGCGAGCTGCTGGTAGTACTCTGTGATATTGGTAGATACCAAAACATCGCGCTCGGGGTCAATGTTGCCTGGACCGGCGCCTTCCATGTTACTCGCCACTTCCAACAAAATATCACAACATCATCTCCCATATTTCAGTCAGTTCAGTTTAGGAGTTGTGCTGTAGAAATGAGTTGGGGATTCTCAGTTATGAGATCCTTCGTCTTTTGCTAAAAATTAATACGAATCTTTCAACAGCAAAGTTTTTAGTTCGTCAGCTAATTAACTCATTTACGTAAACCACTAATCGCAATTTCAAGACAAAAATCTATATACATAATTATATAAAAATGAATCCCTTCTTCCCTTGGTCACGGCATCACGCGTGAATGGTTGGACCGATTTCACTAATTCTTTTTTTTGTTGTATTTGTTATTTTTAAGGAGAACATTCTTAAAACATCCTGAAAATCCTACGGGGACGGGAGAAAATCGAATTGCGCGGGCAGAAGCTAGTGAAATATAAAATATATCACTACATATTTTTTATCTTCTTACCCTTGTCTGCTACCCTCATATACAAGTCCATGGCCTTGGGACAGGAACTGGGCACAGTGTTACCGCTCCAGTATCGGTACGCTAGCGCCATCTGTGCGAAGTCGCTGTCCCCGAGCGCTCCCATCATATAGTGTACTAGAGCTTTGGCCTGAGACACCGGGACAGCTATACCGGTCGCGTATAGGAAGCCCATGCCCTGAAAGTGTTCATAGTCTCTTGTATGCAGCAGTTATGAAGATAGTGTAATGCAATGTACCAATAGGACTACAAAGCACAGAATGAATGTGATCAGTTCCTTTACTAGCTAGCAGACTTTTTTGATGAGTTCTAGTTTTGACTGCCTAGACTGCCTCGTTGGCTGAGTGGTCGCAAGTGCGACTACCGGGCAAGGGGTCTCGGGTTCGATTCCCGGGTCGGGTCATTGTATTACTGGGTTTAAAAAAAAATCTCAGTAGTAGGACGGAGTCCGGAAACGTGCCCGGTATATGGCAATAGGCTCACCCCCTATTACATGGGACTCATAACATAAATAGTGAAAAGTGGGTGTACTTCTATGTGCACCTCTACCTACCCCTTCGGGGATAAAAGGCGTGATGTTGTGTTATGTTCTAGATTTGCTAATATTCAACAAAATTCCTTGAAAATGTCTGAAAACTCACAGCATGAGCGTCAGCGTTTCCTTCTGCTGCCATCTCCTCAAATATGTTCTTAGCCCTTTCGAAGTCCATTTCTATGTTTTCTCCAAACAGGAAGGACCAAGCCAGCTTGATCTTAGCGGGGGCGTAGCCTGTGTCGGCAGCCTTCTTCATTTGGAGCATGGCTCTGTGAAGATTGGCCTTAATCTTTTCTAATTCCCATTCATGGCCTTCTCTAGTCAGATATGACCAGACTAACTTCATCTTACCCAGAATATAGCCCATAGTATCCATAGGTAGCCGGACTTTAAACACGAGTCTGTAAAACTCGGGAGTCCGTCTAAGCAGTGTCAGCAATGCTGCTTCATACAGTTCTTTAGCTAGACATTATAAAACAAGGTTAATTCACATCATCCTTAATATCCATGAAGAGATGAATTGTAATTATAAAAGTACTAACAATGACATAATTAATTGTATTTACTACCTAGCAAAAGGATAATTTTTGATATTTTTGAAAAGTATAGAATAGCATGCAGGTGGACATAACTTGTGTCTATAGACATCTCTTAATTGACCTACCTTCTTTTAACTCTGATGATAGTTCAAGCTCTTTTTCCTGAACCAGTGGTGGCAGACTATCCATAATAACTTGAAGAACTTCGTTAAATTTCTGTTGAATAAGAAAAAAACATATTATATATTTATCCCCAAAGAAAAGTGTAATAATGGTGTTGATGGTTGAAGCTAGAGATTTTAATTGTTTATATGAGAGTGCTAGGCCTCTGCCTTATGTTAAATATTATTTACCTGAATATCCCCTTCAGTTTTACATGTTGCTGTTAATATGTGCCTTAGAAGGCCTTTCTTCAACAATTTGAGATAGTACTCAACTTTATCTAAATTATTATCTGTAAATAACAGGCAAAAATACATAATTGGTAGCTAAATGAAACATAGTACTAAGCAAGTGAGGTATTGCTTGATATTGGATACATTACACATACTTACTAATAAAAATTATTAAAAAAATTATAGACATAAAATTAATAATAACTTCATTATATCTTTCAAAAGGCTTTAACTTATGTTATCTTAGACTATATAGGAATTTTTTATATTCTAACTTCTGCGTCAATAAGTATAGACGCAAATTAAAAATTTAATTGAAATATTTGATCATAGTGTAAGTAAGAGGTTGTGCAATTAAAAACCTTTAATGGCTTGCAATTGGAGGCATTTCTCTCTAATATCACTGTGCAAACTTACCCTTATTATTTCCCCAGTCTTCGGGAACATCGCTACTATTTCTAAGAGCATCTATGTACTCCTCAAATATCTCTATAGTCCTGTACACAGTATCTGTATTTTTTGTGTCCAAATCATCATCACTTTCAGTTGTAATTTTCCGCTTTTTCTTCAGAGCTTCAGGGCCTAGCAAGTTACTGGACAGTAAAAACACGCACAGATATAACAGATACACTTCCAGACGAGGCATATTTTCAATGTATTTAATTAGAGCACAATAATAAAGTTTTTATCATTGAATTATTCGTAAACTTAACGTTTTAATTATAATGTGGTACGGTATTCTGGATATAAACTCTTTCTTTTTGGTGAATACACATTTATGAATATCAATGCTGTTAATAGGGAGTTTACATTTTTTGTAAATATTTTTTCTGATCATTGTCTGTTTGTTTGACCTTGAACTTTGACGTTTAATTAACCAGATCAACAGGCTAACAGCTGACATTGATCATCATACTTGCACATTAAAATTGCGGATCTGGATATAGATCTCCTTACCATTGTAAACAATATTATGGTAAGATTATGATGATCTTGAAAATCCCATAAAAATAGGAATATTTATTAATTAAAAACTAAAAAATAAAATAAATTACAAAATATGTTGAAGTTAAGTTTTTTTAACTTTCGACCTTTTGACAGCCGGCATTAATTAAGTATTTCACGTTTGTCATTTTTCTTTGACGTTGACTTTTATTTGACGGAATAATCAATGACAGTTGGAAACACCGACTTTGCCGAAAATTACGAAAATTTTGACAATAACCACAAAACTTTGTATTTACAAGATATTTGGGGGCAAAAGTGATTTTAATAGTGTTGAATTAAATTGAGATTCTAATTGGAGTGGTTAAAACCACTCTATAACCTAAAATGTTTCGTGTACCAGTTAGAAGTGGATTTAGCTTGCAGCGACTCTTGGTTCGGCTACAGCACTCGAGCAGTTCCATAAGGAGTACTTTTATAGAGTATTTTACAGCAAATCATGGGCACAAACATGTCAAATCGAGTTCTGTGGTTCCACTGTACGATTCAAGTGTCCCATTTGTTAATGCTGGCATGAATCAGGTATATTTAATACATTTACTGTATTATACGCACTTACTCTGCGTTATATGTTTCTAATGAATGTTTGTGTAGTTATGCTGTACACACATCAGTCTAAATTAAGAAGAAAGTAACCATTCTATATATTTGTTTATTTAGTACTTATCCATTCACTGATATTTCACAATAAAATTGCACTTGGAATCCAGTTTTCAGTCTTGGTTTGCATGACATTATAGTCCTAGACATCTATACATACCAAAAAAAAAGTAAAAGAATTTTTTGTTTAAAATTCTGAGTCACAGCAAATAATTTTATTGACTTAAAAATAAATAAATTCAATTCTATTTTTTCAGTTCAAGGGTGTGTTTCTTGGTAAAGTGGCTCCCCCTTGTGCTAAAGCTGTGAACTCTCAGAAATGTGTGAGGGTAGGTGGCAAGCACAATGACCTGGATGTGGTTGGCACTGATGGACACCATCACACCTTCTTTGAGATGCTCGGGAATTGGTCATTTGGAGATTATTATAAGGTAAATGTTAGGTAACATAAGATAATTAACCTATTGACTGCCGCTATATAGACACAATAGAAAATACATTGAGACTTGTGTGGATTCGTGTTCATTTCATGTACGCTACACAGTAGACAATATTGCAGAGGACAACACATTACAAGCATGAGGTACATAGGTACTGCATATCCCTTAACCCTTTGAGTACCGTCATTATAGACACAATCAAAGAACAATAAGTGTGCAGACACCGGTGTCCTCGCTGTGTTTGATAGATTAACCCATTGAAAATTGTTGTCCCCTAAATTTGTTTATACAAAAGTAGTCTTTAAACATTGGAAATAAGGTCTAAAATGTAGTTAGTGGAGAGTGGTCACCGGTAATTGCTTGGGGATATAATTATATACGGGTTAAGGAATTTCTTCCTGAGTACTTGCAACAGGAAAAGGGTTGCACATGTTGGGTTAAGCAAGGTTAAATTGCAAAATTCTGTTATTAAATACCTAGGAGCCTGGAATTGTGCCCAGTATATAGCAATAGGCTCACCCCCTATTACATGGGACTCATAACATAAATAGTGAAAAGTGGGTGTTACATTGTACAATGGCATTAAGTTCTGTAATCTGCCCCTCTGCCTATCCCTTCGAGGATAAAAGGTGGAGGTAAAAGGATGTTATATTATGTATGTTATAAAATATTCTGGTTCATCATCATCATGTCAGCTACAAGACATCCACTGCTATAAACATAATGCCTATGTTCTGGTGAATTCATAGCATTCTTATTGTTTGACTGAATTTCCTACCTTCCCATCCAATGGTTAAATGATTATAAAATTCTAGACATAACAAATGAAATCATAATAAACTAATTGAATCATATCAATTTTATTGACAGAAAGAAGCGTGTCACATGGCCTGGCAACTGTTGACAGGTCCATATAGACTGAAGCCAGAAAACCTGGTGGTCACATACTTCGCAGGAGATGCTGCGATAGGACAGAAGATGGACACGGATTGTAGGGACATCTGGAGGGAAATTGGGTAAGTAGTTACCACATAGTAATTGAGTAGTTTCCAGGGTATCAAAATTAAAAATCTATTTTAGCTTGTCAGTTAGATAATGAAAAATTATTAGACACATATTTTTTTATTTTTTCGTATTAGGTTGCAATACTTAGATAAAATGGCGCTAAGTTTAGGAGTTAGAGATTGTTGTTACATCATAACTTGCTACAAAATGTGGCACGCTGTGACTTCACACGACATTTAAAATTAATATATCGTCGAAAGTATTTAATTTTGTTAGAAAAGAAAATATACGTGTCTAATGTTTTAAATTAATGCACCAGATGCCGACGGACATAAAAAAACAATTTAGGAAACTAACTTATTACATTTACATAATGGAAAACCAAAGTCCAAAAGTATAAGTCTAAATATACAGGGTGTAAACAGGAAGCTCACGAAAAACACTGACAAAAAAGTTGCTTATACAATTTTAATCGTTTTTTTTTGCTTTGAGCGGTTGATTATAAAATAATCAATTAATTCCTTACCTTTATGTAAATAAAACTTGATTTTGACTATCACCTCTCAGCGGTAGCGTATTGACTACTACATTTCATTAACTTTTCATCAATAAAGTTACAAGTCTCTCGTATAAGTTGATGCTCCTATAATTGTGGATGTTACCATACACTCCAAATAATTGTGGAGCTCCTGAGAATTTATCAAAATAAATAATACATTATTAATACTAGTCGGAAATTGAATCCATGCTTCATTGGCAGTCTGACACAGCCTTACTCAAGGCGAGAAGTCATTGCATGATTTTTCCCCCTTAAAAAGGGTTAAGGCAGGTATGATATATTTTAGAAAAATGTGAAATGCATTAAATACTTTTTGACTTTTGTAATCTTCTAGAGGTATATAATATCTAATCTACTATATAAAAATAAGTCGGGTTTTCCTTCCTGACGCTCTAACTCCAAAACGCACGAACCGATTTCCCCGGTTTTGCATTCGTCGGAAAGGTCTCGGGCTCCGTGAGGTTTATAGCAAAAAATGTTATATACAACGAAACCATCTGGTGGCAGAACGGAGAGGTGCTAGATTTGTATAACACAAACATTAAAATTAATTTTTATAACCTTCCATTTTCCTATTCTACAGTGTGGCCGAAAGTAGACTGATGGCAAGAGGAGCAAGGGATAACTTCTGGGAGATGGGTGTGACAGGCCCGTGTGGACCCTGCACTGAGATTCACCACGTCAATCCCAATGGATCACTCACTGAAATCTGGAACCTTGTGTTTATTAATTCTTTTAGGTGAGTTTAAGACAATTGGCAATAGTCTGTAATGTAGAGGGGGTTTCTCCCCCTACTCTATGCTGAGGTCTTAGTACAAGTTTGTTTTGCGTTTAAAGTAATCGATCCAAAGGGCCGGTAACGCAGTTGTAACGCCTCTGTGCCTTTAGCCAAACGCCACTTTAGCGCTTGTCTACAGAGAGAGTAGAAATCAAAATGTATGGGAATGACACTGACAAGTGTCAAAATTTACGTCAATTCCATATAATTTGGTTTTCTATTCTACATGTAGACAAGCGCTAAATGGTATTTGGCTACAGCTGCTGGTGTTCCAGGTGTCTATCGCATTCGTAACGTAAGAGTATCGACTGCGTCCGGTGCTCTGATGGGCCGGCGCTCTGATGGGCCGGCGCTCTGGTGGGGCGGCTCTAGGGACCCAAGCAATGGTAATGGACAGGTAGTCAAATTCAATAGTCGACCTCATCGTTCACTTGATAAAATTGACGTGTAAAAGTGCTGCCTTCTAGCCTATTTGCAGAAATAAATTTAGTTATTTTAAACCTAGGACACTAGCCAATTATACCTATTCATGCTTGGCATGGCACTCTGATTGGTTGGTTTATTGGAATTGGCCAATCAGAGCGTCGAACGCGTACTCGTTTACATTACTTTAAACGTAAAACAAAGTCGTACTGATCTCTCACATTTATGATAAGTGTAAACAGAAACTAGAGATATAGTATGAAGTTAAAAATAAATTCAATTGTAGGTACAACTGAACTTTCCTAAAGAATCACTCTAACTAAAGGCTAAAACTGCTGAAGAAATCAGACTCCGATGAGGCCTTTTATTTCAACAGACTGACATACAGTCATACCTATTTGTAATTCAAGTTCAAACCCCAAGCGGTCACTTCTCTCCACTTACTCCATTATAGCCCTTATTTCCGATATTTAGAGACGAAAATTGGTTCATACAAAAGTATTGTATGAACCAATTTTCGGTCTAATATACCAACGTATTAAATGTTTAATTGAAGTAAATGATTTTGAATCCTAAATTCTTTTACAGAGATGACACAGGCAAAGTGAATGGTTTGGCGAAATACCACGTGGATACCGGTATGGGATTGGAGCGTATGGCCGCCATCTTGCAAGGAGTACCCTCTAACTACGAGACAGACTTGTTCCAGCCGCTCATCAAAGCTATTGAGAAGGCATGTGATTTTTAACTCTATTTTTTAGTGAGTAGGTTCATTTTAGAAATGACATTTTTAATATAAGATGTTTAAAGGCTGTGATTTTAAACCTTAATATCCTGGTGTTAAGGTTGAATTTATACTGCACTACTAACATCATAAATTGTGAAATGAATGTAATACAAAACTTGCCATTTTGCACCCTATTTTCGTAGCGATGAGGTTTATTTTTTATTGCCCTCGCAATTTCACAAAAACGAAGAATGAAATTTGTAATACAATAATAGTTAATAATACAAGACTGTCAAAATAACATGTAATTTTGAACCCTATTATCCTAATTATAAGGCTTATTTTACAATGCAGTAGCATTTTCGCGCAAGAAAAAAGTGGAATTTTTAATGTCATAGGACTAATATTAACAACATGAATCTTCCATTCTCCAGAACAGTAAAGGAGTGTCTCCGTATGGAGGCAGCTACCTACCTGATGCTGAAGTGGACGCGGCGTACCGTAGACTGGCAGACCACGCCAGGATGATCAGCATCTGTCTTGCTGATGGAGTCTTTCCAGCTACCAGGTGGGATCTGGTTACTGTGCGTCAAGAATTTGCGGATTTGATTTTTTTTTAATTTAATGAAATGAAGATTAAAAGTTCCTTATACGGTTCTTGCTGAAACAATAGGGTAGTTGCCTAAATTCTATTTTAATGTCCGTCTGGTAGATTAATTTAAACACGTATACGTAATTAGACACGTATTTTTTCTTTTCTCACAAAATTAAATAATTTCGACGATATATTAATCTGAAATATCGTTTGACGGCACAATACGCTACATTTTGCCATTCGTAAACTTAACTCCATTTTATTTAAGTATTTATTTAAGTTCTTTATACGAGAAAATCAAAAAATACATGCGTAATATTTTTTCATTATCTAACTGACGGACTAATTAGATTTTTAATTTTCATTCCCTGGCAACTACCCTATTCCAACTTCTACTTTGACACTTTGTGGTGTCTAGTCTCAATAACCTGTTGTATTTAAGTTCCATATAAATGTTATACATTTCAAAAGTATACTTCAAAATCAATAATCACACAGTGTCTATAGATATAAGATTCTTTTCTATTTTTGTAGTCTCAACCTAAAACAAATAATGAGGAAATCGTTCAAAATATCGTCCGATGTGTTCCAAAACACTAAACTGCCGAGGATCCTATATGATGAGGTGGTTGAGACCCTGGGTACCACATACCCTGAGCTGGTAACCAAGGAAATCGCTGCTAAGCTGATTATAGACCATGAGGAGCAAGGGTATGCGAAGATGAAGTCTGGACTGAAGAAGAAGATGAAGGATCTGATAAAACAGTACCCTGAGGTGGTGACTTTGAGTGATGTGGAACTGCCAGGGCTGGTGCAAGGATATAAAGATCTTAAAGAGGTATTTATAGTACTCACACATTTATACATTCATTCACTCATAGCCTCGTTGGCCGAGTGGTCGCAAGTGCGACTGCCGGGCAAGGGGTCTCGGGTTCGATTCCCGGGTCGGGCAAAGCATTACTAAGTTTTTAAAAAAATTCACGGTAGTAGCATGGAGTCTGGAAATGTGCCCGGTATATGGCAATAGGCTCATCCCCTATTACATGGGACTCATAACATAAATACCTAGTGAAAAGTGGGTGTTACATTGTACAGTGGCATAATGTACACCTCTGCCTACACCTTCGGGGATAAAAGGCGTGATGTTATGTTATGTGTTTACTCATAGACATGTTTCATTCACTCAAAATAATAAAAGAAAACAATGATTGACTCTAAAATTTTCGTCAGTCTTGAAATCGTATAAACATCACACGAGAGAAGCACTAAAACTAATGTTACTTGTTTGTTAAATAACTTTTAACCTTTACAGACAATGTCTAAACAAAAATCGACCGTAATACCAGGAGAACTAGTCTTCAAACTATACGACTCGCACGGCTTACAAGAAGAGGTTATCAAGCAGATAGCTGACCTGAACAAACTAAGTATAGACAACAAAGGATTCTGGGCACTTCTGGCCAAACATAAGACGAGACACAAGACTGCCATCAAAGAGAGAGATAACAGGGGCCAATTATTCGACGAAGCCATAAAAAACCTTCGAACCAACGGCTACACAAACACAAATGATCAACCAAAATACGATTACATACAAAACGAAAAGCAAATAGAATTTAAACCGTTAACAACGAAGATAATAGCCATTTTGAATGACACCTTAGATTGGATTGACTTCCTAGAGCCGTGTAGTGACCGACCATTTTACATTGTAACAAAAGACACGAATTTTTACTGCGAAGAAGGGGGCCAGGAAGCTGATAGAGGAGCCATTTACTTTAATAAAAACATTGTTATGGAGGTCGAAAGTGTTTTTAAGTTACAAGACTTTGTGTTCCATAAAGGGTATTTTCTGATAAGGAATGAGAAGCTAACGAATTGTGTGCATTGTAACATGGATGTGGAATTGGAGATTGATGAGGAACGGCGTCTGAAGTTGATGCAGAATCACACGGCGGTGCATTTGTTGAATGCTGCCGTGAGGAGGGTGCTGTCCAAGAGTGCTGTGTGTCCCACCGGGTCCAGTGTCACTGAGAATGGATTGTCGCTTAATTTTTCGGTGTATGGAGAGAAGTTGTCGCAAAAAGTTATAATGGATGTACAGGATCTTATTAGGTGAGTTTGTTATCTGTGTTGGAGGAGTTAAGGTTGGTTTTTCAACGCTTTTTGCACATATACACATACATAACCTGACGCTTGTCTCCCATGGAGGTAGGTAATTGCTACGATTTTTATTACATAGTTCTTTTGCTTCATCAACAGTCATCAGTCCTTTCATACATGCGTTTTTGCACATTATCTCTGTATATGTATATAGCTTGACTATCTTCGGTGACCTATCGGTCATCCCCAAGATACTTGTTAATAGGCTTTCCGTGTGTTTAAGAGGAGACTAGGTCATGATTTCTTAATTGATAACTATATTTTATATAAATTTTTCAGGGAATCAATAAAATGCAACGCGCCAATAGAGACGCGCATAGTGGACAGTGTGCAAGTGTCCCGGGAACCCGGGGTGGTTACAATCCCGGGGGAAACTTATCCCGAGGTCGGACTCCGACTTGTCACTGCTTACCTACCTCTAGTTTCCAAGTAAGTTTTTTTTCATAATATCTTTGTAGGATCAGTTTTTCTTTTTATTCTTATTTATTGATTTTTATTCACATACCGTAGCAAAGCCATAGGAAAAAAAGAGTTTCATTTCAAGTCTGGATGAGTTTAGAAGAATTTAATTCGCTAAATAGTCAATAAATTAGTTAAGATACAAATGTAATTGGCAAAATACGGAAATACCTCGATTACACGGACAATTGTGCCCGTAAAACAAATAAACTGCAATTATGCCCGGTATATGGCAATAGGCTCACCCCCTATTACATGGGACTCATAACATAAATAGTGAAAAGTGGGTGTTACATTGTACAGTGGCATAATGTACACCTCTTCCTACCCCTTCGGGAAAAAAGGCGTGATGTTATAATATTGTTACATGGACAACTGCTAGGCTAACCAAGGGCTGAAAGTTTCTCACTTTCCTATAAAGACTGAAATTAGGTATTGTCCACTGACAAAATGTACTAAAAAAAATGATCAACATTGACCATATTGTACGTAGAGAGCTGTGTTGCGGCACGCACTTGCCGTCGACGGGCGCGCTGGGCGAGTTCTGCGTCACCAGCGTCAAGGGCGCCGGCGGACAGACGCCTTGTATACACGCACTCACTGGGGATAAGGCTAAACAGGTGAACTATACTTACTTCCCTGAGAAGAAGTGTATTACCCTTTTAGTGTGGGATTGTACCCCCCCTCCCGTCTCCTCAGTCTCCCCTATCCCCGCATCCCCCACAATCCTCAAATTCAATCTGCAAACTCAGAGGTCATCATTGTATTGCGCTTAACGTATGTTAGCGAAAGTTGATATTCGACCTAGATTGACGCAGCGCAGCATAAAATTTTCTAGTTCTTCCTTCCTGGCTCGCGCATACCCAGGGCGCGAAAGAACTGTTCTTAATTCTTAAAAAATATAACCGGCCTAAAGAACATTTTTCATTTCAGCAAAAAACTGTATTAAAAATCATCACAATAAAACGGAAATTCAATATCCTATTCTAATAGCTCTTTCCCCACAGGCACGCGAGCTGTTCTGTCGAGCTGAGAAGCTGGGGCAAGTGATAGATCTGATAGACCCTGACAGGAAGAAGGAGGAGATCTCCCTCATCAGGAGTCAGTTGTCGACGCTATGTAACACTGGTGGCGCCCCCTACGGGGAGTACGCAAACTGTCTGAATTTACTCGACAGCTTCTCCAAGAGGGAGGTCCATAAAAATGATCTGGCGCTGCAGTGAGTATCTATTTTAGAATGAGTTATTTTGTTTTAGTCGACTCAAATAACATCTAGACCAGACTAGACATATTATAGCATTGTTAAGTTAGACAGAAAATCAGGGGAACCTCAAGAAGTTTCAAATGTACATGTTGAACCTTTGATACCATTATAACTGAACTGTGAAAGTTCTGATCGATTCCTCTGTATGCAAAGAATATGCTAAGTTATTAATTGTTGTCTTTAAAACACTAGCTTATTAATATTATTGTGACTTCATCTGTATACGCTCATCTTTTAGCTATTTATAAATTGTAAAATCGTAACAAATGGGTCTTTTACCTTTTTTATTTGTAAAATTACTACACACACATGAATTAATACTCCCATTACACTTTCAGCTCAATAGCCTCAACAGAAATAGCAGAAGTAGTGTCCCAGGCGGCCCGCGAGGGTCGTAGGTTCGTGGTCCACTTCGTGCGATGTTCGTACCTGATGCAGAGCCCCGCGGCGCAGGCCGTGCTGGCTGCGCGCCAGGCGCTGCCCGCCATGTTGCTGGGCTGCGCCGGCGGGGTGCTGGTCGCCGCATGCTCCGTGCCGCCGGTCAGTCGGTTACCTTACAATTTTAATTTCTGACTATGGATGATACTCGTCTAATCATGAACAGTCCGTGACGGTCCAGACTAAGGGCTTCCTCTATATGAAAAGCATTTAATAAAGGTTTTTATATATATAAAGTTGATGAGTCGACTTTTGACCACTGTCTCGCCTGGTGGTAAGCGATGATGCGGCCTACGATGGAGCACGTCGTCCCATAAGCAACCTATTCACTCGGGCCTTGAAGACAACCAGGTTATACCCTTCACCAAATACAGACTTTGGCAAAGAATTCCACTCCTTAGCAGTACGCACAACGCATCTTGATGCGAAGCGCTTCGTGCGTGTGGGTGGGATATCTACTGTGAATCGGTGACGGTTTGCTGATTGTCTTGTGGTACGATGATGGAAAGGAGTAGGGGGAATTAAGTTGTGCAATTCCCCCGCACACTCTCCGAAATGTCTTCGGTAGGAAACCGAAAGGCGTGCAATCCTACGCCTGTTACTATTTAAATATTAAAGCTCTTTATACAAATTGCGTCGTGTATCATGTCCAGGAGATGGTGACTGCGTCGTTCACGGCGCGCTCGTGGCTGGGCTGCGCGGCGCGAGTGTTCGGCGCCACGTTGCAGGGGGGGGAACACGAACATACACACGCCGTCATGACGCCTTCCAAGGTAACCCTTATTACTAAGCTAATAAAGTTGAAAATGTAACAAAATCTGTTAAATAATACCTGTGTAAGTGTTACGCAGTGATTGCTAGCTACTGTCAGTACAGAGGTCTTAGTATGAGTTTCTTTTATGTTTATAGTAATCGAAACGAGTACGCGTTCGACGTTCTGATTGGCTGCCTCTAACCAGCCAACCAATCAGAACGCCGAACAAGATCTCGTTTCAACTACTTTAAACGTAAAACAAACTTACTAAGGCCTTAGAAACTGCTGCAAACATACCATTTACCTATCACTTTGTAATGATAGTAATATACAAAATGTAACTTAAATAACGCACAGCCTGAAAATAGTTTGTTCAGAATCGTTAACTGAATCGATTTATATATTTTTTAGTGTAGGTAATTTTTTATCCCAAAAATAATTAAAACTACGGAAATTATTGTCATATTAACCCTGTATTGTTAAAACAAATCGAAATGGACCGTAAGTCAAAGCAATAAGACTTTTAAAATAGCAGTTTTATTTGTATTCATACAAATTCTATCATTCAATACAAAATAAAGATAAATAAACCTTATGACAAGACTAGTAAGGATGCATAGACATGTTAAATTAAAAATTTAGTGTATGTATTATGATTATAACATAATATTTTAATTGGGGTGTTTGAGGGTGTGCGTTAATTACGTTACATGTTGTATATTCAGATTTCAAAATTGAAAAAAAAAATACAAACACAAAACAATATCCAATTTCGTGATCTAGCTTTGTCAAAGGAAAATAATAAAGTAATTTTTCTTAGAAAATAGTAAGATCACTAAAACAAATGCTTATATATTTGTTCCTATAGGTGAGCTTGATAAACTGTGAGCAACTAGTCCAGGACGCGATGCGAGTCGCGATCAAATTCGCGCAGTCCCACACCAAGGAGAACACAGAACAATCTAGAAGCACGCAGAATAGACAACAGAATTGAAATACGTAACAATAGACTGACGGTCTTATTCATATAACTGTTATAAAACCTATTTTAACTATGGCATATTTTAACCGACTACAAAAAAGGTGGTTATTGTCTCTTTTTATATAATACCTATGGCATATTTTGTAATTACATAGAGAGTGGAAGGAGGGTAGGGAAGCCATTGCCCTGCAGTGGGACGATCATGGCTGAAAATAAATAGTGGCATATTTTAACCTACTTCAAAAAAGAAAGTTCTTGTCTCTTTTTATGTAACGTATCGTGACATATATTTAATTAAACAGCTGAATACGCTCTCTAACTTTTAAGAGTACTCGACTAGTTTCGAACTACAACCGGGGCTCATAAAAATAGCGGCGAATGATTTCGGGTAGCCAACTGTCTTGCCTCGTAACTCAAAGTTAATGTTCTGTAGTTATAACAGGTTTATTAATCGTAATATGAATGTTAAGGTAGGATTACCGATAAAAGACCCTAGATTTAGACAACTTTAGACATTGAACTATCTAAAGTTATTGGGTGAATGAATGTGTTAAAACTCGATGTTAATAAATTTGCACGTTATAGGTATATAAAGTATTATTTAATTTGTGACTGCCTCGTTGGCCGAGTGGTCGCAAATGCGACTGCCGAGCAAGGGATCTCGGGTTCGATTCCCGGGCCGGGCAAAGTATTACGGGGTTTTAAAAAAAATCTCAGTAGTAGCACGGAGTCTGGAATTGTGCCCGGTATATGGCAATAGGCTCACCCCCTATTACATGGGACTCATAATATAAATAGTGAAAAGTGGGTGTTACATTGTACAGTGGCATAATGTATACCTCTGCCTGCCCCTTCGGGGATAAGAGGCGTGATGTTATGTTATGTTATCTTTATTGAATGAGGTCAAGTTGGAAAGAACTGTGATTTCGGTGGAATGTTAGGGGTTTCTGATCGGTATTGTTTATTTTATATAAACATTATTTTATTGTATTAATCATTTTGTAATTTATTATATGATTTGTTAAGTATATTATTATTGTATGAAGCCTACACTAGACGGGGCATTTTATTTATAATTTTGAAAACTCTAAATTATCTAGTTGAGCCAGTATTTAGAGTTTATTATGTAATAAAAAATATTAATGCACACAATTGGTAGTATGCGAATAATAACGTGGCTGTCAAAAAGTGGGGGATTTGAATAAAAATTTCGGAACTTTATGATTGTACGGGGATTAACGCAAAATATAATTTGTTAGCGTGGTGTTGGTCTTCAGCATAATTAAAAGAAGTTGGCATACATAGACAGTACGAAATTCTTTTGTTGAGTATACCTTACATTACACTAGCGAAGCAAATATGTTGTATCTAATGTTTAGAGATATCGATACTTACGCAACTCTCTCTGAGAGCTTGAGTACCTACGAATTTGTTTAACGAGATACAAGATTCAAACGAGTTTGCGTTCGGCGCTGATTGGCTTCATTGAACCAACCAATCAGAGGCTAGTACGAGTTTTTTACGTTTAGAGTATTCAAACGAGTACGCGTTCGCAGCTCTGATTGGCCGGCTCCAATGAACCAACCAATCAGAGCGCCAGACGAGGTTTCGTTTCGATTACTTTACACGTAATACAAACTCGTACAAGGCCTCTGATTGGCCTACTTCAATGAACCAAGCCATCGAGTTCGTACAAGTTCAGATTATTATCCCCTTTTATTACTATGACGGCTAATAAATATTTACCTAGTGTGATTGCCTTAAAACATGTAATGTACTGTTTTGAATGAAATTCTCAATGTAAGTCTTCCTGTAAATAAATAAGTTCTACCTCTATTCTCTATTTTGTAAATAAATAAAGTTATTACTTATTATTTATTTTTGTTTATATTCCCTTGAAGTTTTGAATGTGATTCGAGTCTTGGGGAAAATACTTTTTTATGGCATAAGCCGGTACAAACAAAGTAAAACAAACAAACAAGGTAAAACAAGCAGACAATCGGTCAAAACAAACAAACAAGATGGTAAGCAATCGGCGTCGCCCATGGACACCTGGAATACCAGAGGCCTTACAAGTGCGTTACTGGCCATTTGGGGGTTAGTAATTTGAGAATTGTTGGGAAATTAGGGAACAGAGGGGGGGGGGGGGATAATTGAGCCCCGGTAACCTCACTCACACGACGTGAAACATCGTCACGTCGGTTTTCTGTGAGGATTTGGTATCACTCCGGTTGAGCCGGCCCTTTCGTGCAGAAGTATGACTCCCACACAATAATCAGTACTTTTGAAAACGAGTGGTTAGGTTTCTACTAAGGATAAGAGAGTATAATAAACCCACGTACTTTATGGATACTCACTAGTTATAATAAACTTATGAATGTGAAAATACCATTAAGTACGAAGCGTTATTGTCTTATTCCAGTTTATTTCGTTGTGGGATCTTACGCCCGACTACTGAAATGCTATTTAATTTTAAGTTGTACTCAAATATCATGCCATCTGTCATTTTATAAAGAACTAGCTGTTACCCGCGACTTCGTCCGCGTGAAATAACGACTTCTGTATAAATTGGGTTTTTTAAATTAGTCTTTGTCAAGGTATATTCTACGGCTGTACAACTGGAACAAATATCATCACAATCGATTCAGTACCTAGGTTATATTTATTGAGAAATGAATTTATTTTCGTGGTTTCTAAAATAAACAATCCCATAGAGGTTTTACCCGTACAGTGCCCGTCTCGTGAGGTTTCACTATTCTATGTTTGCAAATCAATGTTGTATCGCATTTCAATCAAATAGATATAGTGATTTTAACAGCACAGTTCCCGGTTTCGTGGGTTTTTCGGGTTAAAAACTTTTAGATGTCCTTTCCCGGGTCTCAAACTATCGCTGTACCGAATTTCACCAAATAGGTTCAATGGTTTAAATGGTAAGAGCCCCTCTTTATTTCAACGTCCTTGGTCCTGGTTTTTTAGCGCATAGTTTCCGTCATTTTGGGATTTCCTCTCTCCTATAATGTGACCTGATATGTACCGGTGCGACGTGCGTTACTATCGCAAACATTTAAATGAAAAAATAGGTATTCTGATATTAGGTTAGTTACATATGATACATGTACTTTAATGTTGATATTAATGTCCTCTATAAGACTTAATACATCCCTTGGCTCTATTGTCCATAATTTCCACAGCGTAATCAATACCAATAATATAAGGAGTTTTTTTGGTAGTTTTCACACATCGGGTTGTCATTACCTAAAGGAGATTTTTTTTGAGGTCGGAAAATCATCCAATCACTTCTCCCGCCTTGGGTTAGGTGAGAGGGAGTGACAGATTCTTACTGACTAAAATCCACTCCGTTCCTACTCCTGCTCGTCGAGCCGGAGCCCCGTCAACTCGTTAGGCCTCCCGCGGCACCGTATCGAGCATCAGCCCTACTGGGCTCCATCTATGATGGTGTCATGGCTCTGTAAGGCGCGCGCCGTATGCACGGGACTGGTTCTGGTCGGGTGGCGAGCTACCCTTGCTCTTCGTCTACAGACCCGCACTTACGGTGGCCGGTGGCCGGCCGATCTCCGACGCCCAGAGTGTCTCCCGCGACGGCTGGGGCGTGAGGAAGTCATTCCCTCACGCGCTCCGCTTTCTCCTTGGCAAGCATAACTGCTTCGCAGAAGGATGCGACTGCATCCCAATCCCCCTCGCTCCATGCCTGAACCAAAGCCGAACGCGAGAGGTCACCGTTTCCTACATCCCTGAGAACACGGCGGTGCTCAGCCCATGCAAGGTACACCGCCACGGTATGCTCCACCGTGTTCTCCGGGCGGTCCTTGCATTGATGGCCTCTCTAAAGCCACTTTTAAAGAGGGGACTTTCCGCTGCAATGACAGCGAGCCCAGCCCTCGGTTACCTAAAGGAGTGTTTCGCTGTGTAAGTGAGGTTACCGGAGGCCCAATTACCCCTCCCCCAGCCCCCCAATCCCTGACAATCCTCAAATTACCAATTCCCAAAAGGCCGGTAACGCACTTCAAGCACTTCTGGTGTTACAGGTGTCCATGGGCGGCGCAGATTGCTTACCATCAGGTTATCCGTCTGCTCGTTTACCGGCTTATGCCATAAACAAACAGCAAACTATCATAGTGAATTTGGCCTTGACGGTCTAAAATGAAAAGGATTATTTTTTAGCTATGTGCATTTAGCTAGTTTTTTTGATATACATATAAAAAATACTTAAAAAATATATTTTATTCGTGGTTTTATCTCCTTAGACTGCTGTCAACCTCTTTGCATACCTTAATATTAATACCATAGTATAAAAAAAATCTATGACACATTGACTTTGTAAACTCACTCGTCACACAAATGTCAGATGACTTAAGAAATGTATACTAATAATATAAATTTGTATGTGCTTGTTTGTTTGTTTGTCCGTATTTCACGACAGAACGGAGTCAGGAAGGTTTTTGATTTGAGATAGTTGAAAAGATGGAGAGTATCATAGGCTACTTTTTGTCTTTTCTAACCCCCTTCCACTTCCGTGAAACAGAGGTGAAAGTTTGTATGGGGTATTTTGCAATTTTCAATGTGGAAAGCTAACAATTGGTATGCGGGTTATTTGTGACCAGCATAGAATCGTGCATCATTTCATTTTTTTATTGTAAATCCTTCCCTCACCCCATTAAAAGAACGCGAGAGAAGCCGCAGACAGAGGCTAGTCTATGAATAAATTGTATTCAGTCAATTGAATTCGTATTTTGTCTTTAAAATCCCTGATCCCTGATGCAGCTGAATACTAATATTATTCCTTGAAAACTCACAGAACTTCATTTTTATATGTTGATGCCAAATATATTATGGAAGTAGGACGCCATAACAATTACAAATCATCAGGTTGGTTACCATAGTAATGTTACCTGTCAAATATCCGTTTTCAGGTTTTCAGATAAATCGTAATAATTATTCTTAAAAATCGACATAGTGAGTCGAAATTTCTTTTTCGCGATAATAAGTAGCCTATGTTTTATCTCGGGGTCTAGAATATCTGTATACCAAATTTCATTCAAATCCGTTCAGTAGTTTTGGCGTGAAAGAGTAGCAGACAGACAGACAGACAGAGTTACTTTCGCATTTATAATATTAGTTAGGATTAGGATAGTTAGGATTTTGGCGTGAAAGAGTAGCAGACAGACAGACAGACAGAGTTACTTTCGCATTTATAATATTAGTTAGGATTTGTAGAGACAGAACTAAACTTAAGCGCGATTTAAAATTGAGTAGTGTTTCAGTATTCGGGCATTCATGTCTCGGGGAAGCGCCGGAATTATTGTTTCAGTATTTACTGTAGATCTTAGCTTACAGGATGAGAGAAGAAAAAAAATAGTTTATACACTTGGGGCAATAAGAGATACAATAAAATAAAATCTATATTTCACATATCATTTTAATTAGCATTACATGGTCGTTTTAAAACAACAGTCTTTTAATATTATTCGGTAAAATGTCTACATTAAATATATGTACAGGCAGTTTTTAGATCTGGAGATCTGTCACATATCACATCACCAAGGACACACGTTTGACTCCCGGCTGCGTAACGCAATGTAACTATCATAATGTGCTCTTTTCTCATTTCGGTCGAAAGTTAATTTGATGAAGAAATTGATCTTGAATGTTAAAAAAATATGATAATGCTATCATACTTCTTGGAACGTATATTTCATATTTAGTAAAAGAAAACATCATTCAATGTTTTATTAACGCATGCACATAAAATTGATTAACATTAAATTACAAATTATACGTGGTTCATTCGTAAAAAAATAAGTCATTTGGCATACAAAATTCATAAAGAATAATTTCATAATCAGAAAATTAGTACGTACAGATGTGAAACATCAATATTTTCTTTAATCCATAATTGACAACTATGTCTCAATAAAAAATGCGACAACTTTTCATATTCATGTTTTAATTACGCAAATATTGACACATAGCTGGGCATTGCATGGCATGGGCGCTCGTTAATCCGTTAATCATTAATTAACGAATTTAGCATTTTGATTAACGGATTAACTTTTAAGTTAACTTTTAAAAATGCTAACGAACACGTTAACTTTCGTTAAAATGCAGAAGTCCGTTAATCGTTAATCCAATGCCTACTATTTAGCGCACGGCACCGCGGCGCAGCGCGAAAAACAGGTTCAGACAAGTATAAAATGTCAAGTGCCGGGCGGCGCGTGGCAGCGCGTGAAACAAAAACAAAACTGCGAAGAATTTTTTTTTTAGTTTTTTAAGTTCACTAACGCAACGATATAAAAATGTAGTTTCACACCTATTAACGGATTAACGTTAACTTGCGTTAATTCTTCCGAAATGTAACGCTTTAACGTTTAACGAAGCATACTTTTTTTGTAGCGGATTAACGATTAACGAAGTTAACTATTTGATTAACGGTGCCCAGCTATGCATCGACATAAGCCAACCAACAAAGTGATTTAGAAGCCCTATATCCAGCAGTTCACACCTTGTGACTGATATATTAATAATGGTAATGAACCGATGACTTTTATACCATTTTCTTAGTCGTCCTAACTGACCTTTATAAAGAAAAGAGCACAGACAATGAAGGTCCCGCTCAATGAGTGAGCGAGATGTTACTGAAGGCGTGACGCACCCGCGGGCCAAATAGCACGGACTAGTGGTTGTCCATGTACTGCAGCTCCGACAGGAGCAGGACCGTGTTGGGGAGCGGCCGCGGCTGCGGGGACAGGATCGTCAGCATCTGTCGGTCCATGTACACTGCCGTACTGGAAGTTATAATCATGTATTACTTTCAAGTTTGGTAATATCCTAGTAGGCTTCATATATCTTCATAGAGTCAAGAAACCTCAAACTCAAGGAAGTAATAAGTCTGCGTTTGGTCATCTCATCATCATCATCATCATCAACAGCCTATAAATGCCCACTGCTGAGCAAAGCCTCTTCTCACACGGAGAAGGTTAGAGCATTAATCACCACGCTTGCTCAATGCGGGTTGGCGATTTCAAACTTATAATTAGAAATTATAAGTCCAGGTTTCCTCACGATGTTTTTCCTTCACCGTTTGTCAGTGGTGTCTAAATAATCTTAGAAAGTACATATAACTCGGAAAAAGTCACATTGGTACTTGCCGTTGGTAGGTTTCGAACCCGCACCCTCATGCATGAGAAGTGGGCGTCTTAAACCTCCGGGCCACCACGAACATTACGGTACATAACATATTAACGGTACGAATGATGTGGACAATAAATAGATAATTTGCACAGGTATAGTTTTCATACTGTCTTTCAGAATTTACAAGGCCGTTATGTTCAGTAAGTAGCTAAATATCGATTTGTCAGCATTTATAGCACGTTGTATAAAAATCAGAATCAGGATCATTTATTTGTTAAACATATAGAAAAATTAATTATACTATAATTTGTATATGTATGGTAGTTACGGATAGAATGATTTACTTATTTATTCTTAAACAGTCACAACGGTAGAAAACCAATTACAGTAACTGACATAATATTTACAACAAAATACATTATTTAATTTATTTTACGAATAAATAATCACATTCATCTAATACGGCCATAAATATATGTAATGTCCATATAGTTTTTATAAAATACTAGCGGACCCGACAGACGTTGTCCTACATAATTATGACGACTGCAGCGCCATTTGCCGGGCTGATTTGTGAATTTATTATATTATTTAAATCCAGGATTTAAATCGGTCAAGCCGTTTAGGAGGAGTTCAGTGACATACACACGTACAGCAGAATTATATATATAAAGATAGTGAAAGGTACTGACACGCAGACGAAGCCGGCGAGGTTGGAGTGCAGCACGTCGTCGTCGGGCCCGGCCGCGAACGACACGGCCAGCAGGCGGTGCTGCAGCGCCGCCGTCGGGGACACCTGCACCAACTTCGTCAGCGCGTCCGCCGCGCGCATGCCCAGCGGCATGCACGAGTCCGGCAGAGACGGCGCGCCCACCTGCAATCATACCATACATCTATAGCTCCTACTGCGCCCTTAGGGGCCGTTCAAGTATTACGTAAGTACCATGCGGGGGGGGGGTCTCTGTTTTGCTTATTTTGGATGATATGGGGTCTAGATAATGATTACGTCATCAGTAGTCAATTACTTTTTGACACGAATGGCAACCCTCATATTGAAATTATAAATTACAAGCTAAGACCGACAAAGAACTAGACATTATGGTATCTGTCAAATGTTTCCGTAAATAAAGCCGGAGGGGGTAAGATCTTTGCTTGCTTTTGCTGACAAGGGGGATGGGGGGGGGGGGTAAAGAATTGTAAAAAATCTGCTTACGTAATATTTGAACTTATTACCCTTATTACCGGATCTACGGACGGCCTAGAGGGTCACAGGGGCTCGAGCTCGAAGCAGTAGTAGAAATAAAGTGGTTTATAGTCAATAAAAGTCTGACACTCCCTCTAACCCCACGCAAGAAGGGAGAAGCAATTGAATGAAAAATTGCCCCTTATAGCTGCTGATGATGACCAGACCACATACCAATTTATCTTTATAAATAAGTAATAAAAGCGAGCCTACCTTATATATCTTCAAGTCGTTGAACTTGACATCGAATGAGTGCGGGTAGTATGGCGTTCGTTTGCCATAGAAATACTCGCGGATGCGCGCGTCGCGGGCCTCCGCGCGCTGCGTCGACGATCTTTCTACCACCTGGTACACACAATTTATACTTATTGTAACTTATGTTTTGATGGTTTAATAATACATCACTGACTGCATAGTTGGCTCGGTGGCTTGGCAAAAAGCAGCCGCGCAATGTGCAGCCGGTTCATTTCCCGCACGAAGCAACTCTTAGTGTGATCCACAAATTTTTGTTTCGGGTCTGGGTGTCATGGGTATGTGAACTTGTATGTATGCAAATGTACCATGACATAGGAGTAAAATCCTAGTGTGAGACAACAATAAAAAAACATTTATCAGAGTTATATCTTGTTTCATTATAGTGTGTCTAAATCTGGGGAATGCATCGCTTGTGTACATCTCTTTTTTTTGTGGCATAAGTCGGTAAACGAGCAGACGGATCACCTGATGGTAAGCAATCGGCGCCGCCCATGGACACCTGGAACACCAGAGGCGTTACAAGTGCGTTACCGGCCTTTTGGGGATTAGGAGTTTGAGGATCGTTGGGGAGATTTTGCGCGCATACATTTAAATAATATTTTTGGCTGAATGCACAACATAAATTAAAATAAGATAAACTCACGCCTTATTCCCGTGGAGGCAGACAGAAACAGGAATATCATTATTAAAACTCACAAATCAACAAAGACAGTATACTCACACCTCCACTCTTTGGTAAATAGACGACTTTGACAAACTTGGGCATGTCTCGCTTGAGCTCGTTGTAAAGTCTCTCATTGTCCAGTACCAGGATCACATCAACCTGTGTTAAATTCCAATTAGATAAGATAGAAATTTATGCTACATTAGCAAACCCCGGCGAACTCCGTTTCGCCACCGATTATGCTTCGTTTTATGTAATATTTCGTTTGGTGATTAAAAGATGAAGAAATTTAGACATAGAAAAAACAAAGAAACGACAGATTACTTTAGTTTTTTAAAGTATCTACCAATCTTTGAACGCATGCTTTGCTCAGGAAACAAATATTTTATTTTGACCTTTGATTATTATTAAAATACAAATTGGGTAGTTTTTATTATTTTTTGCTTACGCACTTTGGCGCCCCTATCTACCTAAAAGTAAGTAATATTAATATTATAAATACAAATAATTAAAAACTAAAATACTTACACCTTAAAAAGATTGTTTGTTTACAGTTTTTGAAGTCGGTTTTTTTAAACGCAGTTTTTTTGTAATAGTACAAAGTTGTAGTTACCTCAAAAGCTTGAGCAGCGTGTGAGAGCACCTTATATCCGTCTCCTTTAATCCACCCGCAAGTGTTGATGATGACTCCTGATGTCGATGCTGTAACAAACATTTTATTAAATTACATTATGCATATCTACCTTATCTTAATTGGGTATTTTCCTGGGTCAAAAATAAATTATTTAGATTTTTCAATCCAATTAAATATTAAAAAATAATTACAATTTCATTCATTATTCATATTTGACGATATACTCAATTTTCGATTTATTCTAGCAATTTTTTCAGAAACAAGTGTGCTATTTGACTCTAAAATATGATGACGTCATAAGTTAGTTTTTGGTACAAAATTCATAGAACAATATCGTTTTGGACGTTTCGATAAAAGTATTGAGTTTGATTAGTTGTAAAATACCGTATTATCGACTGTATAGATATTGCGTAGAGGTAACTCTGACCAACTGGTCACATAACTAGATTAGGTAACAGAGGACGATGGGTGGTAGTCAAGTGTGTGTCCTTGCTCCAAGAGAGGCAGTGACCAAGTGATGGTGACCAAAGCCAAAGGCAGAGCATTTATGCCAAGAACCAGGCACAGAAATTTGGGGCGAATAATAGCAAGGAAAAGACCTCGTGGTCGCTCACCTACCCGGTGGTTGGATGCTATAAAAAACCTAACCGGCCTGACAGTTCCACAAGCCATAAAGACCGCAGAGGACAGGGGCGTTTGGAGGAGGGTTGTGCATCAAGTGACGGGTGCACCAGACTAGACACGACCTTCAGTAATGAAGAAAAAGATTAGGAAGAAGAAGAAGAAGAATAGCAAGGTAGACTGACCTGAGCACCAAGGTCGCTAGAAGACCTCCATCTGCATGGCATGGCAAGGCAACGTCAAAAGACAGGCAAACATAACTTATTCTACTTAAAACATAAACATAACATCACGCCTTTTATCCCCGAAGGGGTAGGCAGAGGTGCATTTATGTTATGAGTCCCATGTAATAGGGGGTGAGCCTATTGCATTTATATATTTATATATTATTCTACTTACAAAAACTAAATAAGAACTCACCTTTTTTATTATTCTCACATCGCTCAGCGATCACCTCAGCCAGTCTGCCCACTATAGTGTTGTACAGTTCAAGGTTCTCTCCCGGAGAGCTGTGTCCAAAGTGATATACCAGTGGGGCCTGCTGACTAAACCCTTCCTCTATCGATGCTGGTCTTTCTACCAAGAGTGCCCCTGTAGAAGAAAAAGTTATTGATATTATTCCCATGTTAAAATAACATAAAAAACATGAAACATAACATCACGCCTTTAACCCTGAAGGGGTAAGGCAGAGGTGCACACAGATGTAACACCCACTTTTCACTATATATGTTATGAGCCCCATGGCATATATAATTATATGTTATGAATCCTATGGCAATAAGCTCACCCCCTAATAGGGGTATGGTATATACCCCTATTAGGCACAATTCCATACTTTGTGCTACTACTGAGAACCGGCCCAGGAATCGAACCCCTTGCCCGGCAGTCGCATGTACGACCACTCGGCCAATGAGGCAGTTAAAATAAGTACCAGTCACATTTGTAATATTACAGTATCTTTTATTCATTGATAGGTTGGTCTGATTATGGAAGTGAAGGAAGTTGTGGAAACACAATATGTGGAGCAATGTATGATAAAGGCTACACAGAAATAAATGCACTAATTGTTTATTAGATTACCACAGCTTATTACCCTAACATGTAAAATGTTCATAGCCTTATATTAACCACATTCCTCAGATTGTCCATAAAACAATATAAATTTAAGCCACTACTAACCTATAGTACCCGGTACACTAATATGTCCCTGCCCAACGTCAAGATCAACATAAATGGGCCTCCGTCCCATCCTCACTGCGTAATTCAATAGGATCCTGGTAAGAGTGGACTTGCCCACATCTCCAGGTCCAACAACCATGGTGACTGGACCTCGAGTTGACTCCTGTTCCGCTGCCACTCTTTGCTGCTCAAGAGCTGCATGGACGTTGAGGTATACAACCTGAAAAGATAGTGTTTGAATATTTATTGCTCAATCGCCAAGAGGTAACCGGTGACCACTTTCCACTGACTCCATTATAGACCTTATTTCGGATGTTTAGAGACTACTTTTGTATGAACAAATTTGGGTATGATATATTAAGATAATTCTCATATTTATTCATAAAGTGCCCCTGTACAGTGGTTAGACTTTTAAATCAATCAATAAGCCAATCTCAAGAAACAGTCGAAAAGAATAAATATAATATAAAAATCTATATAAAAGACGAGATATTATCATTAAGACATCTTGCACAATAGCATGTAACCATGTTGCATAGTATTGTACAATTGTATATAAAAAACCAATATTTAATGCACATGGATTTTCATTTAAAAATTTTTAATCAAAACAAATCAAATCATTTATTTACAAAAACATGTGTATACACAGGTGTATATTTAAAGGATGAACAAGATAAGGTTGCACTTGAGACATATCTGCCACTCATCATGCCATCCAAATTTCAAATTACCAGTTAAGTTACTAGTTTTAATACATATAGTAATAATATAAAACATCCTTTATATGAAATTTAACAACAATCATGGTATTTGTAATCATGCTCCATGTTGTTCTCTACTCACCATAGGAGTCTCTTTAGCCACATAACTGACTTCAGTTTTACCCCTTAACTCCACAGTGCAGCCGTGCCACGTGAACACAGCAACTTTCGCACCCGTATGGAACTCATATGGCTTCGCTTTCACGAGTTCTGTGCCAAAAAGTTCCGCATAACCACTCTTCACCTAAGACATAAGAACACGTGTTATTTTTCAAGTTAAGAAGTAGTTTTTTTACTATATTTAACTTTCTTTTAAAATAAAGTATAATAGAGCTCGTGTTATTGAATTTGTTTACCTCTAAAACTACTTTTTCGTTTTTAGATTCCACTTCAAACCTTAGTTCTGAATCCGGCTCTAGTTTGAACTCTTGAAGCTGTACCTCCGTCATCGTTGCGATTGAAAATTCTTTGATACACTACTAATTATTGTTTGTTTATATTTCAATTCGCTCTTTGCAGAAATTAGAGAAGAAATGATAGAGAAATTAGCGACACAAACACGATCGTAATCAGTAGATAGAACGTTTTGACACCTGACACCTGTCATATCATAAGAGAAATAACTAAACGTGGAAATAGATTTTGTGTGTTCAGCATTCAAGCGCTTTACTTGATAAAATAAAATCAAGACAATAATTCAAGAATTATTTATTTACAGTAATCATTACATACTTCTATTATATACAAATCAAGAATTATGAAATCTCTTAATTTTAGGCTTCATTATTTTGTATTTTATGGGATAAGTGTTTTATATTCAATGTAAATATAATTCTGCATTAATAAATTCCACATCCATATACATATATGAAAGAATTTTAGGCATGTGCCTAAGATATGATTTACATAATTATACTAAACAAAATATGGATTTTTAATTTATTTAATCTCTTTGTTTTAGGACTGTTTAGGACAATCAATAGCAAAAACTAAACGTTGTAAACGACAATTTCTTTCAAAAATTGTTTTGAAAGGTTGGTCATTATTTTTATTTTCAATAAATAATGAAAATTGTATTGTAAACTGATAGTTTTCACTTTATAAACACAATGGATAGTTCGTTCTTTGAATACCGTAGCGAGACAGCGGCCGATAGTGGTTCCGAATCGGAATTTATCGACGATAGTTTAGTTGACGAATCTTTTGGTGTAAAAAAGAAGAATCACACAGTTTTCGTTGCTGAATCTGAAGAATCTACGACAGATGGTAAATTTATACACTGTTTTGCTTACTAGTGATGTCCTGATCCTGTTTGCATTACATTATTTACATTGAATTCGTGATACAAACAGTGTGATTTCGGCTGCCGAAATTGAACTTTTATCATCCAGAAATCTCATTAAATTCTCATTAAATTACGACAAGTTAAGGTCGTATCGGTTCGGAAATAATGTCGACGACAGATCTTTCCATCTTAAAAGGCCGGCAACGCGCCTGTGACTCCTCTGGTGTTGCGGGTGTCCATGGGCGGCACTGATCGCTTACCATCAGGTGATCCGTCTAATATTAGAATCAAATCTCTTTGTATCCACTACACAACAATAGAAACAGTTTTAAGTTAACTTATCTGTTAAATCCAATCTCTGATATAATAGATAGCTTTGACATGATCAAAATTGTGTTTTCTCCGATTATGTACTGTTTTTGCTTGTAGAAGACAACGAGAAAGAGAAGGCACCAAAGAATGTATCCAAATCTGTGGTCAAACGAAGCAGTGTTGTCCATAGCCATGTTATATCTAGCAGCGATGATGGTAAGTAGACTAGATGGCATTTTTATATAATAATGTTGTATTTGTGTTTTCATACATAATTTGATATGTCCTGTAAGTTTAGCATTAAATTAATAAAACTTAGTGCATACTAATTCACTTTTAGGGTGTCCTGTACATTTCTTGATGATAAGATAAAATACATATTTATATGAGTGTGTCAAACATAAAAGCAAATGATCTGAAACATACATAAACCTTTTCTGGTATAAAAAAAATAATACATACCAAATTTAATTTTCGTGTTGTTGTATAATTGGCTAATTGGAGTCACTGTTACTAACTGTGTATTCTTTTCACATAGATACAAATGCAAGAGGCAGTATCAGAAGGCAATCAGACTCTTCCAATAAAGTAGTTTTAAGTTCTTCGGATAATGGTAATTATTCAAACTTATTAATGCTGTTCTTATTTTGATTGTAATACTTTTAACATAAAACCTGCATTGTAACATTTATGGCCAGCATTATCCTCTTCTCACAGTCTTAAAACCTTTTCAAACAGATGAGGCAGTTTCACCAGAAATAGTCCCAAAACGCAGACCACTGATGAGGAAGTCCTCAGCCAGTAACAATGACTCAATAATTGGACGCAAAACCAAGAAACGGATGATGCTTATCGACTCTGATACAGAAAACTCAATCATCATAGAACATGACAAGCATAAAAAGTTATTATGCACGAAGGACACTCCGTTGAAAATAGACAGTGGGAATAAGCAGAAAAGTAACGATCAAAGTATGATAGAAGATAATCTATCTAAGAATGAGAGTAAAATAGTTATGGATAGTGATGATGAAGAAGAAGTTCAGAATGAAAGTGCAAAGGTTGATAAGACTAAATCTTTAGTTTACGATGGTTCTGACGATAGTGATGAGGGTACCGAAGAGGAGTATGAAGAAAGTGATGATGATGGCCCTGATGAGGATCAGATGGTGATGTCCAGAGCAACGAGGATGAGTATCATGGGTGTGGTACCGAAGGATAATGATAGTGACGAGTCTGACTTTATACAGTCTGATGATGTGAGTTTAGAATTAGGTTTCTGATTTATTTTTGTAATACTCATACATACATAACATAACATCACGCGTTTTTATACTCGAATGGGTAGGCAGAGGTGCACATTTCGGCACTTAATGCCACTGTACAATGTAACACCCACTTTTCACTATTTATGTTATGAGTTCCATGTAATAGGGGGAGAGCCTATTGCCATAACACCGGGCACATTTCCAGACTCCGTGCTATTACTGAGATTTTTAAAAACCCAGTAATACTTTGCTCTACCCGGGAATTGAACCCGAGACCCCTTGCCCGGCAGTCGCACTTGCGACCTCTCAGCCAACGAGACATACATACTTAATTTATTATCCTATCTCCCATTGGGGCAGGCAGAGTCTATGGAACGCCAATTGCTACGAACATACCTCTTTCTCTTCATCAACAGCCATCAGACTTTTCATGCATGCTCGTTTGTTAAGGGTACTTTTAATTTATTTTATTTGTGATCTTATTTTATAATACATCAGTTTACTATTTTACTTAAGGCATCCTGAATTGGAGATTGTAATTGTTTAATGTTGTTCTTCTGTTCTGAACTAATATAATATATTCTGCAGTAAGAAAGTTCAACAGTGTTTACAAGGCGTTGCCTGTATGGTATTAATTCTTTAATTTAAACTGTCAAACACCGCGAGGACACCGGTGACCGTAACCTATTGTTCTTTAATTGTGTCTATAATGACGGTACTCAAAGTAAGTACCAAATTGTATGTTATTAACAACAATACCATTCCTCTTTTAGAGCCATCGAACCTCAAACCAGGGTTCCGTAGCGAGTCTAACGGACCTGCCAGAACTACAAATACCACCAAAAACTCCAGAGAAGACTACAGAAGACCAAGATTCCTCTAGAATATCTTGCTCCCCCTTCTCAAGTCCCCTTCAAGACATAACAAATGAATCAATAAATGCAAGGAAATCATTAGAAAATAAAGATGAATGTGTAATAGTGAATGATACAGAGAAAAATCCACCAAGCAGCCTTAGGAATAAGGTGCTTAATAACTTGGTACTGAATAAAGCGAAGGAGAATTTCATACGGTATGACGATGACGTCACTATTATTGATACGAAGCCGGAGATCATTGCTTTGAGCAGTGATGATGAAGATGAGGTGAGCATAACTCCACGTTCATAACATAAAATTAATAATTATATGAATTTTTCGAACTACATAGTAAAGGCGTAGTTTGTGAGTTTTAGATACATTCGTTTTCTACCGGTTACGTTATGGAATGTAGTGAATTGGTCTTGAATTGTAAAATGTAATATTTATTAACTAAAATCGCGGGTTACTCACGTGAATATACTGAGAAAAGCTCTACTAGTTTCCAACCACAGAATGGTTCTTCCTCATGAGCAGCGTGCGCGGTCGCGGTGGCGTCGCGCAGATCACTAGAGCATTTTTCAGTACATTTACGTGAGTAACTCGCGATTTTAGTTAATTTAGTATTTCTCACGATAGTTATTATGTTATATTTATTATGTTCGTATAAATACATATATAATTACAAATAGTATACGCTTGGCAGTCATAATAAGACTAAGTAACGTAAGTAGAATAAGTATGCCGCCGAGGACTTAACGGGTTACCGGGGCTCCGGCTTTAAGGGCAGGAGTAGGAACGGGGTGGTTTTTAGTCAGTAAGAGTCTGACACTCCCTCCCGCCTCACACAGGCGGGAGAAGTCATTCGATGATTAATTCCCCTTAAAAAAATTTTGAATAAGTATAGGTACAGGTACACAGACAATAAATACGTGTTCTCATAATTTCGAATTAAAAATTAAATAATGTGGGTAAAGCTAAAAATTTATGAACAAAACTGTCATAATGAAATCGAATTTAACGCAGCCATTACTGGACATTTTTTACAAAACTCGAACTACTTTATTTATATTGTTATTATTTATAGTTAAATGTGATGTTATTATTAGAATTTAGTGTTATTATTAGAATTTGAATGATTGAATATTGTGCACTGTGAAGTGTTTAAAAAGTTAAGCCACGATGCCTCGAAGTCCGAGATCTGTAAGTTTAACAATTTATTTGTGACGAAATTGTTATTTTCACTGCCTTGTTGATCAAGGGTGTTTACGCGACTGTAGCCTCGGGTTCTTGTCCCAGGTTGGGCAAAGTATTTTCAAACCCTAAAACAATAAAAGTCAACATAAAATAATCGACTGCCTTATTGGTCAAGTGGCCAAAAGTGCAACGGCCTAGAAGTTGCAAGTCGGTCGTAGCATTTTTGAAAGATTTTCGAAAAATTCTCAAGCAAATTTCAAACACAATGTATCTAAATAGGTTGTTTAACAATTTTATTACATGGGACTCATAACATAACAGCCGAATCGTTGTGCTACACAGTGGCGTAACTGTACCGTTCGCAAAATTCATCTAATGTCTGTTATTCTTGTAATAAAAGATAAATTCAGATGAAAACATCTGAACGGGGCTCTTGTCAGCTGGGAGCCCGTGGCATTTTGCTAACTTACCACCCCGCCTTCCTAAGTTACGCCACTGGTGCTACATATTGTAAACATATACCTTTCCGTTCCTCTCCTACAGCTGCAGTAGCCAAATGCTATTTACCGCTTGTCTACATGTGGAATAGAAAACCAAATTATATGGAATTGACGTAAATTTTATGTGTGTCATCCCCATACATCTTGATTTCTACTCTCTCTGTAGTCAAGCGCTAAAGTGGCGTTTGGCTAAAGGCACTGGGATTGAAAGGCGTTACATTTCAAATCAAATATCTTTCCACTAGCCAAATGCAGAAACGAAGTCGCCAAAAGAACGAAAGTCACTTAAGCCCAAACAGGAGGAGATGTCTCAGAATTCGAAGACAATCACCAAGTACCTGATGCCTCCTAGCCATCCTGGCCAGCAGGTCGTGTATGTGAAGAAGCATGTCAGGGAAGCGGAGCTGATGAAGCTGGAGTCACTGAAAGAAGACCTAAAGAATGTTAAGGTAGGTTTCTATATTGGTTTTTTGTTGTATGGGAGGACGTTACCTTTTTCTCTGAAATTGAAGGCCGGCAACAGTCTTGCAACTCCTCTGGTGATCCATCAGCTCTTGCTTGATTATTATTATATTATATAGATACTAGCGCACCCGACAGACGTTGTCCTGTAATAATAGGTATAGATAAATAACCTAGAAACCGACTGCAGTGTCATCTGCCGGGCTGATTTGTTGAACACACACAAAAAATTTCATCAAAATCGGTCCAGTCGTTTGAGTGAAGTTCAGTGACATACACACTCACAGAAGAATTATATATGTAAAGATTAGTCCACCATGCTTTACTGTACTGTTTGTCTCCAGTACCTCCTCGAAGAGATGGATGTGAATACTCTCCCGGACGGCGGCGGCAGGCTCATAGAGAGGATGACCAGTCTGGAGGAGCAGTTCCGAAGACAGGGGGAGAAGGTCGCCAACATGGTAGTCGAACAAGGTAACGACTAATTCATTACTGTGTTCCTATACCGTATAGGAGCCTTGATTATTACTTTATTCTAATTACTTGTAGACCTGTACCTACTGAGGAATGCATTAAAGAACTTAAAGTATTGGTAAATTTTCAGAATTCTTTTTAGAGAACTTTGATTATGGTGTTATTCTTACAGATCATCCAGGTGCGGATGTAGATAAGAAGGGTCTCAGCTGGGACGAGCTGCAGAAGGCCAGCAATGCTGTCATGCCGCGCATGTTTGGCAAACAGGGTGAGTACCCGCCACTATACTGCATTCATAATTTAACCAGAGACCCAATTTCCCTCCTAACATCTTCACCTCGAAACCCCATATCCCCAACTATATGCCATAAAAAATACTAAGATATCATTTTATCACAGCAATGGCGACTCACATGGCTGAAAGGAACCTGATCCTGGACCGTCTCCGCGACCTGTACGAGTCGCTGGCGTCTCGTCCGTCGGAGTCAGAGTTGGCCACGCCGCCGCGGGCCATGAAGTCCACTCTCATGCCGCATCAGTTGCATGCACTCGCCTGGCTGCGCTGGAGGGAGACCCAGAGGCCAAGGGCTGGGATACTAGGTAAAGTAACTATAATAATTGTTAACTAGATTAAAGTTTAACTCGTCGAGTACCGGTTTTATAGACACAATTAAAGAACAATAGGTCGCGGTCACCGGTGACCGCTTGGTGTTTGACAGTTTAAAGGTTCTTTCTGAAGTACCTAATATCCTGCTGATATACCTAAATCTTATTCAGGGTTATAAGACGTATCGTTCTATGTATATATCTACTAGCTTTTACCCGCGGCTTCGCTCGAGTCACAAAAGGAAGTCACATAAAAAGTAGCTTATGTGACATATACACACAGCGCCATCTATACCAATACTTTTGTTTTCCCTCGGGAATATCAATTTTTCCGGGATAAAAAGTACCCTATTATTTAATCCAGACTTCTAACTTTACGTCTGCAAAAATTCAAAGCAATCGGTTTAGTAGGTACGGCGTGAAAGTGGAACAAACAAACAAACAAACTCACTTTCCAATTTATAATATTAGTAAGGATTGATTTTTGTAAATATAAGTGACCCATAACTACATTTGGGCCATTACGAGCGTGCGAACTGTCATAAGGCATTTTTATCAGATTTCTCGCTCATGATTTATCACTTATGTGATTTGTGCGACATTGTCATATTCCTTTGACGTGACAGTTCGTCCGTTTGTAATGGACCAACTATAGGATATACCGAAGTATGTCGCGGAGAACCTAACGGGTAACCGGGGCTCCGGCTCGCCGTGCAGGAGAAAGAACGGGGTGGTTTTTAGTCAGTAAGAGTCTGACACTCCCTCCCGCCTTGCCCAGGCGGGAGACGTCTTTCGATGATATTCCCCCCCTAAAAAAAGACAAGTATGATATTAATTTTATAATTTTGCTTTGCAGCGGACGACATGGGTCTGGGTAAAACCATCACGATGATAGCTTTGATAGCGAGCGACAAGGAGGACAAGATCGATGATGATGACGACGACGATGATGGTGGACCTGCTACAGGGAAGAGTAAGTAGCTATGTCGTTTACTTCTTATCTAAGTGTAGATCAATATATTTGAACTATTGCCTTGACAATCCGTCAGTTATGTTGTATGAGTTTGCTGTCATGACCTGTGTCTGACTAAATAGAAGATAAAAAATGTCTTCGAGTTTATTTATTCTTAAAAATCTTGAATATATGACATAGGTTGAAAGATTAATTTACTAGAGTCAATATTAGTTAATTTACCAGCTGCAGTTATTTGACAAACATGACTTTATACTTCACTCACGCCAACTATTATCAGCCTAATGTATACATGTTTCTTCAGAGGGCCAAGCACGAATAACTATCGCATTCGTATCGTAACAGTATCGAGCGAGTTAAGCGTTCTGGGTGGTTACTCTTGAAACCAATCTCAATGTCAATGCAATTTCAATCCAATAAAATCTCAATAATTTTTTAATGTCAACACTATACAACCACAATCGTAGCTGTTACAATAGCATTCATAGTACGGAATTACTATAATTAATTATAAACTCAATACCATTTAGTTCATACAATATCCACGCAATACGGATGCAATGGGCGCTGGTGTTGCAACACCAGAGTACGAAATTTCACAATACCAATGTCGATCGATCGGAATTGGATTCAAGAGTAAGCCCTCTGATTGGTTGGTTCACTTGAGCCGGCCAATCAGAGCGCCGAACGCGCTCGATACTATTACGTTACGAATGCGATAGTTATTTGTGCTTGACACTCAGTATACAATCATAGCCGCACTAGGGACAGCCTAGGCACAGCGTTTTCCTTAGAACTAGTATTTAGTTGATTAACTTTGACTTAGTAAATTAACATCATTAAAAAAGTGAGTAGGTATGTGAGTGTGTATGAATGGATGTGTGGTTTGGAATTAAGTTCTGAACTTGACTTTAAGCGTCACTAACATCCCCAAAAACGACTAAAAACTATATGAACGTATGTATAATGTCCGCAGTGGCCCGCGGAGGCACGCTGGTGGTGTGCCCGGCGTCCCTGATGCAGCAGTGGGCGGGCGAGGTCAGCAAGCACTGCGCGGCGCACGCACTGGCCGTGTGTCTCCACCACGGCGCCAACAGGACGCAGCAAGCCAGCAGGCTCGCCGGACACGACCTCGTGCTCACTACATACAACATCATGCAGAGGGACAATGAGAAGGTAACGTATCTGCACTGCGCGGCGCACGCTGGCCGTGTGTCTCCACCACGGCGCCAACAGGACGCAGCAAGCCAGCAGGCTCGCCGGACACGACCTCGTGCTCACTACATACAACATCATGCAGAGGGACAATGAGAAGGTACGTATAGCAAGCACTGCGCGGCGCACGCGCTGGCCGTGTGTCCACCACGGCGCCAACGGACGCAGCAAGCCAGCAGGCTCGCCGGACACGACCTCGTGCTCACTACATACAACATCATGCAGAGGGACAATGAGGGTACGTATAGCAAGCACTGCGCGGCGCACGCGCTGGCCGTGTGTCTCCACCACGGCGCCAACAGGACGCAGCAAGCCAGCAGGCTCGCCGGACACGTCCTCGTCACTACATACAACATCATGCAGAGGACAATGAGAAGGTACGTATAGCAAGCACTGCGCGGCGCACGCGCTGGCCGTGTGTCTCCACCACGGCGCCAACAGGACGCAGCAAGCCAGCAGGCTCGCCGGACACGACCTCGTGCTCACTACATACAACATCATGCAGAGGGACAATGAGAAGGTACGTATAGCAAGCACTGCGCGGCGCACGCGCTGGCCGTGTGTCTCCACCACGGCGCCAACAGGACGCAGCAAGCCAGCAGGCTCGCCGGACACGACCTCGTGCTCACTACATACAACATCATGCAGAGGGACAATGAGAAGGTACGTATAGCAAGCACTGCGCGGCGCACGCGCTGGCCGTGTGTCTCCACCACGGCGCCAACAGGACGCAGCAAGCCAGCAGGCTCGCCGGACACGACCTCGTGCTCACTACATACAACAACATGCAGAGGGACAATGAGAAGGTACGTATAGCAAGCACTGCGCGGCGCACGCGCTGGCCGTGTGTCTCCACCACGGCGCCAACAGGACGCAGCAAGCCAGCAGGCTCGCCGGACACGACCTCGTGCTCACTACATACAACATCATGCAGAGGGACAATGAGAAGGTACGTATAGCAAGCACTGCGCGGCGCACGCGCTGGCCGTGTGTCTCCACCACGGCGCCAACAGGACGCAGCAAGCCAGCAGGCTCGCCGGACACGACCTCGTGCTCACTACATACAACATCATGCAGAGGGACAATGAGAAGGTACACAAAGCACCGCTAATTAGTTGCAGCGCTACACATCGACACAACTGTCATTTACACAGTGTACATGTGTGCGTAATTTCATATAACTGTATATAAAAATATTCGTCCACCACGTTCACATTGGTATTTTCATTCTTGTGTCGGTATACGTATTTTTATAATTTAATGCATAGGTAAGGTTAAAACTATTTACAATCATTGATATGACCCGACATTTTCACTGTCATTATCGTAGTGCTCGTGGTCGATTGGTTAATGAGCACGCTTTTATCGTCTTTCAAGGATCAATGATGTGGGTTCTATTCCAGCTAAAAGTTAATTTTATTTTACCTTGTTATTTTTCTTATTTTTTTTTTTTGTTTTTTGTCATAAAATATAAATATCAGGCTATAAAAGAAGCAAATGAGTTGGTAAATAAAACAATACTATTTTTTATTACAATTAATTTATTTATTATACAAATATGTTGTTTTATATTCAATATTTATATCTAATAATTAATTATATACCACATGTTAAGTTTAAAGTTCTTTAAATCATAATTAATAGATATGACAATAAACCTCATAGTCGAATCGGGAAATATCACGGTACAGCGGTAATACGATGGCAGCAACATTTTTTATTAAGTAGGTAATAAACAAATATACAACATTCTTGTTTTGTAATTTAATAATATAATGTATTATTAAATTACAGTTTTACAGTAATAAACAAGTAAAACATGTAAAAAATTACACTGTCAACATAATATTTCTTGAAATGGGCGACTTTTTGTCGTTTGAACTTCCATTAATTATCTATTTTACGACGGTTGTTATAAGGTTCAATATTCAGTGGGCTGTATGATAGTAAAAAGAATGTGACGAATGCTATGGAACGATTTTAACTTTCATGACCTTTAGAATCAGGGAAACTTTAAATTAATTGAAGATGGGCGTAAATATAATATGTCAATCAAGTTCGAAAGCAGTTAAATAAATTTGTTAATGAAAAATTAAAGTGAAGTGAATAAACATGTTGAATAGAAAGAAATTATGACAATTTCTAACCACAAAACAATAACATCACTTCACCGTATGTTCTAGACAGCATTTTAATATTCTTAAAAAAATTAAACATTATTTTATGTTAATTTTAATAAAGGCAGAGTTTGACAGGCTCAATAATTGATTCCGAAATCAATACAATCACTGATCCTACAAGGCAGAAGGTTGCAATTCGTATACCTTTCTCCATCTTTTCTTCACAATATTTTACGCCCATCCTTATCCGACTTGAAAGTCTTTTCGTCGCTCAATATGATTACACTGTTCGCCCAATCAAAATTAATAAAGTCCTTAGCAAATTCTTAGCGCTTTTGCTGGTGAACCACAGATAACAATATTTTCTTCTCTGGCTTCCTGCACCTTAAACCAGAATGCAGGTGTCTCCGTACAGTTTGTATTAAAACATTCAGTGCTGTCGCTGTAGTGCGGGTTGGCAGGAACGGATCAGCCATGTGCCTGGCTACGATGTGTCGTAGTGCCGAGCCGATGAATTTGCCTTTGGTTTAGGCCCACGTCGACGATGTTTAACGTCACCGGTCTCCGCATATCTGTGCACCCATAACTGCATGGATCTCCTCTGTTGATACCAAACAAATAAGTATTTAAAATACCAGGAAATACTTTACAGGAATTAAAGTTACTTAAAAATAATAATAAATATAAGTAAACACAATGTTAGAATAATAATTTATAATTAAGTAGTGGCGTAAGGAATAAAAATCCCTAACCAGATATGTTTTAAAGAAACACTCCTAACAAAAACAAGTCAAGTTACAATACAATTAATAATAAATTATTAATATATCTTTATAATATTGAACTTCATAATAAGTTGCAATAATTATTTTATTCTAGTGCAAAAATTGTAGGTGTGTCGAGTTACAAAATGAAATAAATATTATTTAGAATATCAACGTAGTATCTTATTTACTCACCGATATCATTAAACGCCTTGCTATTTCAGTTATTGTTAGTTATGTTTTGCTCATGCAAAACAATGGTTTCAGCCTTTTTAAATGTTGATAGGTGTTGGAACATCTTGTAAAAATAAAAATAACTTTGCACACGAATATAAGTAGTGTAGCAATAAACTATGAAATCCTCATAAATTGACAACTAAGAACGCAATTATTTTGTAAGTCGGGTGATTTGAAAAACATGTTTTAAATAGTCGGTAGTTACTTCATAAGCGTGTAAAATAAAATGACTCGAGATTTCTATGGTCGCCACAAACATTGCAAATATACTCAGGTATCGAACCATTAAGAAATCACAGTTAATTACTTTTTTACTGTTTTTATCTTATTTAAGTTGGTTGAAATGCATGAAGCAAATGAGATTATTCTAAATAATAAATAACTAGAACTAAAATATAAATAAAAGATATTATAGGTATAAATAAATCTAAAGTATTTACTATTAAAATTAACATAAGATTTAGAACAATAGGAAAGGAAAAAAAAGAAAAGATTTAATTGTTTCTAATTTCAAATAAATTTGATAAATTAATTCTAAAACAACATGTGAATGTTGGAATCGATCCGGCGGCACTTTACTTGACAATTGGAGGCGATAACCATTGCGCCAAGCGCGCTGTAGATGAGATCATCGAAATATTTTATATCATTCAGTAACATAAAATTACAATGAGAAAGCACTATATTTATATGGGTATTGTATAGCTCGATCGTTCATTATTTTTGATTTCGATTTATTCAAAGTTTGTTATGAGTAATTTTATCTTTACCCTCGTTTTTATTTAAACTTATTTACTAAATTATTGCGTATACCGACACAAAAATGATTTTTAAATACCAAGATGTGTGTGATAGACGAATGTTTCTATACATATCTATTGATATGAAATTACCCACACATGTATATTGTGTAAATGATAGTTGTGTCGATGTGTAGCGCCGCTAACTAATTAGCGGTGCTTTGTGTACGTATAGCAAGCACTGCGCGGCGCACGCGCTGGCCGTGTGTCTCCACCACGGCGCCAACAGGACGCAGCAAGCCAGCAGGCTCGCCGGACACGACCTCGTGCTCACTACATACAACATCATGCAGAGGGACAATGAGAAGGTACGTATAGCAAGCACTGCGCGGCGCACGCGCTGGCCGTGTGTCTCCACCACGGCGCCAACAGGACGCAGCAAGCCAGCAGGCTCGCCGGACACGACCTCGTGCTCACTACATACAACATCATGCAGAGGGACAATGAGAAGGTACGTATAGCAAGCACTGCGCGGCGCACGCGCTGGCCGTGTGTCTCCACCACGGCGCCAACAGGACGCAGCAAGCCAGCAGGCTCGCCGGACACGACCTCGTGCTCACTACATACAACATCATGCAGAGGGACAATGAGAAGGTACGTATAGCAAGCACTGCGCGGCGCACGCGCTGGCCGTGTGTCTCCACCACGGCGCCAACAGGACGCAGCAAGCCAGCAGGCTCGCCGGACACGACCTCGTGCTCACTACATACAACATCATGCAGAGGGACAATGAGAAGGTACGTATAGCAAGCACTGCGCGGCGCACGCGCTGGCCGTGTGTCTCCACCACGGCGCCAACAGGACGCAGCAAGCCAGCAGGCTCGCCGGACACGACCTCGTGCTCACTACATACAACATCATGCAGAGGGACAATGAGAAGGTACGTATAGCAAGCACTGCGCGGCGCACGCACTGGCCGTGTGTCTCCACCACGGCGCCAACAGGACGCAGCAAGCCAGCAGGCTCGCCGGACACGACCTCGTGCTCACTACATACAACATCATGCAGAGGGACAATGAGAAGGTACGTATAGCAAGCACTGCGCGGCGCACGCGCTGGCCGTGTGTCTCCACCACGGCGCCAACAGGACGCAGCAAGCCAGCAGGCTCGCCGGACACGACCTCGTGCTCACTACATACAACATCATGCAGAGGGACAATGAGAAGGTACGTATAGCAAGCACTGCGCGGCGCACGCGCTGGCCGTGTGTCTCCACCACGGCGCCAACAGGACGCAGCAAGCCAGCAGGCTCGCCGGACACGACCTCGTGCTCACTACATACAACATCATGCAGAGGGACAATGAGAAGGTACGTATAGCAAGCACTGCGCGGCGCACGCGCTGGCCGTGTGTCTCCACCACGGCGCCAACAGGACGCAGCAAGCCAGCAGGCTCGCCGGACACGACCTCGTGCTCACTACAACAACATCATGCAGAGGGACAATGAGAAGGTACGTATAGCAAGCACTGCGCGGCGCACGCGCTGGCCGTGTGTCTCCACCACGGCGCCAACAGGACGCAGCAAGCCAGCAGGCTCGCCGGACACGACCTCGTGCTCACTACATACAACATCATGCAGAGGGACAATGAGAAGGTACGTATAGCAAGCACTGCGCGGCGCACGCGCTGGCCGTGTGTCTCCACCACGGCGCCAACAGGACGCAGCAAGCCAGCAGGCTCGCCGGACACGACCTCGTGCTCACTACATACAACATCATGCAGAGGGACAATGAGAAGGTACGTATAGCAAGCACTGCGCGGCGCACGCGCTGGCCGTGTGTCTCCACCACGGCGCCAACAGGACGCAGCAAGCCAGCAGGCTCGCCGGACACGACCTCGTGCTCACTACATACAACATCATGCAGAGGGACAATGAGAAGGTACGTATAGCAAGCACTGCGCGGCGCACGCGCTGGCCGTGTGTCTCCACCACGGCGCCAACAGGACGCAGCAAGCCAGCAGGCTCGCCGGACACGACCTCGTGCTCACTACATACAACATCATGCAGAGGGACAATGAGAAGGTACGTATAGCAAGCACTGCGCGGCGCACGCGCTGGCCGTGTGTCTCCACCACGGCGCCAACAGGACGCAGCAAGCCAGCAGGCTCGCCGGACACGACCTCGTGCTCACTACATACAACATCATGCAGAGGGACAATGAGAAGGTACGTATAGCAAGCACTGCGCGGCGCACGCGCTGGCCGTGTGTCTCCACCACGGCGCCAACAGGACGCAGCAAGCCAGCAGGCTCGCCGGACACGACCTCGTGCTCACTACATACAACATCATGCAGAGGGACAATGAGAAGGTACGTATAGCAAGCACTGCGCGGCGCACGCGCTGGCCGTGTGTCTCCACCACGGCGCCAACAGGACGCAGCAAGCCAGCAGGCTCGCCGGACACGACCTCGTGCTCACTACATACAACATCATGCAGAGGGACAATGAGAAGGTACGTATAGCAAGCACTGCGCGGCGCACGCGCTGGCCGTGATTCTGACAGTGCCATTATTTTCACCACCCTTAAAAACCATGAAAAGGATACCCATGACGATAAATTGAAAATTTCGGACAGCGGCCATCTTGGATTTACATTTTGACAACACCATAATTTTCATCACTCTCGAAAACCATAAAAATGACACCAATGCCATTAAATTAAAAATTTCGTGGAGCCGCCATCTTGAATTTACATTTCGACAGCACCATCAGTTTTACCACCCTCGAAAACCATGAAAACGACACCCATGACGATAAATTGAAAATATCATGCAACGGCAAACATACATAAAAAAGAAACAAGCATTTGAACATAGTGCCTCTTCCTTTTTTTGAAGTCGGTAAAAACAAACACGCTTTAGCCCTGAATAATATATCCCGAGCTACTAACATCGTTTTGTTCGCAGCTCGGGATTGGCCTACCCGCGTCTCGCCCCTTACACCACGCACGATTGCCCATGCCCTGGCTAGACGTCTTCGTTGAACGACTGTATAGACTGTAGTAGTAGCACGGAGTCTGTAAATGTGCCCGGTATATGGCAATAGGCTCACCCCCTATTACATGGGACTCATAACATAAATAGTAAAAAGTGGGTGATGTTATTTGAATACTGGTTCCCAGAAAGGCGTCCTGATGCGCGTGTACTGGCGCCGCGTGATCCTGGACGAGGCGCACGTGGTCCGCAACCACAAGTCGGCGACGTGCGGCGCGGCCGGCGCCCTGCGCGCGCCGCGCCGCTGGTGCCTCACTGGCACGCCCGTGCAGAACAAGGACCTCGACCTCTTCGCGCTACTCAAGTTCCTACGGTGCTCGCCCTTCGATGACCTCACTGTGAGTATACTGCCTTATATAGACGCCTATAAGACACTAACACCCGAATACTGAAAGCTCACTCAATTGTGAGTTGTACTCAAATATCGTGCCATATCTGCCATTTTTATTAACCTATCATGTATTTTGGTGTATGCTCTGTTGATTGCCCTTAAATAAATAAATAAAATAAATTTTACAAAGAATTTGTAGAGACAGAAGTATACTTAAGCGCGACTTAACGTGGGCCACAAACTAGGCACAGCCTGTATCTTGGTGGCCCGAATGACAGAGATGGCACAATATTGTAATACAACTTAACGTGGGCCACAAACTAGGCACAGCCTGTATCTTGGTGGCCCGAATGACAGAGATGGCACAATATTGTAATACAACTTAAAATTGAGTAGCCTTTCAGTATTCAGGTGTTAGTCAACAAGAATTTGTAAAATAATAAAAGATATAACCACTTTTTTGAGTTTAAATTCTTTTCTAGTTGATATACACATGTGAATGATTAATTCTTTAACTCTAGATGTGGAAGAAATGGATAGACAACAAGAGTTTAGGTGGGCAGGAGCGTCTGAGTACAATAATGCAGTGTCTACTACTGCGGCGCACCAAGCAACAACTGGTCCAGCGCGGACAGCTCGCCTGTCTGCCGCAGCGGACCGCGCATACCAGGACTGTCACACTCAAACCGCAGGAGATGAATGTCTATCAGAAGGTAAGGAGATTATTCAAAAGGGGAAAAAAACTTTAATTTAAGGAATTTTTATTTTTACGAGGATGGTCGACTAGTTTCGAGCTCGATCGGAGCCCATATTCATGGTTAACTCGTGCAGATTAAAAACTAAGCTGTCTATTATCGAATGTAGCGTGTGACACGATAGTGAATACTACGTTGTTAAACATAGATATGTTTTCTACTATATAATTTTTTTATATTACTAGCGACCCGCCCCGGCTTCGCACGGATGCAATATGCATGTATTATACATATAAACCTTCCTTAAGAATGACTTTATCTATTAAAAAAAACCGCATCAAAATCCGTTGCGTAGTTTTAAAGATCTAAGCATATATAGGGACAGACAGACGGGGGATAGCGTCTTTGTTTTATACTATGTAGTGATTATTATAATAAAATTAAATCTATACTAAAATTTTTAACTATAATTCATCCCTTGACTTAAAAATGTCTACTTGTTTCAATCAAAAATACTAATTATTCTGCAGGTGCTAGTGTTCTCTAAGACACTATTCGCTCAGTTCCTACACCAGCGCGCTGAGAAGAACTCGGACGCGCAAGGATTTACCTCGGCCGGGAACAGCGCGTACCACAAGATGCATAAGAAAATGATCGCCCTACAAGGTTCGTCGTTATAATTTGTATTACATATTATAGAAGATTTTAACTTGATTCGATTTTTTTTTTAAGAATATTATTTCATTTTATTTATTTAACACGTTTTGTACATACAATTATAAAATGGTGGGCCGGATGGTGGGTGGGTAATGCCGGATGGCATTCTTTACCAAGCAACCGCAGGGTGACGCAGAGAAGTTTTTTATTTTGTCCATTAGAAGAAATTCTCTGTAGTAAATTACTGAATAACAAAAATCATCGATAAATACATTAACAATCAGACAGTTCATTACTGAATTGCTGGCCTACTCTACCTACGAGGATTTTCCGTCTCTATCTTAGCAGGTAAGATAGAAACCCCAGTTCAAACGGTTTAGATTTATCAGAAAGCGATGTTATCTTGTCAAATGTGTAGTCTCTTAATCAGCTCTTACGACCCCCACTCCATTCCTTCCTTCCTTTACTCTCCCACGAAAAGTGTATTTAACAAATTAATATATTCTACTCCATAAAACTTTTTTTATGGGATATGCCCGGTAAACGAGCAGACAGATCACCTGACGGTAAGCAAACGGCGTCGCTCATGAACACCCGGAACATCAGAGGCGTTACAAGTGCGTTACCAGCCTTTTGAGGAATTTGAAGATTGTTCGATATTATACTATACTTATACATACAATATTAATTATTTTGTACTTATCTTTGATTCCAGGAGCGAAACCAGTAAAGTCTCACGAGATCTTGGTCCTCCTACTGCGCCTGCGCCAAGTATGTTGTCACTGCGGCCTCATCGCCGCCATGTTGGACGAGGACAGCACCGCCGACGTACAGGAGGACCCCGCCGGACAGGATCTATTGGCTGAGCTCAATAAACTGTCTATTGAAGATTCCAGTTCTAGGAGAAAGGTATATTTTACTATGCTTCTATTAAGGACTTAGGATATCTAACGTCCAGTTTCTATAACCTATCTATCTGTAGATTTGCTTACTAGAGATAGAATTTTGACATGAGCTCCATACTTTAACTTGATATAGAGAGAGAGAGAGAGAGAGATAGAATTTTGACACATTTTGTATGGAGCTCATGTCAAAATTCTATCTCTAGTAAGCAAATCTACAGATAGATAGGTTATAGAAACTGGACGTAAGTCATCAACAGCCTATAAATGCCCGCTGCTGAGCAAAGCCTCTTCTCAAACGAAGAGGGTTTTAGCATTAATCACCACGCTTGCCCAATGCAGCTTGGTGATTAAAAACTTATAATTAGAAATTATAAGCCCAGGTTTCCTAACGATGTTTTCCTTCACCGTTTGTCAGTGGTGTCTAAATAATCTTAGAAAGTACATATAACTCGGAAAGAGTCACATTGGTACTTGCCGTTGGTAGGTTTCGAACCCTCACCCTTGTGCATGAGAAGCGGGCATCTCAAATCTCCAGGCCACCACGGATATCTAAGTATGTATGTGTAATTCATGCGTGGGGTCATCATCATCATTAGAGCCTTTACCCAGCAGTAACACTGTAATAGGGGTCGTATTATTATTGGGTAAAGGCTTCATTTTACTCATAGAAGGAAGCATTATCATTTGAAAAATTACAAACAAGGTGATGGAAATACTGAGATAGTAAAAAAACTACGGGTTACCTCGTATATGGGTGCACTATTAACCAATCGTTTACATTTACATTGTTCTCGTACAATCCAAACAACAAAACTATGTAACTAGAGAATTGTATTGTGAATCTGATTGAAAAAGGGTAACCTATGGAGTTTCTTGCTCGTTCTTCTCCATAGGAATCTACACCTTGGAATGAGCAAATAACTTTGTCTTTGATTACCGGAACGTAGATCATAGTCTGAGTACCAAGCACGAATAACTATCGTAATCGTAACGTAATAGTATCGAGTGCGTTCGGCGCTCTGATTGGCCGGCTCAAGTGATCCAACCAATCCGAACGCTTAACTCGCTCGATACTGTTCGCTGATACATTTTCTGGCCACCATTTTTGTATCTATCTTAAGTGCATTATAATTTAATGTCACAGAGTAAAAAATCCGACGACGAAGATGAAGAAGGCCCCCCACAAGAAGGTACTACAGCGGCGGAAGCAATCCGTTCAGTACTATCTCCCAACAACCCGGTGTTTGAACTCAGCAACCCTTCCTCCAAGATCAAAGCCGTCATGGACTGTCTCAACAATGAAGTCTTCGTTCATAAAGGTCAGTATTGCATCGTCATTGATTGGATTATGCACCCTATTCGACTATTGAATAAGGTCCAATGTTAAATAAAGGGTCGCAAGAGATGGTTTGTCATGCTGTTCAGATTTGCCAAACTGGCCTATAAATCGCAGTTGGGTTATTGAAAGTTTTGAAGTTTAGAAAAGGCTGCTTCATCTACTAGTTGTCTTTAATGGCAATAAAGGTGTTTACCGGAGGACCCAATGTCATCGTCCCCCTCATCCCAAATCTCTAATCGCTAATACTAACTCCCCAAGTCCGATTAGTGGAGGCTTTTATCGATTTTTCTGACTGCCTCATTGGTCGAGTGGTCGCAAGTGCGACTGCCGGGCAAGGGGTCTCGGGTTCGATTCCCGGGTCGGGCAAAGTATTACTGGGTTTTTAAAAATTCTCAGTAGTAGCACGGAGTCTGGAATTGTGCCCGGTATATGGCAATAGGCTCACCCCCTATTACATGGGACTCATAACATAAATAGTGAAAAGTGGGTGTTACATTGTACAGTGGCATAATGTGCACCTCTGCCTACCCCTTCGGGGATAAAAGGCGTGATGTTATGTTAATGGCCTGGCAATAAGAGCCTAATCATATTAGCGGTTTGGAACCAGCTGCGAGGCGGAGCGGACGCGCAGTGAACGTTATGTTTGCGCCGCGTGTTTGTTTATAAATGCAAATTATATCCGTCCAATAATGGTGTCCACTTTGCAGTTCGCGGTGATCTTGTTGTGCGTAATGAATACGTTGCGCGCCCGTTCCGCGTATGATAAGGCCCTTATACATTACCGCTGATTCAATGTACCCACTTTTCACCAAAAGTAATATGTAATACTTCGTGTACAGGTCACAAAGCAGTGGTAGTATCCCAGTGGACGTCAGTGCTCCGCCTCGTGGAGGCCCAGCTGGCCGCCGCCCGCGTGCGCTGCGTCACGCTCAGCGGCGCCGTGCCCGTCCCCGCGCGGACACCGCTACTCACTGCCATCAATGATCCTAACTCCGACGTCAAGGTAATGCAAAGTACATAGATATATCTGTACCTTCAGTGAAAAGTGATACATGTCGACCCAGATCGGTTTTTATATTCTCTGATTAAACTTATTAAAAAAAAATTAACTTAATTTCTATCTTATCCCCGTTGTTATAAGATTAAAAATGAATGAGTTTTTTTTGTGTATATTGATATAAGTAATCTATTTTTTACTGAAATTATTGTGTAAAATAATACTTTTTCATTCATACCAAAGTGCTCCGAACCGATACTAATATTTCTAAAGTGTATTTTAATACAATTCGAGTTACCACATCTTACGCGAACCGAAAGCTTTTACTCCAATTAATCCAAAGTGATACAAATGAAATCCTATCACTAAACATTAAAAAATTGAAACAATACATTCTAGTGAAAAGTGTTACATTTGTACATGAACCATACAAACACAAATTTATTTTCATAAAAATATGTGACTAATGATACAACTGCTAATCAAACGATTTACACATAATTTATGTAGCCAATTTTGATGTGATTACAAAGTTAATATTAATTCTATTAGTAAGAACATAAGGGAAATAGGACATATAATTACTTGAATAATGATACAAATATAGTAGAATCAAAACTGCATTGCATTTTAGAACTAAATTAACAAATAAATACGTAGTACACAGTGATACTAGTTCGCGCAGCTATTACGCACCCCTCTCCCTACTTCCCCGCGGGACGAAGGGAAAGAGCGCAGGCGACGCGGGATTTTTAGTCTCAGGCATAGTATAAAGAACAGTACGGATGCGTCGTGCGTTACAGCACACAACTGCGATGCGTAAGGTAAGACTTGTATCATTTTACACGAATTTTGTAATAATTTTGTTATTTAAATGTTTACAAAGAATATGTATTTTATAGTGATTTAAGAATTCAATAATATTTGTCGTATTACACAGTATTTTATAAATACCTATTTTGAAACAATATTAATTAATTTATAAAAAGAATATCTAATTTTTGAACTTACTAATCGTAAAATATACTATTAATTATGATAATAATGAAACATTTAGTAGTTCCATCAGAATGGAGTTTGGAGTAGACAAGTGTGCGGTCATGCATGTAAAGCGAGGAGGGATTGTGGAATCTGAGGGACTAGAACTCTCAGATTTCACAAAACTGAGATCACTCTCCGCAAACGAAACATACAAGTACCTGGGTATGTCAGAAGGATTAGGCATTAATGGACCGGACATGAAGCAATCGCTACAGGAGCGCTTCTTTGGCCGCCTGAATAAGGTACTGAAAAGTTCCTTATCAGGCGGAAACAAGGTGCGAGCCTTTAACGGTTGGGTCATGCCAGTCCTAATGTATTCTTTTGGTATACTCAAGTGGACACAGACTGAACTTGACACCCTGGATAGACGAGTCCGGACCCTGCTGACTGCAAATCGCATGCATCACCCTCGTTCGTCGGTCATGAGGTTGTACATCCCGCGGAAGTGTGGTGGTCGAGGCTTATTAAATGCTAAGACCCTTCACAACCGTGAGGTGTGCAGCCTCAGGGAATATTTCCTGAAAGTCAACGAGGGTATGCATCGAGAAGTAGCAGCGGTGGACAATGGATTCACTCCGCTATCCTTGGCAAAAGAGAACTGGCGCAAACCTGTGGTACTGAGCGTCAATGATCGCAAGGAGGTATGGCATAGCAAGGAGCTCCACGGACGCTTCTTCCGGGCCACTCATGGGCCCAGTGTAGATTTTATAGCGTCCGTATCTTGGCTACGATTCAGTAATCTCTTTGGAGAAACTGAAGGATTTGTCTGTGCAATTATGGACGAAGTTATCCTTACGAATAACTACCGGAAATATATAATTAAGGATGGGACGGTTGACATATGTCGGGCATGTCATAGTCCTGGTGAATCCATTAGACATATTATTTCTGGTTGTGGTCGTTTGGCTAACAGTGAATATTTGCATAGGCATAATCAAGTAGCCAAGATTATCCATCAGCAACTTGCTTTGCATTATCGACTTGTTGAGTCTGAGGTACCGTACTACAAGTATGTGCCCGACCCAGTTCTGGAAAATGACCATATCACGTTGTACTGGGACCGGTCTATCATCACTGACAGGACTATTATAGCGAACAAACCTGATATAGTGGTGATAGACCGACAAGTGCGCCGCACGATGATAATCGATATCACTATTCCTCATGATGAGAACCTCGTGAAAGCTGAAAAAGATAAACAAATCAAATATCTTGATTTGGCTCACGAGGTTGTCGACATGTGGAATGTAGATTCGGCTATCATTGTGCCGATAGTCGTGTCGGCCAATGGGTTAATCCCTAATAGCCTCGACAACCACCTTAGGAGGCTAGCGTTAGGCAGTTGGGTCAAGGGCCTGATACAGAAGGCAGTTCTCCTTGAAACGGCGGTTGTGAGGAGGTTTCTGTCTCTGGAGCCCTAACCACCGGTAGCTTGGACCATGCTCCCACTACTGGTCGGCTCCTATTTTTATATTTTTAAATATTATTTTTATACTGTAGTATTTAAAAATGTAATTTTAGAGAAAGTTTAAATAAATATATGGAAATGATAATAATAATAATACAGGTAGGCTAACAATTATTTTAATTCTCATTTATTAAATGCTTACTGAGTATTCAGTAGGTATAATAGGGATAGGCACGTTGTTGTTAATCAATTGTCAACAATACTTTTAATCAAAACATTTTTTTTAAGGGGGGGAAATCATCGAATGACTGCTCCCGCCTGGGTGAGGCGGAAGGGAGTGTCAGACTCTTACTGACTAAAAACCACCCCGTTCCTTCTCCTGCACGTCGAGCCGGAGCCCCGGTTACCCGTTAGGTTCTCCGCGACTCCGAATCGGCATCGGCCCTATTGGGCCCCATCTGTGGTGGTCTGATGGCTCTTTGAGGCGCGCGCGGAACGCGATTTCATACGATTTAAGACTGATTCGATCTCTGTTCAAGATTAACGATAAGTAGGTTTAAAAGTTGTGTTTTTTTAAAAGGATGTTATATTGTATTTTATAGGGAATTGTTGAAGTGCTATGTGTACAACACGTATGTTATTTGATTTTTTGAGACTGATTAAATAAGCTATAAGACTGTTTAAGATTAATAATGAAGAGGTTTAAAAATTATATTTTTTTATATGTAAGGATGTTAATTATATTGTTTTATATAGCGAACAGTTAGTGCTACAACAAATCTGTTGTTTGATTTTTTGAGCTTGTTTTATTATGTTTAAAGACTAAAGATACCTACTCGAAAGATCAGATTAACGATAAATACCAATAATATTTTATTGTTTTGCTACTAATTGTAATTCATAAAAAGTGTACATATATTCAAGAATTCTTTATTAAAGAAACGCTTTTTTAATTAAGTTATTATTTTATTATGATATTAACATATTTTTACCCTTTCTATGACAAAAACGTTTGAAAATACTTATTACTTGTATCAATAAACACGTCGATGTAAACAAAATGTGTCACAATAAATTCTAGCTTGTAACATTAATCACTTACTAGTTTGAAAAATACATTGGTGTTTAGGGGTACAATTGAATATTTACGAAGGAATTTTAAATAAAACAATGAAAAAAGTTTGCTGATAATCAAAATGATCATATTAGTTTTACGACTTTTTCTCACAACAACTATTTGCAGGCAAAACATGCCAAAACACAAGCTCTATAACATTTCACACAAAACGGTAACTAAATGTGTAAAATAATTCATTTCATTATAGATTTAAATACACAAAAATAAGCAAAGTAAACTATAGTGTACGGTGATATAACTGGCTATTTTTACTAATTACTTAAATTCCGTGCAAAGTAATATTTTCAAACCAAGCTCTATATAATCTTTAAAATAGTATCTACACGTACTACATATCGTTTTTTATTTTAGAACGTTAGAAAAATAACGAGATTTTTTTAAATCTTTAACCTTAAATTACTCAAAACTATGATTTTTCACTTATATCACTTTTCACTGAAGGTACAGATATATCGTCACGCTCAGCGGCGCCGTGCCCGTCCCCGCGCGGACACCGCTACTCACTGCCATCAATGATCCTAACTCCGACGTCAAGGTAATGCAAAGTACATAGATATATATCGTCACGCTCAGCGGCGCCGTGCCCGTCCCCGCGCGGACACCGCTACTCACTGCCATCAATGATCCTAACTCCGACGTCAAGGTAATGCAAAGTACATAGATATATATCGTCACGCTCAGCGGCGCCGTGCCCGTCCCCGCGCGGACACCGCTACTCACTGCCATCAATGATCCTAACTCCGACGTCAAGGTAATGCAAAGTACATAGATATATATCGTCACGCTCAGCGGCGCCGTGCCCGTCCCCGCGCGGACACCGCTACTCACTGCCATCAATGATCCTAACTCCGACGTCAAGGTAATGCAAAGTACATAGATATATATCGTCACGCTCAGCGGCGCCGTGCCCGTCCCCGCGCGGACACCGCTACTCACTGCCATCAATGATCCTAACTCCGACGTCAAGGTAATGCAAAGTACATAGATATATATCGTCACGCTCAGCGGCGCCGTGCCCGTCCCCGCGCGGACACCGCTACTCACTGCCATCAATGATCCTAACTCCGACGTCAAGGTAATGCAAAGTACATAGATATATATCGTCACGCTCAGCGGCGCCGTGCCCGTCCCCGCGCGGACACCGCTACTCACTGCCATCAATGATCCTAACTCCGACGTCAAGGTAATGCAAAGTACATAGATATATATCGTCACGCTCAGCGGCGCCGTGCCCGTCCCCGCGCGGACACCGCTACTCACTGCCATCAATGATCCTAACTCCGACGTCAAGGTAATGCAAAGTACATAGATATATATCGTCACGCTCAGCGGCGCCGTGCCCGTCCCCGCGCGGACACCGCTACTCACTGCCATCAATGATCCTAACTCCGACGTCAAGGTAATGCAAAGTACATAGATATATATCGTCACGCTCAGCGGCGCCGTGCCCGTCCCCGCGCGGACACCGCTACTCACTGCCATCAATGATCCTAACTCCGACGTCAAGGTAATGCAAAGTACATAGATATATCGTCACGCTCAGCGGCGCCGTGCCCGTCCCCGCGCGGACACCGCTACTCACTGCCATCAATGATCCTAACTCCGACGTCAAGGTAATGCAAAGTACATAGATATATCGTCACGCTCAGCGGCGCCGTGCCCGTCCCCGCGCGGACACCGCTACTCACTGCCATCAATGATCCTAACTCCGACGTCAAGGTAATGCAAAGTACATAGATATATATCGTCACGCTCAGCGGCGCCGTGCCCGTCCCCGCGCGGACACCGCTACTCACTGCCATCAATGATCCTAACTCCGACGTCAAGGTAATGCAAAGTACATAGATATATATCGTCACGCTCAGCGGCGCCGTGCCCGTCCCCGCGCGGACACCGCTACTCACTGCCATCAATGATCCTAACTCCGACGTCAAGGTAATGCAAAGTACATAGATATATCGTCACGCTCAGCGGCGCCGTGCCCGTCCCCGCGCGGACACCGCTACTCACTGCCATCAATGATCCTAACTCCGACGTCAAGGTAATGCAAAGTACATAGATATATATCGTCACGCTCAGCGGCGCCGTGCCCGTCCCCCGCGGACACCGCTACTCACTGCCATCAATGATCCTAACTCCGACGTCAAGGTAATGCAAAGTACATAGATATATATCGTCACGCTCAGCGGCGCCGTGCCCGTCCCCGCGCGGACACCGCTACTCACTGCCATCAATGATCCTAACTCCGACGTCAAGGTAATGCAAAGTACATAGATATATATCGTCACGCTCAGCGGCGCCGTGCCCGTCCCCGCGCGGACACCGCTACTCACTGCCATCAATGATCCTAACTCCGACGTCAAGGTAATGCAAAGTACATAGATATATATCGTCACGCTCAGCGGCGCCGTGCCCGTCCCCGCGCGGACACCGCTACTCACTGCCATCAATGATCCTAACTCCGACTGGACGTCAAGGTAATGCAAAGTACATAGATATATATCGTCACGCTCAGCGGCGCCGTGCCCGTCCCCGCGCGGACACCGCTACTCACTGCCATCAATAATCCATCCATGGTATTTTTGTTAACTTTATTTCATCTAAGTTTCACTTTGATAATTAGAACATGAATCCCCACAATCCATAGCTACCATTAACCTGTTTCCGGTACCCATTTAGCGTGTGTTCATCATCGGAACTATCAAAAATTTAATGCCTATTCTATTGTCTATTATTGACTACACATTAGCAAATACTTTATTGAAGTGACAGAGTAAATTCCAGCCAGGGTCGCTAGACTGGCAGTAGCCCTTTTTAGAGACAGTATGAATCCCAACTCAATAAATGTCCCCAGGTAATGTTACTCTCACTCTGCGCTGGTGGCGTGGGTTTGAACCTGTGTGGAGCGAACCACTTGTTACTACTGGACCCACACTGGAACCCACAGCTCGAAGAACAGGCGCAGGACCGCATCTACAGGGTCGGACAGACCAGGGACGTTAATATTTATAGGTATGTACCTATATATTTTTTTTTTCTTAAAATAAACATTGCATTACTCTAGGATTTTATCCTGTGTCGTGGGTGCGTTTACAAATATACAAGTTCACATCCCGGAACAACAATCTGTGGATCACAAAAGATTTATTCCGTGCGGGAATCGAACCCGCGACACGTTGCACGGCAGTCAGTTGCCCAACCACCACGCCGACCGTGCAGTGTCCATCATCAACCAGTATTTTTTCAACGTTACCACACACTAGGATTTGCTCCTGTCTCGTGGGTGCATAAACATACAAATTCACTTACACTTAACGCGGAACGACAATAGGCGTGTCGACAGGGTAAAAAAATCAAAAAAGTAATTAGTCCGTCATTAAGATCGCACGAAAATATCACACACGTATTTTTTGTTTTATCAAATTAACAGAAGAATACGTAGTTATTCCGCATTAAAGTTAGGGAGTGGGGGGTGTTGACGTCACACTTACGGAGAAATCGTACCTAATTGTGACGTCACGCGTCATTTTAACTCAAAATATCTACATGTTTTTTTGGATACGAAAAAAAAGAAAAAATACGTATCGAAATTTTTTTAAATATCTAAAAGACGGACAAAAAATTAAAAAATAGTCGCCATGCCTATTCGTGAATCACACAGAGTTCATTCACCAAGCTGGAAACGAACTCGTGACACGTTGCCCAACCACGGCGCCAACTGAGCAGTTAAGAAGTGTTTACAACCACTTTCTTTAATTTGTTGTTTTTATTATTATTGTTAAATGTCGCCTCATTATTATATATATTTTTTGTAAGTATGGAAAAACATTTACTCCTACTCGAAACTTAAAAGGCGAAAAATATAATCTTCTAAATGTACCTACATCCTGAAGTAACAACATCTATATATATAAAAGAAAGTCGTGTTAGTTACACCACTTATAACTCAAGAACGGCAGAATAGATTTGGCTGAAAATTGGTAGGGAGGTAGCTTAGAGCCAGGAGACCGACATAGGATACTTTTTAACCAAAATTTTTTTTTACTTTTTTTCGAAAATCACGAACGGGGACGGGAAAAAATGGGATGGTACGCGTACGAAGTCGCGGGCAGAAGCTAGTTCTTAATAATTACTCCCTAAATAACTCATTGAAACGGCAATAATTAACAAGAACCTCGGGATCCTACTTTCGTTTTGAAAGTCATTGTAGTTGCAGACAAAACGCAGTCGTTTGCCAAATTCTCTCATTAGCTACATATGCCAGATATTTGCACCGACAAGTCATTTGTGACGTCAGCACATCGTTGCTACAAATTATCTAATAATCTATTGAACATTTTGGTTGTTTGTGCAAGTGATTTTCTATGTTTTCTGTCAACTAATACAATGCTTTGTCAGAATATAACTCTACACAATCAATGACGGGGAACAGGGGTATACAATACACGGTATCGTGATGACTAATTTTTATTTTAATGCCCGCCTGGTAGATTATTTTAAAATATTACTTATTTTTATTTTTTTACAGATACGAATACTTTCGACGATATATTAATTTGAAATGTCGCGTGACGTCAATTCTATGTACATTTTATATGTAGAAATGACGTTTTAGCCCCCACTCCTAAACTTTGATTCGTTATATCTAAGCATCATTTTATTAAACAACAAAATGAAAAAATACGTGTCTAATATTTTCTCATTACCTAACTAATAGATAAAGGTATATGTATTAAATTCTAGGGTCGGCAGACTAATGTCGGAATACTCAAACGCTACTCAATTTTAAATCGTGCTTAAGTATAGTTCTGTCTCTACAAATTCTTTGTAAAATGATAGGGATGGATACACGATATTTAAACACGACTTAAAATTGAGTAACGTTTCAGTATTCCGGCATAAACCACATAAGTCAAAAAAATGCTTTTTATTTTGAGTCGGTCATGACTGTGACTTATATGCTTTCGTCTGTCGATGTATTAATTCATTTTAACGTTGTTGTTATAAGAATAACAAAAAGCATCTTATTTACTTATGTGGTTTAGTCTGCCGACCCTAAATCTTAAAATACCTTTTATCCGTCCGCAAAACGGGCGTGTTTTACCGACTTCAAAAAAGGAGGAGGTTCTATGTTCGTATGATTTTCACCAAATATGTTATTAGTCTCATGTAGTTGAGACAGATTTGGTCCACATCTAGCGAATGGTCCGAGAATGCACAGCTCGCGAGCAGCCCGTGTGCATAAAATTATTATTTATTAGAACCTTGGTTGAGTTGAGCACCAAACCATTGCCGTGACTGCACGCGCGCAGCTCGCGGGCAGCCCGCAAACAGCTCGCGAAGCACATTCGCGACGCATTCGCCAGATGTGGACGCTAAACCAAACGCAAAATAGATTTACATATTCAGGTCAAAAAGCTGTACCAATTTTAAAAACATAAACAAAACAGTTCTTCATATCTCATCGATAAATATTATTAATTCATCATAAACGTTTGTCCTAGATTCATGTGCGTGGATACGGTGGAGCAATCAATCAGAAAGCTGCAGCAAGCCAAACTGGAGTTGGCAGAGAATGTGCTAACGGGCGCCAAGAATACCAACAACTCGAAACTTACCATTGAAGACCTCAAAATGCTGTTTAACATGGGCCAATGAGCAGTAGAAATTATGTTATAAAATACAACAAAATACATGCAGTTGTATCGGTCAAAATGAATAGTCGAACTCAAACCAAAATCTTTGAAATTGTGACAGATTACCGACATTAGTTCTATTGAGTATCTGTCTAAAACTTAGAGTAATTCAGAGATTTTGAAATATGGTCGATTATTGATTTTAGCCCAACATCGAGTAAATAGCGCAAGGATCCTTTTTTTGTAAATAAATCTCGCATTTTAGAAGATATTATAGAACATTATTCAGTATGGTTTTTAAAGATTCTACATGCCATGTCAAAAGTCAAAATATATTTTAAATTTCCTTAAACGATTGCGCAAACTTAATGCCCTTTGCGCAAGTTTTGCGCAAGTTAAATGAGAAGACCTTTTTTTATTATAAGTTTAATATGTGCCATTTTAAATAAGATATTAATAGATAGAGGAGCGTTTAATTTGAACGTGAATTAGTGTTACTTGTGGAACACTAAGGAATGTATATGTGCAGTGAATATTTGTCTAAGAATCTTGGCATTATAGTTTTACGGAAATGCTCTTACACGAAAGTTATTTGAGAAAAACAATTAGTAATTAGAAACTTTTAGCATTAAGATTCCTTGCTGGTTTTTTTTATTTTTAAAAAATGACTTTTAGAAAGATAATGATTGGACTATACTTATAATTTGAATTCAAAATTAGATTGATAATAGTGATTACAATATTCCCACGTTAATTTTCATGATTATGATTTTAATAAATATGACATTGTAAAATATAGTTTTAATTAGTATTATATTATAGAATTATTGATAATATTTTATAATGATTGTTTTACAATAAATGATAATGTAATTATGTATTTATGTTTTTTATTATTTTCAATTCAACGAGTCACAAAATATATTAATTCAAAAATAGTCATAAAAGACAAAAGGAATGAAAACTTGATCGAGTGTCTTCAAGCCCGAATACAGCGTAACGGGTTCGATCGGTATTTTTGCTAATTGATTTTTTATGGGATAAGCCGGTAAACGAGTATGCGGATCACCAAGCGGTAAGCAATCGGTGCCGCCCATGGACACCTGGAACACCAAAGGCATCACCGGCCATTTGAAGATTAGGAATTTGAGGATTATTTGGGCTTCAGGGATTGGGGAGATTAGGGAAGGGGGGTATATTTTATATGGCCTCCGATAACCACACGACGAAACACAACGCAAGCGTTGTTTCACGTCGGTTTTCTGCTCGGCCGTGGTATCACAGCGGTAGAGCCAGCCCATTCATGCCGAAGCATGGCTTGTGGTAGTGTTATTCTCCAACTAAAAGTCTGTTTCACAATTTGTGATGAAGTTAATGACGAATAATTTGACGTATTTACCATCCAATATGAGTTAATAATGTTAGGTAATAATAACTGAATCAGACAATGTTAAACAAACCCTTAGTTCTTCTCCAAACTTTCCATCTTCAATGTAAAATTCAATACCTATCCATAAATACCAATATCTACAACTAATAGCCTGGTATTTCGATGATAAAATAATACCTAATTGAATATGGCAATAGACTCGCCCCCGGGACTCGTAACATAAATAGTGAAAATGGGTGTTACATTGTACAGTGGCATTAAGTGCCCTCTGCCTACCCATTCGGGGATAAAAGGCGTGATTTTATGTACCTAATGTTTAAATATCTATTTCTCTCAAACTCAGATCACTAGATCCACCAATCAGTCGCTTTAATGTTTTCTTTATCTAATTTCGATCTCACCTGCGTCTGTTTAATATTATCGGAATCTCCCACTAATGTGACCCTGCTCTATTTATTCCAATGTTTATATAATTTTATTTATTTGCTATTTAGTTTGGATAGACTAAACGTATGGAATACGATTGACGTCAATAGTGTAATTCGAGCAGTTAAGTTGCTTTTTTGTACAGGTTTTAAGAAAGTATCTTGCCTATCTATCATGTTAAATCAAAGACTACTTGAGAATCAAATTTTTCTACAATCTGAATAAAACTAATACGTTAATGTGTAGTTGTGTTCCCAGAACTATATACCGGATATTTAACAATAAAAATATGCCGTCGTTGATTCACAGACGTGACGCATTGTCGTAGTCAGGCTAATTAAGAGTAAGTCTCATTCCTCCCACTGGAAGGGAACAATTACTTCCCGCCATAATGTCTAACTTCATACATCACGGTGGGCGGGAAATGGCAGCAACAACATGTTATTATTTCAGTCAGTTCGCTTTTACAGACAGAAGTGCACACGTTAAACAAAGTAAAATATTTCAGGAAGACTGTCTTATGACATCTCGGGAAAGTGATGCCTACTAAACTACCACATTAGCCGCCAACAAACACGCAACAGGTGTAAAGACAAATACTTATAACAACAAAAATAAACCCGACGTCACTTTACAGAAAAGGAAACCGACAACCATTGAGGAATTCTTCAAAATATGTAATGACGGACAGATCATTCACCGACACAGACACAACATGCAGAGATAGCTAAAAATAAAATAGGTATCACGGCCGTCCACAGCGGCCACGAATTATTACCATTTCACGCGGGAAACGACTCGAGTGCCGTGAATATTTTGTTAATAAAAGTTGTAATTTTTAAATTATGAGTATAGAACGCAGATCGTGCGTGAACCAGGCGCCGCACGTCACCAAGCGCTTGCTTGCCATCATCGTGCTGTTGACTGGCCTGCTGTGTATGTTCGGAGGTAAGACCGATTTTAATTTACTAACAAACTTGTCACACTCGCTCATAAATTATAATAATGGCAATGGGAATAACACGCGTGCTGGGTGAATGTATTTTATACGTACGATTAAATAATGTGATACAATTTACTACGAACGACTGTTTTGGGAGAGTGTGGCCGATATTTTGTAGAATTTTATGAGTTAGATAAAAGCTCGCGTTATCTAACAGCAGCTGTTGTTACAATCGCGTGTTTGTAATATGCTGTGCCACTAAAATCGCGGTGTACAAACATCATTGCAGGATTTCTCATTTTGATTAAATAACAATTGAACTTCTTGGAAATACCGGTGCTTTACATATTTATTAGTAATATGCACCTTCCTACCAACACAGGTACAGATTTCAGACTGATATTTCTTACAAAGTTTTAAGAACAATTTTTCACAAAAGTTAGATACACTCAACTTGATAGTTTTATTCATGTTTTATTTCTATTAAGTTCCTTATATTTCTTCCAGGCTATCTACTGGGGCGGATGGCTCGCGTGGAACCGAGAAAAAACAACGAAATGTTGACGTACAACCTGACGATATTAGCAGATAGTATTTACAAGAAGGCTAAAAGAATACCACCGAAACTCCTCCATCAGAACGATCCAGATAAAATACAAATTAGATTATTTGAAATTTTCAATTGTACGCATCTATGCGGTGTTTTGAACAAATATAATCTGGCTGAGTTTGTTAGAAATTCCATTAACTTCCAAGTGACGAAATTAATGAAGTCTGTGAATAACGCGTCTGTCTATTTGGATAGCCTTAGCTGACATTTGAAACTATTGCTTTTATGATAATTATTCTTATATGTTTATGGACCATTGATTTGCGAAGTAATTTGCACTTATGTACTAAATTAATGTAATATTAGCTGATACTTTTTAATTAAATAAATTACAATAATGTCTATACAGCTGCTATGAAGATAGCCAGTTATCTTGCTAAGCTACTTTATTGTTTATGCTGTTCATCTTGTCCAGTCGAGTGGGGAAATGGAAAATTTATTTGTTTTTGACGTTTAGTTTAGAACTTTAGATATTAATAAGGTACCTACTAATTTTACTATGATACCTCAGAGGGCTTAGTACAAGGTACGCGTTCGGCACTCGCCAATCCGCATTGAGCAATCGTGGTCTGCGTGGTGATTAATGCTCAAACCTACTCCGTGTGAGAAGAGCCTGTGCTCTGCAGTGGGCATTTTATAGGCTTGTGGATGGTGATGAAGATGGTTCAGCGCTCTAATTGGCCGGATCCAATGAACCAACCAATCAGCGCCGACCGCGGTCTTGTTTCGAATACTTTTAAGTCGAAATGTAAAACAAATCCGGACTAAACCCCAGATTACAACGATTTTTTTTTATTATTCGCCTGATCGATAATTTGAATACACAATCTTGTTTTTCATAAAATCTCAATAGTAGCACAGAGTCTGGAAATGTGCCCGGGATATGGCAATAGGCTCACTCCGTATTACATGGGACTCATAACATAAAATAGTGACAAGTGGGTCCTACATTGTACAATGGCATTAAGTGCCGTAATGTGCACCTCTGCCTACCCTTTCGGGGATATAAGGCGTGAAGTTATGTTCCTTCTCCTGCACGTCGACCCTGAACCCCGGTAACCCGTTAGGGTCTCCGCGACACCTATAGGTACATTATGTATAGTGGATTGGTATTTGTTTCTTTAATTAAAGAGTCCTACCTACTTTAAAATTCTATAGTAGTCTGTAGCTACTAAGCTGTGGTCACAGATAGAGTTACAGATTAATGCTCAGACTATGGTATTGCTATGTTGAAGTTAGAAAAGATGATCAGTTTCAAAAATTTATACGTACCTACCTATTATATTTACATTCTCAAGGTATTTGCTAGGGTATACATTACAGGTAACTTATCATTAAAAAAAATAGATTACATCCAATATGTTCTATTTTAATCCTATAATATCCACTCATCGCGCTAATCTCGGGAACTACTAGTCCGATTTGAATAATTCTTTTTCTGTTAGCGACACGTCTGTAACAACACGCTACGATCATTAGAAGCCGAACAGCGGGTGAAACCGCGCGGAACCAGCTAGTTTAATATAAATTATATAGTTTATAGTTCACTGCGTTTATCTTCAAATAATTATGCTTGTAATTCATTAATTTTAACATGTGTTGCGCGACAACATAATTATTTAACTATGTTATTTACACTTACATATAAAAAAAAAATATAGTTCCATTAAAATAATATTTTCGCCTTTTTGTTATTTTTCCCATTACTTACCTACCCCCTATTTTAGCGATAATTCGGTGATCTATAAATTATTAAGACCTTTCTTCTGATAATTAAATGTTCCTACGACAAAACAGAATGAGCAAATTATATGTGAAGATGTGACACGGTCACGGTCAATGAGTCTCCGTAATAAGAATAAAATATCAAAATAATTACTTGGGATAGTAGCCCGTTTACCGCATTAGGCATAATCAAAGACTGTGTACTGTCTGACTGAAATAGTTAGTATACGGGGTATACGGTTATTTGTATTTTTTTTACCTAATTTTTTTTGCAAGTACCTTAAAAAAAGCAATAAACTAAATAAATTTTGCAATCGTGTTCGTAAAACACGATTGCAAAATTTCGAACTTCGAATTATTTTTTAATCAAACCACGTCACAGCATGGACTTTTCCTTGATTTATCGGATAGTGTATAGGTCTTAACTTCTTAATTTGATATAAAATTATTGGATTGAACAACAAAATTTACACATTTGTAACTATTTATTACTGCTATTGTTTACAATATAATCCCTTATATTATAATACATTTGTTTATTCACAAAATCGGTCAACACAACAACGATCGTATGTTTGATAACAAAATGGGATTTTGACAACTTAATTTATAGTCTGGCAACATTGTTTTGGCAGCGTCAGAAAGCGTCATGCTGAAATTTCCGGCCGCCATTTTGATCCGATATCAAAGTCATAGTGTTACGCTGAAGCAGTAATAGTAGATTTTATTAGTTTTTTAAGTATTTAGGGTGAAATAAGTGATAATGGTGCCGGTGAGTGAAACATTCAGTGATTGATAATTCAGTTATAAGTTGTTCTGGACTGGTTTTACGATATTTCCCTTGTTTTCAGCAAACGAAGGTGTTCGTCGGCAGCCTGCCGCAGGGCTCGAAGCCGGAGGAGCTTCGCAAACTATTTGAGCGGTTTGGTGTCGTAACAGAATGTGACATCATGAATCGGTGTGGATTTGTACACATGCAAACCGAAGAACAAGCTTCTGCTGCCATTCGCGCGCTAAACAACACACCGTTTAACGGTGGCGTCATCTCAGTGGAACGCGGTCGCATTAAGGAACGCGGCCAGCGAGGAGGCCCTGGAGGTGGCCGCGGTGGTGGCATGAGGGGAGGTATGCGCGGTGGCATGGACCGTCGCGGCGGTGGACCCATGCGCGGTGGCCCACCACCCCGCGACACTCCGTACTCTCGCGACAGGCCCTCACATCCCCGCGGCCCTCCGCCTGGCGGTCCCCCACAGATGGCTCCGCGACCGATGCCTTACGAGCGCGCCGAGAGGCCGCCACCGCCAGTGTATGATGACCGCTACAATGGATACGGAGGAGAAGATAGGCGAGGTTTTGCCCTGATGGAGCGCGGTGCAAGAGACCCGTACGCCAGTGCGGCGCCCATGTACCCGGAGGAGCGGCGGTACGACGACATGCCCCCGATGTACGCGGACGACCGGCGCGCTCCAATGTACGCAGATGAGCGCGACCTGATGGAACGGCGCGCGCCACTCCGTGCGGCCCCGCAGCAGCTCCCGTACGAGCGCGCGCTGCCGCCGCGACCACAGCCCCTGCCCAATGGTGACATGTTCAGTCGCCGTTCTCCCATGTGAGTCACTATGCTCATCATCTTGTTTACATTAATATGCCATTGCTGGTACTCAAACTTTATCATGTTTCCAAGAAATCAAATCAGAAGGATACTCAGAGTACTCATGGACCTAATCTTGTTTGTATATCTATCGCAAACATTTATTTGTTATGTTTCATAAACATACTGGAAATAAGGAACATGGCAAAGTGATGTCATTAAAGTATGCAATAACACATCCCATTACTGCATCTTTGTTTACTTAAGTACTGTCAATTACTGACATGTTTTTATATAATTTAATATTATTAATGAAACTATCAAATTATGCACGTAGCTAAACATAAGTAAAGGCCAATTTTTCAATTATGAGTTAATTCTTAACTGTAGAATAAAAATGACAGTTTTCAGTACGGAAGAATTGTCAAATATTGAAAGTTATTATGGCCCTAAAGATACCAAACCTAACTAACTATCCCTGACATTTACACAATGTTAATTGTTGATTAATTAGTAATATTAGCTAAAAACTCCTTCTGTTTATGCATAAACAAACATTTTAAGTTACTCTTTCTGTCATTACAGGCGTGCAGCAGGCCCTGGATATGATAGAGACCCATACGCCCAGCAGTATCCTCCCATGGGACGGTAAGATCTTGCAGTTATTTACTAGACTTTTGTAATAGCCTACAAGGAGTTCTCAATTTGTTTATTTATTTTAATTCACTCGTTTTCCTGTTCATTGTTTTGAAATAGCATAGATGTCTAATAAATGCATAGTTATTTTGTGGTAACTTAAAATAATAGTCATGTTTACATTCAATTAACAATGGTCAAACTTATCCGATAAGTAAAAGGAGATGATTGAAATAATTAAAATGTCTAAGATGTGTATTTGTGTTGCAATCTGTGCTTTAAAATACACAGAAATGAAGTATATAAAGACTGCCTGTGAATTCCTAACATGTTTACTCCATTAACAGGAAAACTTGTAAATAAAATATACTAGAAAAACTGGTTGTATCCTAATATGTATGTGAGGATGTTAGCTAATTATTTTTACAGTTAATATGTGAAGATATTGTGAACTCCTTGTTGACTGTTACCACTTGAATGCACATCATCATAAGGGATCATGCAAATATCACATAAACATCATCAAAACACCAACTGTAATTATCTACATGCCACTAATACAGTATCACCTTACCCACTGTAAGGTGTAGCGTTGCTATGTTATTGTTTGTTGACACTCACTCCCAGATAACTGTGAACGCCTCTTAGGTTGTAGTGAATATAAAGTTACGGTGCCCTATAAATGAAAGAATCGCTAGTTAGTGGTATAGAGGAGGTGCGGTTTCACTATGAGCTAAGGCGGTGTGGTCACTGTTTCCCTGAGGGTCGGTCGTAAGCGTGCTGTTGTTTGTATAGCGGGGGCGGCGCGGCGCGCGGTAGAGAGCTGACAGGTCTGGGGGGCCCGCGCCGGTACTAGCGCGTAGTAGTACCCGCGACACGAACAAATGAGTACCTAGTGCCGGGCGACGGTCGAACTAAACGTGCGACACGTGCGGTGCGGACATGTAGCTTGTAAGTCCAGTACGAGTGAAAAATTATGTGAATCACTTTATACATTGTAATAAATGCGAGATATATTGACGGAACGTTTTCATTTCACCCGCTGTTATGTTGACATGCTCCATGTTACATATTGATCGAATTAGTTTTATATAATTGTTTGGATTGATTACGCTAATGATAAGTCTTAAATGTTAAGATACATTTTGTTTAAGTTGTATATTTTACATTTAAAATTAAATTCTTCGAAGTAAAGATTTACTTTAATTACACCTACCGGCACTAAACTCTTCATGCATGTTACCTTGAGATCTTTGGCTTCGAATACTGCTTCTCTCTGGTTGCGGTACTTCTGTTTAAAATTGTGGTTTTATTGCAGGACAACTTTATGTTGCGCGGTCGGCTCGTGCTGACCGATATCGAAACTTGTTGTTCCATGTGCCTGTCTGTTCAGGTAGTGCTCTTGCAGGGGTGCGTTCATTGACATCTTGCGATCTCCTTAAACCCAGTCTCTTACAGATATTTAAAATGTCAAAACTAGTAAACACGTAACGATCAGTTAGGTCACAAAAGATGTTGTCTGTAAACCTACTTTTAAAATAACCATTAGAAGATATAAACAATAAACTTGCGTCCACGTAATTCGATGCGAACGCACCCCGAGCTGTGTTGCTAACGTGAGCACAGCAGAGCGGCAGTCGGGAGCGAGTGCCGCTTAGGGCGACATAACGGCTCACTGTTTGTATGACATACCGCTGTCGAACGGCGACATACCACAAAGTGCGTGCGAGTCCTTTCAGATAGTTAGATGCGGCATGATGATGACGAGCTTATGGCGGCGATGCGTAGTCGATGCTAAAGCGACGGCGTTATGCTGTATACGTTAGGCGACAGCGACAGAAGACACAGGAAAGCGAAAAATTGCAAATCGTAAGTACGGCAGAGAACAGCTGACGTTAACGGCGTGCGTAACCCGAGCCTCGAGCCTCGAGCTCGCTAGTCGATCAGTCGATCTACCAAACCGACAAATGTGCACACAATGCGTTAGTCGTACTCCAACAAATGTTGCACACTACATTTTAACTTTAGTACAAGTCTGCTACGGGTAACATCGCGCAATACTGCGCAGTGCGCATTAAAATGGCCTTACGATGCTTTAGTGGCAGTCTGGCCAAAGATTGTTATAATTTGTCGTCTGTTTTATTTTATTTTACGACGATATTCACACGTCAACGTAAACGTCGAAATATAAACTGTAACGTCACTTCCGCACCTTAGCCCAACTTGCTGATACTAATATTGTTCAATATTTCACAGGACTTGGGCGCCTGGGTGAAACTCGAGGATTCTGAACAGTGTGATGAAACTGGATCACCTATGAGTTCCGCTTCTTTTTGAGACTGGATAAAGTCTGTCTGATGTAATTTGAGGATAGTGAGAATAAATGTTTTTTAAAATATTTATACATTGTTTTTTTTTTATGCCACGATGGTCGCAAGAAAATCCCTCGGTAAGAAAATCCACCTGATGGTAAGTGGTACTGGTTACCGCGGCCTATGAACGCTTGCAACACATGGGACATTACATGCGCCGTGCACTCTTAATAAAACCTATTTTGAAGATCCCCATATTGTAGCCTACCGGGAAAATCTTGGCAGGGAGTTCAATTATTTAGACTTCTTGAATCCCACTCATATCAAGACATATACCTACCACTATGAAGAAAATCCAATTAGAGAATACATGAAGGCACAAAAATAACTACATAATCACTAAATGTAATTGTGCACATTTTAAAAACCGCTGGCATTACTTCAAACACTACTCCAATAAATCTGTCGAAATGCTGATTCATTCATGATAATATAGATTAGCTAGGTACATCAAAATTAATTCAAGGTTCATCTAATTCTAGTCAGACATTAGATACTCGATAATTTTCCACAATAACTACACATACATTACCTACTACATGTACACATACATATAACTGCTGCATCGACTGCACGGTGCGGTGGCTGGGCAACCGGCTGCCGTGCAACGTGTCGCGGGTTCGATTCCCGCATGGAACAACACTTTGTGTGATCCACAAATTGTTTCGGGTCTGGGTGTCATGTGTATGTGAACTTGTATGTTTGTAAACGCACCCACGACACAGGAGATAATCCTAGTGTAGGGCAACGTTCAAAAAAAAACTAAAGGCTTTCTTTTAATGAAACAAAAATTGGTTTTTAACTTTTATTATTTTAGCATATTCAAAATATATTTTCACGTAATATATAATAATAATGAGATTAAAACTTTGCCGATGTATCTCACTATTTCACACTTTGTACTCAAGCTAAGCCTCGCTCGCCAGTGACAGCATCATATACGCTGTGACTAACGTCCTGGTATATGGCACTACTCGTACAAAATAAGCTTCGAATAAATAACAGTAAAAATCCATTGATATTTGCTAAAACAAAAGTTCAGAATATTTAAATTAAAAATGACTTCTAAAACAGCTCGGCTGCATAAATTATATATTAATTTCCGAATATATTACATAAGGTATAATAAATTTAAAAAAATATACAAGAGATCCGTTGTTTAGTGGCTGGGAATGACAGTAATTGCAGCTACATTTCTAACATCGGCGCCTGCTGCCACGCGAGACCACTCTGTCAGTTATTTATATTGGAGTTAAAATTACAACTAGATGTACTGCTCATCATTCATCCTGCCCATACTGCTACAAACATTTCATATAGTTGCCAAGTCTCCACTATCATTGTAGATTTTGAGATAAACAATTTAGATCTGGGCAGTTTTGGAGTATCACAAATAAAACTAAACTAAACACTGCTCACTTAAAACTAGTAATACTTTTAAAAAATATCAATACAAATTAAAATTTCATGAGATTCTTAAACAAAATGCAAACACGCGCTGTGGACGGTACCTAAGTCGTTTTCAATTTCATTTAGTTATTGCAATAATTTACTTATTTTTGTACAATATTTATGTGAAGTTTTAAAATTGCTACAACTATTGAATTATCACTTTATGAACTTAAAAAGTGTATAAGAAAGATTTAAATGCATCTAAATAATAAATAAGTAAGTAGGTAATTCAAGACTTTGGCGTTTGCGCGATGTGTGACCATGTCGACTAGCATAGGTTGTCAAATCACAACAAGTAAGTACAATACTACATAAGGCGCGGCATACATACACTCGCGGAATAATGGAATATATAAAAAAGATAATAATTACATTTCATCTTAGGTAATCTAGACATGCTCAAAATTATGTTATTTACCATTATTTTCACTCCCTTTTTTGTATCTTCATTTACACATACAATAAGCACATTCATTGAGTTACAATACCATCTTAAAAACTCGTCTGCTTGTTTACATTCTAAAAATATTAGGCAATAAAACTGATACGTAAGACGAAATCTCGTCTTAAATGTTTGAAGACATTCAATGATATTTTCAAAGACGTAGCCATTTCTTTACAAATACTGATAGTCTACCTAACCATACTCCTTTTTCATATCATTCCTTATGCTTACATGACATCTTATTTAATTCAAAACTACTACAGTCGAAATAAATAGACCAAGGGCACTCCTCAAGCCTAATTGTAAGGAAGTGTAGACTTTCAGATGGGATTAACTAAAAATCGCGGGTTACTCACGTGAAAATACAGAGAAAAGCTCTACTAGTTCCGAACTACAGATGGGTTCTTCTTCATTCCTGCGCGACATCGCCGCGACCGCGTACCCTGCTCATAAGGAAGAACCCCTCTATGGTTCGAAACTAGTAGAGCTTTTCTCAATATTTTCTCGTGAGTAACCCGCGATTTTTAGTTTATTTAGCATCTCTCATATTCCAGATGGAATCTTCAATTTTCGGAAATATCATTTCTCCTAGGGGTCTATTCCAATTTCCAAACCACGATCACTCCCAACTTCAATGAACTTTGTCACTATTTATCAGGTATGCGAAAATCGCTGAGACCTTTACATTTTTAGATCTAATCTATCTATTTCGACCATATCACAAAGCAAGCTAAATCGTAACAATAGGAATGGTAATCACAACATTAGAGAGACGTATTGTAATTTGTAAGTACGTTCACATATCGCTACGTCAGTCTAACAAATTTGACTGGTAGATTGTAACAATGCAACAAACTATTAACTTTGGCAACTGTTCTTTACATCACGCGTTTTATAAAAACGTACGTAACATGAACACCTGATATGAATCCCCAAAATATGTTCATACAAAAGTAGTCTCTAAACATCGGAAATAAGGTCTATAGTGGAATTAGTGGACAGTGGTCACCGGTGACCGCTTGATTGCTCATTTCGATGTATCTTCTCAGAGTAGATAGGAACCGCTAGTGTCATTTAGCTTCATCATCAACCTATTACTGTTCCATTGTTGAATAAAGGCCTCTTCTCACACGGAGAAGGAATGAGCATTAGTCACACTTGCTTTATGCAGATTTCCGATTTCAAACTCATACCTTAAATTATAAAGTCCATATTTCCTCACGATGTTTTCCTTTACTCTTTACAGTGGTGTCTAATAACCTTAGAAGGTACATATAACTCGGAACAAGTCACATTTGTGCTTGCCAGAATGCCAGATCACCGCGACAATACCAGATATATAGCATCAAAACAGAGTGGAATGATTTAAACCCTCATAAAAGATATATCTAGAAAACTCCTGATTGACTGGACAATCTCTAAACTGCTTGCACACATCATTCTGCTCTATGGTACATTATTTGAATTGAATTAGAAATAATCCAATTTATATTTATAGACAGCAGAGCTTAAAAATGCACATTTTTATTTAGAGAGCCAGTCCTAGGATTTCTAGACTTTATATTTAATGCTAACTAGTATTGTCTTTCCTACATATAAATAAAATAAATAGTCGAAAAATGCCAGGGGACAAACCAGCGGTCAGATCACCTGATGGTAAGTGATCGGCGCTGCCCAAGAAGACCTGAAATACTAGAGGAATTACAGACATAAGTTGCCAGTCCTTCAAAAAGAAGTACACCGTTGGATAAAGGCTTGTATGTGTTTATCTAAGTATAGAGAGCTCTATTTAAGCTGTTATTACGTTGCCATGGTAACGCCAGTTGCCTTGCTACAACCGCTACTACTCTACAACAGAATTTCGTTAACATAGCACCTTCAGATTATTATATCTAGTGCCAGGTACTGGGTAAACACATTAATTTATATTTTAATTAATTATTGCTAACATTAGAAGGCAAATCGTGCATGATTGTACTATTTGGAAGGCAGTCGTAATGGTTCGCATATCACACTACTGATTCACTATTTTTTTGTTTGTATGAGATTCTGTTTTGTTTTTGACTTATATTCGGTTAGATTCGTAATAGATAGGGAAGGTATGCTACCCATGCAAGATATGCATTTCGATTATGTATATCTACAGGGTTACTCCGAAAGGGTAGTAAAACTTCGAGACTGTAAACCCCTAACTGGTATGGGCCTAAGTAACTAGAGTAGAATCTAACCGCCCTAGTATAAGATCGTCATACAATCGATATTTTATTTCTAACTTATCGATGAGAGAACTAGTCAGTCTACAGTCAGATCCTATTGCAAATACTATAAGGTCTATATTTCATTACTATATTGATATTTTAATTAATATTTGATATTAATTTATTAAGTACATTTAGCAATAAGATCTGATTGTAAATATAACAAGTATACATTGACGTAGCTGGGTAATAAGTTTTTGACGGATAAGGAGATAAACGAGCGGGCGGTTGACCTGATGGTAAGCAATCGGCACCTTCTGGGGCAGATGACCTCCGGTAACCTCACCTACACGGCGAAGCACAGCGCAAGCGTTGTTTCACGTCGGTTTTCTGTGAGGCTGTGGTATGACTCCGGTGAAGCCAGCTCATTAGTACCAAACCATGGCTCTCCCAGGTGAAACTTAGAACCCTTATGTACTCCCTAGCTACGTCCTTGTATGTATTTATCATAACTAGATTTGGTATTAATTTGTACATAAATAATTGGGACATGGTATTATCTTAGTGTAACTTGGTAAAATACGTGAGTATAGAGAAAGCTGAGGCTAAGGGAACATTTGACGTAAGTAGCTGGTAACACACTTTGTATTGAGAAATGTGTTGAAAAAACTTGTGTGTTGTATCTTCTACAAATACACATGTTAGTTAAAAAGTGTTTGTACGAATATTTCGATGTTTGATCACTGTCTTTTTTTTTGGGACAAGCCCGCCACATCCTCCCAAAACCGCTACAACTCCTGTAAGCCAGGATCTACAGTAGATACAACCATGAAAACACCGGAACACTGAAGTCCGGCGCGTCCCAGGGACATGAATAACTGTCTTGGTTCCCGCAACGAAGTGAATCAGAAGATTTTATAAGAGGAGAAGAAGAAAAAACTATAGTTTCCACTTCCCTCGGTGAATTACTGCAGGAGACAGAATGATTTAAGCCTAAAGGTCACTGTCTAGTCTGGTCATTAGTGATGATGTCATCCATAACTTTTAAGAAGTCTATATAAATTCGTGATATAACGGTTGGCGCAGTTGGTTGGGAGACCGGCCGCTGAGCAATGGGTCACGGGTGGGATTTCCGCGCCAAAAAGTGTGGCATTTTCTGAGTAAATTGATTATTATTAGCCCGGAGTTATGAAGTTCGGCGGTGTTTCACCCCCGTGCTTTGGAAAGTACGTAAAGCCGTTGGTCCGGGCCTGACCTCTGTCCCGTGGTGTCGGCCTGGCGTCCCATCGTCCAGACAGTGAGAGAACAGAGAGTACACTTCTGTTTGCGAACACACTTGTGCACTATAATATCTCCTGCGTAGTGGGTTTAGCCTATTTAGACTGGCCACCATGATCAAAATAGATCGGGAAATTTTTAAATATATACAGGTTGTTACTTGTTGCCCTTCTTATTATTATTATATTGAATGTAGCAATAACGTTCCACTTAGGCTTTAAAGGCTTTTAGAATTTTACAATTTTTTTTTCATTTACCTCTAACTTTTAGTTTCTTCTATTTTTTTTTATAATACTGCCTTTGAAATTATACCATTTTGTACCTTATTCACCAAATAAATAAATACGATTATTCTTCACACGTTAATTTTTTCAACACATTTCATTGTCAAGGAAAAATAGGTGTTGGATCTTACAGAGTTACGAGCGTGCATACTTGATGGCTTGAGTGAAAGGTTTCTCCTCCTTAAGTGACTCCTTGAGGACCACGTCTGAGTTGGTGAAGGGAGGCCGCGTCTGCTCGCTATCCGTGTCTGTCTCCGACCGGCTTTGGGAGTCAGATTGCCTGTGAAAAGGAGTTTAGGTCTTAACACTGTGTATATAAGGTCTAGGTTTGTGGTTTCTTTGTTCTTCTTTAAATTGTATCTATCTGATATGTAAATTGAAGTTTATTTTAGCAAGTATCTTGTGATAAGTTTTTATAATAACTATCGTGAGACATACTAAATCAAGTAAAATCGCGGGTTACTCACGTGAATATACTGAGAAAAGCTCTACTAGTTTCGAACCACAGAGGCGATTTCGCGGCGACGTCGCGCAGCTCACACAGTGCTAAGCAACAGTGAGCTAGTAGAGCTTTTCTCAGTATCTTCACGTGAGTAACCCGCGATTTTATTTTGTGATATATTATTTTCTTACAGTACGCAAGAATACCTTTAGATTAGGTAACTACTACTGCAATCCCACTATTTGTGACCTTAGGATAAATATCCAAAAATGTTATTATTGTTAAAACTCCTTATACATTGCATGCATGATAATGTTATTTGTTATTATTTACAGTGTAACTACCACACCACACTGTGAAGGATTGAATATTTTTTTAAATATTTACAAATGAGGTTAGGTTAAGGTTACATTTGCGTAGATATGATTATTTTGTTATGCCATGCAATTAAAGTTGATATCATTCCATGCATCTTATACGTACATAGACAAAAGAACCGTGAAATATAAATCCCTACCTAACGGTGCATACACTTAAGCCAAGTATACACTAGGGGTTCAAATGTCCTAAGACATGTATCGGCGTCATGTCGAGCGAAGTCGGCCGATGTCGCCCGACATAGACGGTGACAACGCGCAACTTGTATCTACAGTGCAGTTGATGTTGCCAGAGGCCTTAGAACTTAGTACATTTTTGTTTTACGTTTAAAATACAATAAAATGGGGTGAATAGGGATCGAGATGTGAATAGGGACAGAAGAGGGGTGAATCGATACTGTTACATGTATGTACATCACTACTTAGTAAGTAATGGCCCCCTCACTATAATGTGTTACGTAAGGTAGAACACTCGTAACATAACAGATACTATGGAGAATTTCCCAATATCTATTCACCCCTCTTCTGTCTCCATTCACCTCTTGATCCCTATCCACCCCATTTTACGGTATTCGAACCGAGTACGCGCCAATAAACCAACCAATTACTAGTTTCGATTACTTTTAACGTAAAAATACTCGTACTAAGAGGCCTTAGTACACGTTTTTATCACGTTTAAAGTAATCGAAACGAGACCTTGTTCGGCGCTCTGATTGGCCGGCGCCAATAAATCAACCAATCAGAGCGCCGAATGCAGTCTCGTTTCGATTACTTTTAACGTGAAACAAACTCGTACTCACCCCTCAGAGTTTAGGGAACAGAGAGTATAGTTACTTAAGATCGGAAAAGGAGGATCCTCTGACCAGGCGAGGTGATCGTGCCTGGCGGGTTTTCTGCCCAACAGTTGTTCGTTGGGATTTTCTATTCGTGTTTATTCGCTTTTAAACTTTGCATGTGCGATGTAGGATTTTTGTGACGACATCCGTTGACATGTACCATGTGTCGTCACACGCCGAATGCCTCGTTTCGATTACTTTAAACGTAAAACAAACAGAGTGCCAAGCACGAATAACTATCGCATTCATATCGTAACAGTATCGACCGCGTTAAGCGTTCTGATTGGTTGGTTCACTTGAGCCGGCCAATCAGAACGTCGAACGCACTCGATACTATTACGTTACGATTGCGATAGTTATTCGTGCTTGGTACTCCGGTACTAAGGCCTATGACATGTCGACCAAAGTCCGACAACATTGCGCTACTTCATCCGACGTGCTGGCCACACGTGTCAGGACATTCGTCCCCTACAGTATCCTAGGCTTGACTCTAAAATAAAACCCAATACAAAAGCCACACACATTGGACTTACATCCTTAGACTTGTCACATCAAGATTTAAGTGGTAATTTTCTTCCCTCGGTTGATAGACCTGACGAGACCCCGACTTACATCGGCGTTAATGACAGGCAAGCTATGGATATATTCATATGATAGCAGACGACCATGAATTACGCTCATGTTATGAGTAGCTGGCGTAAAGATTTCCAAGTAGGTATAATTTATTATATTACCTAATAAAGTTAGAATTTGGACATATCTTTTATGTTATGGCAAAATGGAAGTAGTCGAATCTAAACCGATAAATAAGTTACATAACATAACATCACGCCTTTTATCCCCGAAGGGGTAGGCAGAGGTGCACATTAAGCCACTGTACAATGTAACACCCACTTTTTTCACTATTTATGTTATGAGTCCCGTATAATAAGTATTATATGCATCTATTATAATGAGTTGTAATAATAATAGTACGTTATACGAAATAAGTTACGTTTTTCGCAAATTATACATTTATACACCATACTTAGAAATCTTTACAAGACAAAGCGAGTTTTGCCGTTTAGGATCCGCAAACAATAGGATTTAAATAACATACATAACAGATGGCAGATGTGCACATTATCTACGGCATTTACTGTTACATTTATGTTATCAATCCCATGTAATAGGGGGTGAGCCTATTGCCATATACCGGGCTGTTATAGGCTCGATTGTCATTTTGAGGGAAAATTATGTTACTGAACAATGATTGCCGGCTCGTAAACGGTATTGATATATCTTACGAAACTAAACACATAAAGCACACATTCCATGATACATTCGTTAGCGCAAGAATTGAAATATTTTCATCTTTTACTTCAAACTTCATTGCGCAAAAGTCGAACAGAAACTTTTTTCTTGACATCAGTTGCGCTAACTAAAATTTGTTTTGCGCAAACAGGTATATTTTGCGCAAACCTTCAGTTAATAGATTGCTTCCATTGTTTTAGTAAAAGATAACAATATTTTATGAAACTGAATATAGAGCAGAATCACGACACCAAAGTTAAAAAAAACATATAGATCAAGACAGAAAAAAATCAAAAAGATTGAATTATAAAACAAAGCATGTCCAAACGTATATAATTTAGTATACCCCAATTTAGCAGCTGTGTTGATCCACGTCATCCATTCAGATCTGAGGGTTGAAAACTGGATGTTAGACCATCATACAATCATCCAAGACATAAGATTATCAGTAGATTATTGATCAGCTTTCTGTGTATATTATGTGGTACAATAATAAAAAGTACATTGTGTTTTATTTAGATAACTCAAACGTTAATGAGGAAATGTGAAATAGCTTCACTTTTAAATTTCTATTGCTGACGTTCAAAAGTGCCTTCCTGGTCTAATTGAAATAAATGATTTTTGACTTTTTTTGACTTTTGACATAACCAATAAGGTAGTTTACGAAATTTAATTTTAATTTAATGTCCGTCTGGTAGATTAATATTAGATTAATTTAAAACTTTAGACACGTATTTTTTCTTACAAAATTAAATACTTTGGACGAGACATTAATTTGAAATATCGTGTGACGTCACAGCGTGTCACATTTTGTAGCACGTTATGACGTAACGACCTCCCACCCCTTTAGCGCCATTTTATCTAAGTATTGCAACTTAATACGAGAAAATGAAAAAATACGTGTCTAATATTTTTTCATTATTTAACTGACGGACTAATTAGATTTTTAATTTTGATACTCTGGAAACTACCCAATTAAAGTGGATGTGAAATAACGACTCGTACACTGTAATAACTTTATGAATCTACACCTAAACTGACGGATAATTTGACCGTTTCAAAAGATCGCGTAGATAGTTTAATAGATATAAATGCGTTGAGTGTCCCCACATACCTGTACTTCCTCGTGTTGTTGTGCGAGAGACATGCGAGGTGTTTGAGCAGCGTGTGCCTGGCGGGGGCCTCGCCACACAGGCGCGCGGGCGGCAGGTCCACGCAGAACATGTTGCGCGGGTCGCCCAGGAACGTCGTCTGGTAGTTCTCCATCTTTAGTTGCAGGAGCAACACGTCTTCTAGGTCTGCCTCGCTGGAGAAACAAAGTTTTTGATGGCAATCCTTACTAATATTATAAATCTGAAAGTGAGTTTGTTTGTTTGTTTGTTCCACCTTCACGCCGTAACTACTCAACCGATTGCTTTGAATTTTTGCAGATGTATAGTTAGAAGTCCGGATTAAATAATAGGGTACTTTTTATCCCGGAAAAATTTGATATTCCCGAGGGAAAACAAAAGTTTTGGTACATGTCACATTGGCTTTTTATCCTTTTGTGACGCGAGCGAAGCCGCGGGTAAAAGCTAGTTTTTATATATAAGGTACTTATTACATCAATAGCTGACAACAGTCACTGCTCCAGTAGTACTATGAACCTCCTTTATACAGGTTTGAAGTCTGCAATTTTTAAGCAAAATGGACTAATGAATCTTTGAATCGACTTATAAAAGGTTTGATGTTATGTTATTGTTTGTTTAACTTGTCAATATTTTGGATTTCTTGGTAGTAGTACTGAATCTGGTTTGTAAGTTTTGGCCATGAAGTCCACAGAACTAATGTTAGATTAGAAAACTGTATCAATATATAAAATGTATCAATCCAAAACCTGGTTATCAATTTTTACTGTTAACCGTTTTTCGCTGTATTGCGCTCTGATTGGTTGGCTCACTGGAGCCGGCCAATCAGAGCGCCGAAAGCGCTTGATACTATTACGATACGAATGCGATAGTTATTCGTGCTTGGAACTCAGAAGGGACATTAGGAGTGATTCCGTCATCATACCACTGAAAGATACATAATGCATATTTTATATGAAAAATAACATAACATAACATCACGCCTTTTATCCTCGAAAGGGTAGGCAAAGGTGCACATTATACCACTGTACAATGTCACACCCACTTTTCACTATTTATGTTATGAGTCCCATGTAATAGGGCGTGAGCCTATTGCCATATACCGGACACAGATCCAGACTCCGTGCTACTACAGAGATTTTTTTAAAAACCCAGTAATTCTTTGCCCGACCCGGGAATCGAACCCCAAGACCCCTTACCCGGCAGTCGCAATTGCGACCACTCGGCCAACGACGCAGTCATATGAAAAATACATTTTATTATTTGTCTCACCTAGCGGAGTAGAGGAACTGAGCGAACTGTATATTGGAGACGCAGCCCTCCTTGTCCTCGCTGTCAGTGTAGAGGTCTGTCTCCCGGTAGTACATGTACAGGAAGTCGTTCAGTTGCTTCGCTATCACGGCGCAACGGTCCTTGTCACACATCTTCGCTGGGGGACCCTGGTAATGGACACAATTATTGGTACCTTCTTAGTAGACAACTAATACCCGTTATCAAATTTAACTAGTCTTAAACTTTAACCTCTTGCGTGTTTCTCGTACACACGGGTGTACGAGAAACGCGCACCGATTGGATATTTTTTCTGTGACGTATATTTTCAAGTTTGCAACCCGTTCTTTATTTGATTGAACAGAATAGTTAATTCGCTTTTCTATTAAAATATTTACCTGTGTGTACGAGAACGCGCGTTTACCACTGTGTACGAGAGGTGCGCGAGAGGTTAAGGAATCGCTAAGATAGGAGTCACTTAACGACTTAATAGTACAAGTGAGGATTTAGTGTAGGTGGTACGTCACGCTAATCAACTTTTAGTTAATGTTTATGAAAACGGTAATTAACCTGTTATTTTGTCATAAATAAGAAGTATTTACAAGTACGGCTGAATTTAGGAGTCCTGTAGCCAAATGTCATTTAGCGCGTGTCTACATGTAGAATAGAAAACCAAATTATATGGAATTGACGTCAATTTTGACACTTGTCAGTGTCATCCCCATACATTTAGTTTAGACAAGCGCTAAAGTGGCGTTTGGCTAAAGGCACTGGCTACATATCAAACTATACACTTTCAGTATAAACTTACCGTTGAATGTACGACAAGATCATGTAAAGCGAGATAACGATAAACTGGTTTTGTATAGTTCGACGTATAACAGTGTGTCTGCGAGGTAAGTAGATAGAGCAACTGTTTCTTTTTGGTGTCAGTATTGCATCTTGCAGTCAGCGATAAGCAAATGAATTGATAATAGTATGTGCCGCGACATTCTATTACATACATACATACATAACATCACGTCTTTTATCCCCGAAGGGGTAGGCAGAGGTGCACATTATGCTACTATACAATGTAACACCCACTTTCCACTATTTATGTTAGGAGTCCCATGTAATAGGGGGTGAGCCTATTGCCATATACCGGGCACAATTCCAGACTCCGTGCTACTATAGAGTATTTTTAAAAACCCAGTAATCCTTTGCCCGACCCGGGAATCGAACCCGAGACCCCTTGCTCGGCAGTCGCACTTGCGACCACTCGGTCAATGAGGCAGTCATTCTATTCTATTCTATTAACAAAATATTATTCTGTGTGGGAGAAATGATAAGCAGTAGACAGTAGCCAGACTACAAATCATGCAAACATGCCGTAAAAATCAATAAAATAGATAAAAATAAATTCTTAAACAAAAACCAAAATCATACAGTGTCAGTGTATAACACTCAGGTTGCGTGCGAGGAGATATTTCTTCGAAAAACTTTATCATTATTAAGTTAGGGGCACCAGAGCCATCAGAGCACCACAAATGGGGTCCAGTAGGGCTGATGCCCGACCCAATGCGGATGTCCTGGCGGGTTACCGGGGCTCCAGCGCGAAAGAAGAGTAGGAACGGGGTGGTTCTTTGTCAGTAAGAGTCTTATACTCCCTCTTGCTTCACCCAGAGAACTTGGTTAAGAGGTTTAACAGTACTTTTGTCTCTAGATCAGCAACACATTATCTAGTTAACTAAAGTTGTCAAAGAAATACCATCACTATGGTGTAAAAGCCATGCTTAGAACTGGTCACCTTTACATTATAAGGCATACGGAGTGATGCGGAGGCCTTGCGCAGGAACCGAAGTACTAGCGACGCGTGCGCTACGCCCAGCTCGTTGCTGGGGGATGATACCCGCTTCAAGACGTGCGTTAGGTATAAACCGAAGGCGCGACGAGCTTCGCCCATCCTGGAAATGTACATAGTTCTTCTTTAAAAGGTGGATGAGGTTGTTTTAACGGAGTTGGTGTTAATATTTAAAAAAGGTAGTCACAGTAGATCTTTTTGAACTTTACTAAAGCTTTTGATGATTCTAACATTACTATTCTTTTGTACAGAATGAGATTTATAGATATAGAAAAACCCCAAATATAACCAAGTAAACGCTTTAAAAATATTAAATATATTATGCATCAGTAGTGAACATTTTGAAAGAAACTCTGAACAAATTTTTCATGGAGTTCCTCAGGGAAGCATATTGGGACCACCTCAACTATTAACACAATTTTATTTTGAATTGATATAGTAGTACTCACGTGAGCTTCATCCCATCCATGAGCTGTCGTTTGACGAGTTCCTTAGCTCTCCTGGTGTCGTGATGTTGAGGAGAAGTCTCCCCCAACCAGACGGCCGGCGCCTGGCAAGTGATGCTCACTGTTTCGTAACGCTTTAGCCTATAACATTTAACATTGTTTTAGTATTTGTAGCTTTTTAATACAAGATGATGACTTTTAGTAGCTGAACACGTTCCAACAAACCAACTTTGTTTTTTAATCTATAATATGATAAAAATATAGTCCAATAATATACATACCCGCCAATAAACTATTGGTTTACACATAGAACGTTGTCAAACAAAAAACATCATAGAACATCGGAGGATTTAACTGGAACTGTTCTTTCTATCTTCTATATAAATAATCTAGCTACTTCCGCGCAGTTTCACCCGCTCTGCTCGGCTCATAATGGTCGTAGCGTGATGTTTTATAGCCTAGAGCCTTACTCGATAAATGCACTATCCAAAACAAAAAAAAAATTACTCAAATCGGACCTGTAGTTCCGGAGATTAGGGCATTCAAACAAAAAACAAACAAACAGATGTTTGATAGAGAATTCCTTTCATGAAAGTACTCAAATGCTACTCAATTTTAAGTCGTGCTTAAGTATACTTCTGTCACTACAAATGCTTTGTAAAATGACAGAGATGGCACGATATTTGAGTACTACATAAAGTCGAGTATGGTTCCAGTATGGTGTGGCAGACGTACCTCTGCGGCGTGTCGGTGAGGCTGGTGGCGACGGTGGCGTGCTGGAAGTGGGGCAGCACGTGCGAGTGGACCAGCAGGTTGTAGTTGTGCTGCACCACCTGGTACGGGATGTTGTTGTTCAGGGACGTCGAGCACACCGGGATGCCCGTCACTGGGTCTACGACATACATAACATTGCATTGACAAAGGGTATCATACATAACATTAACTATTTAACTGTCAAACACCGCGATGACACCGGTGACCGCAACCTATTGTTCTTTAATTGTGTCTATAATGACGGTACTCAAAGGGTTAAAGTAGAGAAAACAAATAACAGTGAAAACAGAGTGATTTCAAAATCCTAAGAAATGTCTTAAAACAACTTTGTTATCAACCAAGAACCAATTAACTGTAAACGAACATGAAACTACAATCTCAACTTACGTAATCGGTCTTTAAACTGTTTTTATTAATATAATATAACGCCTTATATCCCCGAAGGGATAGGGAGAGGTGCATATTACAATGCCAATATATAATGTCAAATCCACTTTTCACTATTTATGTTATGAGACCCCAGTAATAGGGGGTGAATCTATTGCCATATACTGGGCACAGCACTGGCATTCCAGACACCGTGCTACAAGTTAAAAATATTCAATAGTATTTTGCCCGACCTGGGAATCGAGACCGAGACGCCTTGCCTGGCATTCGCACTTGCGAAAATTCGGCTAACGAGACAGTCTGTTTTTATTAAAATGCAACAAAAAACTGTTCCATCGCATCTTTGAAGGTTACTCACCTAAATACTGCGAATACTTCTGCCAAGAATTTTGTGAGGGGAAGATTCTTACGAAGCCCCCGCGGCGCGCGTACTGCGCCCTGACAGCGCGGACGAGGCGGAGCTCCTCCCCGGTGAGCGAGCCCCCGGAGCCCCCGGAGCCCGAGCTGCTGGCGGCGGCGGCGCTGGCCGCGGGCCCGCCACTGTTGCCACTGTTGCCACTGCCGTGCGCATCCGCGGACGCACGCTTGCCGCGGACGAACACGTTCTCTGCTGAATGTACGCGGCGACACTGGTAAAGATAATGAGACACGTGAAAAGGCGTGTTTATTTCATTTGGTTATAGTATGGGCCCCGACATGACTCGAAACTAGTCGAACATGCCCGAAGTAAGAAATGTGGGTTGGTTGAATAAATATTAATCAATCGAGTTAAGTTCTGAGATTGTGAGCGAACGAATTCTATAGAAATTTTCCTTTACTTTCCACAGGAACATTTTTAAGTACCATTTTGTAGTAAGATGTCCTTTATCATATACGAGATGTTTGTTCGTTACTCCCCATATACTCTTAAGTTTATCGAAAATGGCAGATATTGAGATCCCATTTTCTCTTTGTTCATTAGGACAACGTAAAAGATCTTAAGTTACAGTGAAACATAAGAAATATCCAACTTACCGCTCCAATCCTCATCTTGAGCGAGTTGCTCTGCGTGGATATATCAGCCTTAGACATGGGCACGGCGGGCAGTCCCACCAGTGTCAGAGTGTCTGCCAGTAGCGCTGACTTCACGCGCGCGTCCAGCGGACTGTCACACGCCAGGCTGTAGACATGGGGGAGAAAATACGGCATAAGATTAATGGTAGATCCTTGCGCGTACTGCTAAGGAGTGGAATTCTTTGCCCGAGTCTGTATTTCCTGAACGGTATAACCTGGGTGTCTTCAAGGCCCGAGTGAATAGGTTGCTTATGGGACCACGTGTTCCATCGTAGACTGCATTATCGCTTACCACCAGGCGTGATAGTGGTCAAACGTCGGCCCATCAAATATAAAAAGGTTATTATTTTAATCCAATGTCGCTTTTGATAGAAATTCTAAAGACTGCCTCATTGGCCGAGTAGTCGCAAGTGCGACTGCCGGGCAAGGGGTCTCGGGTTTGATTCCCGGGTCGGGCAAAGTATTACTATGTTTTTCAAAACGGTGCGATATTATGTCTAAAGAAATTATGTCAACAATCTACTCGATTGATGATAATGGTGATTAATATTAGCAATTGGTCGTTTGCAGTTTGCTATTACATGTCATTTTAATAAGTAGCAAATGACTAATTCGTATTTCTAATAAAATAAAGAAATCATGTAAGGCCTATGAATGTCCCTAGGGATGTGCTGTAACAGGCGTTACACCTTGGGGGTTCCGGAGCAGGTCTATTATAGAGGACTCGGTGCTCCCTATAGGTGATGATCCCCTATAGTATTCCCGCACTCCCTAGTTTTTCCTCCCCAAAAATGCTAGGCGTCTTTTGAAGGCTTTCCCCTCTACAAAAAAGGCCTATGAAAGTATCATAAATTAATTGTACGGAATTTTGTATTATTTACCTAGGAGATAGATTGATTTCCAGCAGCCACGGTTTCAGCATGTCGTCGATTAGAATATCATAGCCGAACAGCTCTGAAATATCGACACACATCAAATTTGCTGTAATTCTTACCTAAATTTTATTTAAAGATACTTTAATGTGTTTCACGTAAGTGTTTGACGAGACAACTCGACTGGTTTCGAGTCAAATCAGGGACTCACAAGTCATGGACAGTGTTGCGCGACAAATGACATGGTGACGCGTTGCGCAGCTAACTTGAGCTTAAAACTAATCTACTTACCTCGCCAAATAGTTACAAAAATAAACCTTAAAACATAAATAGTTTATGATTAATTATATTCACTGTTAAAATAAAAGCAAAGCTCGACTTGCTGTAATGCAGTGTGTATTGACACCAACGCTTATGTATGGTAGTGATTCATGGGTGTGGCAGAAGAAGCATGAAAGCAGGATTAATGCAGTGGAAATGAGAGCCCTGAGAAGTATGTGTGGACTAAAATTGAGTGATCGATTGAAAAATAGTGTTATTCGAGAAAGGTGTGGATTGAAAGATGAGGTAGTGACAAGGATTGAAAAGGGAATGTTACGCTGGTTTGGACATGTAGAAAGGATGGATGGAAGTAGAGTAACGAGAGAAGTATACAGAGCGGATATGAATAGGGCCGCCGGTAGAGGGCGCCCAGATGGACATATAATGACCAGATTGGCGATATATTAAAGAAGGGCCAAATTAAAAGTACCCTTAACCGACGAGCTTGCATGAAAAAATTGATGACTGTTAATGAAGCGAAAGAGGTATGTAAGAATCGTAGTAAATGGCGTTCCTTAGTCTCTGCCTACCCCCATGGGAGACAGGCGTGAAGTTATGTATGTATGTATGTATGTATGTATGTATGTTATAATAAAATACTTTATTACTCACCAAAACAATTAAAAAAGTTAGGTACAAACACCCTGGCGGCCGCGGTGATGGTTTGCGCCGAGGACAGTATGGACTTGACGACGAGGTCCTCTATAGCCGCCATCAGTGCCGTGGTGTTACGTCCCTGCTTGCGAAGGTGCCGGAGTAAGGCCGATAGCGTCCATTTGTGACCAATATTGCCGGCGTTAGGGTCGTCACACCTAAGATTTTAGAAAACTATTATCAAAATAAAATTCAATGTTTTACTGAATGTAAATAAATAAAGGTTATTTTATAAACTACGTTAAAAAAGCTACTCCGACGCTCTCTTTTTCTTTTGAAGTCGTTTAATTGATACACTAAAACCTTCTCCTAAATGTAACAACATTTTTGAAAACTGCCTCATAATCAATAGTTTTTTTTATTTCTTTTTAATTTTCCGAAACCAAAGTGAAACTTAGAAACAAAACGAAGTTCCCAAAACCTACTTACTTGATATAATCCGTATGGTACTTGTTGATGCTGTAGTTGCAGAGATGCATGCAAGGGTTCCAGAGGTTCTTGTTGGTCTTGTCATACTTCACCGTGGCGAACCTCACAAGGCCCTCCTCGTACAAGTATATGAGGAGAGGGTCTATAGAGGTCACACACACGTAGAGACGGAGGTCGCACTTGTGACCTCCGATCAAAAGAGGTTTGTCTATGTATTTTGCTACTACTACATTCTCGCCTTTTGGTATCTGTTCCGGCTGTGAATAGAAGTGTCTGGGTTATTCTTTGGTGTATTGGGTATTAGGCTTTATCCACTGATGGAATAGGATATAATATTCAAGACATAAAATTAAGTATATAAATAAATAGACTGCCTCGTTGGCCGAGTGGTCGTAAGTGCGACTGCCGGGCAAGGGGTCTCGGGTTCGATTCCCGGGTCTGATATTGTGCCCAGTATATGGAAATAGGCTCACTCCCTATTACATGGGACTCGTAACATAAATAGTGAAAAGTGGGTGTTACATTGTACAGTGGCATAATGTGCACCTCTGCCTACCCCTTCGGGGATAAAAGGCGAATTATATTATGTATTTAATTGTTTTATTATTCCTGTTGTGTATAAAATAAAAGCTACTCTTAAGAGAAAAGATCTTTAATTTTAAGTTCTTAACGGATGAAACTAACATAAATATATGTTTTTAAGTTTTACATTAAAAACATATATTTATATTTGAACTGAACTATGAACACAAAATTCAAGAAATACTAAAATACTCACAGAATTGACAATATAAATCCCGCGCCCTCTGCTCGAAGCGGCCGGCTTCACAATCCAGGGTCCCTTAGTCCGATAATGGGTGGAGCACAACTCCTTATATTCGGCCGGCATTAGGAACGTTGTGGGGATGAAGTCAAACTGCTTTAATCCTCGGAAGTACTGCATCTTCTCTACGTTTTTGAAGAGTTTATCTTTACGGGTCAGCTCGTAGGACCTGGAGGAGATGAGAATAGAGTTTAGTAGAAAAGAAAAGAGTGGCATAAGAATAAAAGGGAGAGTTATAGTAGTACTTTATTTGGTGGAGTTTGTTCTTCTGAGATTGGTAGAACGGAACACGTAAGCCAACATTGTACCCAAGTTGTATGGGATGGACCTGTCAGGCATGATCACCTCGCCTGGCCGGAGAATATTCCCTTTTCCTAACTTAGGGAATATCACACGCTGTTTCTTAAAGTCTAAAAAATAAATGAGCTCCTTAGAAACTGTCTCATCAAGACCCACTGCGCAAAACTTAGTCTTTGTAGGTCCTAAAGCAAAGGTGAGTAATTTTACCTTGGGAAATGATTGACTTTCTGGTAAACCTGCATGGATTGGAGGACATCGAAGGGGATCATGGGTGCGGACCACATGAGGTTCCACGTGGGGCTGTCGTGGTCCACCTCCAGTAGGCCGTGCGCGTTCAGCAGTTCCCTGACCAGCTCGGGCCTATAGTGAACTACTGTCAATATTCTTGAATTATGGACTTTACGACACATAGCATTTACTTTGGTATTTAAATGAGGATTAGGCAAGTTTTAGGAGGTGGCTTTAGGATATAGGACTTATACAGCAGAAATTCATGGATTTCCAACACAATAAAGTTCCTCCATTGCTAAATCGTGGTGTCCTAAGACTTAAACAACTTTGGCCGCAAAATATGAAAAAGTTGATATGGTGGAAATTCATAGAAGGAGATGAAATGAACAAAGTAAAAATTCAAAAATACTGACAGTAATTCACCATTCCCCAATATTCTTTCTCACCTGGGGAAATGGTTCACTCGCTGGTACGGTGACAAGGATCTTAGGACATCAGGTTTCGGGTGGAGACCGGACCAAAGGAGGTTGAAGTCTTTGGTTTCAGACACTGCCTCCTGAAGACCATGAGCTTGGAGTAAACGGTGCAGGAGTTTTGTCTCCGTATTCACCAGTTTGTACGTGATTTTCAGAAGACGAGCTGGCATGTGACTGCTTTCTAGGACCTGGTGGAAAGTTACATGATAAATAACAAAAGAAGTTAAGTAGGAACAAATTAAAAGTTTGTAATAAGGTTTCTTACCTTGACGCTCTCCACTTCCTTGACCAGCAGATGTTCCGAGTCGTCGCTGTCGAGGCTAGGAGAGGTCGCGCGCTGTGACACCGGCGTCTTACGCTTGTGCTTACCCTTGTTCTTCTTACCTTTCTTTTCATCTTTACCATCTAGACAGATGAGTAATCAGAATTAGATTTCTAAAATTGCATAAAGTGAGTAAACCTCTTCAAAAAGAAGACGCGATTCTATCATAACATACCCTTAGAAGCACCATGGGGCGGCGGTTCTTCAGGAGGCTTGATGTTAGCTGTCGTGTTTTCTATGTTCAGATGTTTCTTCAGCGTGATCTTACTCAAGTCATTGAGCACGTCTTCGATGTCCCTCTTGTGTGACATTGGGTCCTGTGCCTCGTGGCCCTGCTCGTCCATACACACCGGCTCAGCAAGGTTCGTTTCACTTACGTGCCGAACCACGTAAGCACTCCCATTATACTTAGAATTACTAGTCCCAAAAGTCTCCATAACATCGTGCATTATATTTTTAGATCTCATGGAAAATGTGTGCGGTTCCGCTACCAATCTCCGCGCCATATTCTTAGCTTTATTGAGTAGTATTGTAGTCCCTGTGTTGTTTCCTATCGTTTTGGTCTCCGATTCCACGGAAGGACTTCTAGATGCGAGGACGCACGATCTGAATACCAGAACGGCGCCCTTAGACCCCAGAGGCCCTCCCGATATCCAATCCGACACAGAACCTTCATTTTCTTTGGCTGGGCCTTCATCATCACATTTTCGCATTCTGTCTTCGTTCGGTTTGTCTGTCATAAGGCCTGATGTAGACGGATTCGAGGTCTCTGATACATGTGGACTGGAAATAAGATAGCGCTATAGATAGGTGAAGTTTACAAGGTTACCGCACAGTGGCCCAGCCACTAACAGGATAAATAACAAAAGATAAATTACTGATTTTGAACAATGAACATCTTGCATGCTTTTGTATGAATGACACATGTTTATGCAAATAGATTATCTTTATCTTTAACAGTAGCCTCAAGTAATCGCAGTCAATAATGATGTACCTGCTAATACCACTATCATTCGAAGTCACTAGTGGATTGATGTAATCATTGTTTGAATTGCAATTGAATTTCCCGTCTATACGGTTTGTGTAGCCGCATCAGGAACATTCAGTTTGCAACAGTCAAATCTGTATTTACCCTGTGAATGCATTGTAGAGCCCACTAGTGACGCAAGTGGGCCAATGTGCGGAAAAATTTACATGGACGATTATATAAAACTTATTCACATTATAAATTCTGAATAACAAGACGTCATGCGTGTAAGCAAGGCATGCAAAAAGAAATTGATACCTACAAGCATAGTCTACAGATACATCACTGGCACCAAAAACGTGTTACAAATTTCAAAGGTTGCAATAGGAGCGTTGCAATAAGCAAGCATGGTAACATATGGTCGCTACGGTCATTCAATGAGGCGATTGTCCCACCGTATATGGCAAAGGCCGGTAGGTACACATATTCTATTCAATCACTTTGTTGTCAACAGTGACATACTTGCTTTAAATCAGCCTTTGACCGACTACGTAGAACTATAATATACGAATCAGTTTGCCATGATGTTTCATTGAATTTGTTAATTAAAACTAGAAAGATGTCTGTGTTTTCTTTAGTATCTAATTTGTTAAAAGCGCTTTGACCGATTCAAACAGTCAAGACTGTCTATCAAGTCAACAGCACAACCTTACTACAACAAAATAAATCTCACGTCAACACTTAACTGAAACTCAAATACTATTCATTAATCATCATCAACATAAAATAAACACATTAATAATACAATATTTACGTAATTAACAGATATGTATTCAAAACATTCATGACCCATTTGGGTGCCAATTCAACAGTCACCGTACTTCACCATATTCGGTGACATTTATGACCCGAGTTGGAGACTGGCGGGCAAAATCGGCCAAATTCGGATTTGTGCACGCTAACCTAACTGTCAAACTTTATGAACACAATCTGCTTCAAAATTCCGATCGAATGGTACAAGTTGTTACGAAATTGTTTGCATATTTGAATTTTAGGTTCGTTCGTTCTTATGTGCATACGTATTTTAGAGTTTGAAAATCGTATATTTGATTTGATTTAATATGTAGTTGTTTCATTTAAATTGGTTAGAAAGGTTTTGTAAATCGTAGACTGAAATTTTTGGCGACATTTACAGGCCAGGAAGGTTATTAAACTTTGTTACCTGAATGTCAACCATTTCCCTAAGTATCTACAGTCAAAAATAATGAGTCTTAAAGATTTGTCATGTACGTGGAAAATAAAAAGGACACATTTTTATAATAAAAAAGGATACAAAATCAATACAGCATAATGTGTCCATCCAGCGTGACGAGACTATAGCCTGAGGGTTGCCAAACGAGAGTTTCCGTAGCAACGACTACTATCGATCGCTGATTTTATAGCCACATGGGCACATTTTAAGGGAGACACCCCTGCTTTAGGGTGCGGACAACGTACTGGCGTAACTTTTTTACTTCTATTTTTTAAACCGGTTCCGTGACATAAGATATCGTGAAATAATCGCTCGCGTTAATCGATTTAGCTTGGATCGATGCGCGTGATTGTCAACAATTAGTTTCCTATAGATAACTGTTTATTATACAGTTTAAATTAAAGTCTAGATATTATAAAACTAGATGTCAGGAAAATATGACCATAATTTATACCTTCTTAGTATTTGTAGTTTTGGAATAAAATCCTGATGCTATTGGTTTTGCACAGGGAGTTTTGGTAAACTTGCTTCATTTTTTAATTGACATCGAAATTGCACGTAATTTCAGGTCAAAACTATACAAAATTAACATAACCAGCTTTTTATTACGTTTAGCATTGAATGTAAGAGTGGGGTAAATTCTATCCCTTGTCACCTGTAATAAGATTATGTATTTCGAAAAGTAACGACCCTGTTACCATGGTCAGGATGCAAGCCCAGACACAACAGTTCAATGTCTGGATTCCCGTCTGAGTGAGAATTTATAAATAGAAACCCATGTTAACTGAACAATATTGTGTATTTCTGCTTTCATTAACTCTCCAGAGCTTCTGTAGGGATTATTATTAGACATATCATTGTTATAGGCGGAAAATAAGCACTTATGTTCGATGGATCTTGGTCTGGAAGTTTTGACTAGCTGAATTTTAGTAGTCATAAAAGTTTATATTCCTTAGGGTGTAATCTCATGACGTCACCTTCCCGCTCCGCTCATCAATGAATCAGCGCCCCGATATATCGTGCCGATTCTTGATGCAAGCGGCGATACACTGCAATTCTGTTCCGTACAAGACCAACTCGCATGTTTCCTTACAACGCTATTTATACGTACTGACACAAGCTACGCTAACCAGTATATACTGACCCTCCAAAGTGCTGAAAGAAGATACAAAGCAAGTCATGATAAAGTGGTTTTGTATAGTTCGATGTGTAGTCGGTGAAGGTACCTATAGTGTGAATATTAATTAACCAGGTAAGAATAAGTTTATATTAGCTTAGTTTAAATCTCAGAATAGCACTAGGTAAAGCGATTGTTGTTTTTTCTTATTATTCTTGCGTGAGAATCAAGTGGTGTTTATAGGTACAATTATAAAGGATTTTGTTTTATATATGCACATTTATAGCAGTTAGATTTATTATGAGAATAAATTATTGCTTGTTTTCTTCATTCTTAGACAGATGTTTCCGTTTAAAAAGCTAATGATTTATTTTTGAACGGGAATCTAATGAACACTATTAAAAAAGTGTAGAAAAGTTAAGACTCAAGTGTGATACGATAAATACTATTGTTTCAGTATTTATATCACCTGCAAATATGGGTAATAATTTACCGCACATTGTTAAAAATTGATAATGACCCCACAGGACGGTAAAAATGTATTTAATAACACAAATTAACTATCATTGTATGTGCATGTGAAATGTGCAGTTCGTAAACTCACCCACGACACAGGAAAACATCTAATGTAGGGCAATAATAATTAAAAAAAACTAAAAACATTTCGGTTATGGACATCAATTAAAATCCTTAATATATTTAATTAAGTAACCCAACACAAAATGATGAATGACGATTACCTAATTAATCTACACATAATATTAACCTAGAAAAAAATCAGACCTTATCAAAAGTAATTCACAAAAACTAAAACTTCCAACAATAATTAAAAAGCATGACTCAAGACAAGAAAAAACACAAAAAAAAAGGCGACACAATCTAAACCGTTGCAAGTACTCACACAAAAACCATGGCTATTTAATTGTGGAGAATATTGAGTCAGCGGCCCAAATATATCGATGTAAATAAACTAATAAACAATGCGCGAGCAACGACGCGACACGTCCGTCGCGCGCGAAACACGCCGGGCGACTGACGATGACTGGGAAGTTAGGAAGTGCTTCGTGATGACAAGTGCACGGATACAATGCAAGGGTGTACCCTATATTGTGAGTGAGTATTGTGTGTTTAACCTGACTGTACGTTCATCAATACCTGTCTGGGTGTAATATAAGCGAACTCAATTCTAAACCTAGAATTGAGTTCGGTGATATTCTATGGGGTGTAAATGAAGGTGTGCTTCAGTAAATACTAATTGGAGTATACTTTCTTATCGTTATTTACATTACTTACATTTGTCATCCTTCTTAAATCATAGAGACCCATGATTCAGCTCTGGAAGGTTATGGGATCGGCTGTTGATGATGGCATGATAAGACCCTTATCGTAAGAATACTTACTTACGTAAAAACACGTCAGATAGGGTTTAAGCTTAGATGATCCAGGCACTGAGCTAACGATCTATCTAGGAACCATCTAACGGTATTATGCATGAATAGTATCATGAAAATATGTCTCTTAAAAAAACCTCAAGTCGAAATTCCATAAACTAATCCCTAATCTAACAAATTAATAAAATTAAACTGTATACTTTACAAATATTAGGCAATTACAGATTATATTTTACAAATTCATTATTTCTGTCCGTGCACGGCACCCATAAACGTTGTTGACAACAAACAGGTTCGCTCCTAACATTCCCGAAACCCCTACATTATTTAAAAAAGGGGTCACGAAGTATTTTTTCCTTTCGAATCATAATTAATTGTTTCCTGAATAATTTGTTTGTATATCTCAGTACGTAAGGACAACAGCAGGCCAGGTAAACTCATACCAAAATGTCAATTATATTCAATCAATTTTAGACCTTATTACAATACACTAAACATATTGCCATCTGCAGTTCGTTTGATAATATTGATTGACAGTAAAATTGCAAAAATCATGTAAAAGTACGGCGTATGGTAAGGTAAAGAATGGTATGCAGAAATGGTGACCCAGTTATGTTTGGCCTCGTAATACCAGACTCCACAAATGTGGGGTGAATGCTTTCAAAGTACTTACGATGAGATGTCTTGGATTAAGGGTGAAAGATAGGTCGCGACTAGTTTTTTTTTACAAAAAGGTTAGGTAGCTAGGTGTTTGGGTGGAACGTACTTGTCTGCTTGGTCATGTTTTTCTCTAAATGCTGGAACACGAGCTGGATTGAAATATCTTAGGCCTATTAACACGTTAACCGCCGCGTAGGTCACCGGTGACCTACGTTAGCGGAAGATTTGCCTTCAGCACTTTTCTGTCGGCAGTCAAAGGCTTAAACTGATGTTAGTTTGTAATTATTATCCAAAGTTAGCTACAAAATTTTCAAAATGGAAATTGGGACAGTTAAAATCGTAACGGAAAGTTGGCCAAAACATGGTTGCAAAGTTTATTCAGAGATTACTACAGTA